TGTAGTTAGCACAGTTGAAGAGAACTTCTATGTATGATTCTAAGAATGGTTAGAATGGAACCAGTTGTTCTCATCATTATTTCTGTAGTTGTTTGACATTGACATAGAGTATCGAATAAAACTTCATTATATGTTTAATGTAAGGCAACAAAGAGAAATTTGATTGACAAAACTGTTCATAACATTAGATTTGTGTGCTTGCCGAAATAATTTTTATCGTCGCCTATGTTTGGTCGATTGACCTTAGAAGCACCATATTAGAGTTTCTGGCTGAGCATAGTTAAAAGCATTCACACTGATAATCGAAGTAAACCGAGAGCTCCGTTTAGAGATGTTTGTACTTCAAGAAAAGGAGATGTAGAAGACGCATTGTGCTCTGGAAGTATTGAAAATTGGAAAGCTGGTAAGTAACTATGATAACCTTGAGATCACCATTAGCGATGTCCTGTACTCTGCTTTTAGGTTTAGGAAGACCGGCTTCTTCCATTAACTTGAAAGCAAAGCTGATATTCCTGACTTTATCTTCGAATGTCGCAACTTGTAGATGGAAAGAATGAAGAGGGACAAAATATCCTTCGAGTAATCCCATAAGTAGTACCAGAAACACACCATCTTGGAATTGAGACTCCATTTGATTCACCTAAAACGTTTTTTATAGAAATGAAGTGTCTTCCAGATCACCTCCAAGTTTATTTTATTCAAATGACGATTACAGAAAGTAATCAAAGATTCTTTGACTTGAGCCAACTTGTCAGGTCCGAAATCGAACAGAGTGTCAAAAGCATCACGGTCACCCTAAAACATCTATATTTGAGAAGAAGAAAGTATCATTTACCTTAAGGCCTAGTTCATCCTGGGTTGTTGTAAGTTGTTCCGTCGAAAACTGAGTTTTCACATGTCCCTGAGTTTTTGTGGCTATGATCATCTTAACAGTATAGAATGAGAATAGCATTGGCAGTTTGGAAAAACCTTAGCTTCAACATATTCAGGGAGACGAATTGGAGCACGGAAATGTATAGCCAAGGCTATCAAAAACTGAAGGATTGCCACAAGATCCTGAAAATATTATCCATGAATGATGCTTGGAGAAACAACAACACCTTAGAATGAATCAAATCTGGAGACCATTTCTGATCGTGTTGTCCTTTGTTGAGAAGACGATTACCAGTAGCAATCACAATTTGTAACTTTTGTCGTTGACCTTCCTCAGATTGTGAAACTTCAGGTACTTCAATCTAGTAAAGCGGATTTCAGTATGAACCAAGACAAATATTTGTTACCCTAATATTTCCTAGTTTTTCAACCAGTTTTTGAAGAATCTGGCCATCGTACAGATCCTCCTGAACGTGACGAACCTTAAAAAAAGTTGTTGAAAAGTGGAGGATGTTTGTAACGGTAAATTGAGAATAAAAACTCACGACAATACGCTGATCAGCTAATTCCTCATTAAGCCAATGAACTAAAAGTTGAACTAATTCTCTCATATTGGGATTAAGATTAGTCTCTTTTGTTATGAAACGGATAGTTTCCCCTGAAATCGTATACTTAGTATGAAGATAACAAGAACAGCGAACCTTCATCAATGACAATGTCCTTTGCCAAATAAGGGACGGTTGCCGAATCTAAAGCTTCGCGTCCTTCGGTGTCAACCTGAAGTAAATTTATAAAATGAAAATTAAGTATGCTAATCGAAAACCTCTACAGCTTCATTTTCTTCGTTTTCCTCAGGGTTCTCGTTGACAGGCTTCTTCTTCTTTCGAGTCAAAGTACCGGTCAACTTCTCGACAAAGGACTCATTCTTAATAAGTGGCATGAGACTTCAAAAATCTAACAACAAATACTTTTTGGCTTTTCAGAGTGTCTCCCTGGTGGTTTTTTCGGCCAAGCGTTGACATTCTGAACAAACAGAGGAATGGCGAGTGCTTTGAGCGGTGAAGTCGAAGAAAACACAAAAAAATAGTAATAAAAAATAATAATAATTAAGCAGAAAATCAAATGAAAGTATGAACTGCAAGTATAAAAGAATGTGTTTGGAGCATTCTGTGTTGTGTGTAGGAGGCTGTTGGCAGAATGAGAAGACATTACACATTACTTGCTCACAGCCCCCATTCCCCCCTCTATACCCTATCCGATCAATAACATTGTCTGTCCGTCCATCACATAACAACGCCTAGTCATCTCCTCTGTCAGCAGGCGCAACAACACTTTATTTATTCGGCCATACATATTAGGAGAACAATTTTATTTCCTTATTTTTAACAATTGAAACTGAGAGAGAAAACAATAACTTAACTAAAATATTAAAACAATTTGTAACGACCAGTAGGTCCCCGGTTTTGTATGGTCTGAAATTTCGAATAAAAAAAGTTTTAAATTTAAGAATTACCAATTGACGGAACGCTTCTTTCATTATTCTTACGATCTCTTCCTTTGCTCTCCGCAGATTCATTTCACTGCGAGCCTGTAAGCGAATGAGTTCAAGCATTATAAAGGAGATATTTTACCTCGAGTAGCAAATACAGTTTTCTATCACCATCTCTTGGTTCTTTACCCGGAGGATAGTGGCTTCCTTTGACACTTATACCAACATCGGCATACTCAGAGATATGCGAAACAGAATCCTGGAAAGTTTTTGGTCAATAGAATGAATTTTACATTGTATATTACTCTGCTGCAAACTTTGTATCGAACTTGTTGTGGAAACTCGTTAATTTCAATTTCTTCCTCAAAGTACTGCCACTCCTCTTCTTTACTCGTCGAGGGCAACTCCTGAAATTTGAAACTGACAACGTTTATTAGGAGAGTTCTAAACCTCTCCTCCAATATAGTTGAGACGTTCATTGAGCTTATTAGCCATTTGCCTAGCAATCATTTCCTTAGTCATCTCCATAGGTTCGAGTTGGTTACCCTAAAAAATTTTCGCTTTCTACATAAGAATCTGACGGTTAACCTTCAGAACAGCTTCGGTCGCCTTTGTAACAGCATCTCTCTCAATCGGAGCGTTGGCCCGCTTGAGAGATGCCAAAGCTTCTGCTCTGGCTTTTGCTTCACTAATCTGGAAAGATTGAAAACTCACTCCGAGATAATAGAGAAGGGAACTACCTTGTCCGCCACTGCCGAAGACAGCTTTTCTTTCCTTGGCAATTGACCAGCAACAACACGTCGTTTACTCTTGATCAAATTGTTCAACTGTTCCTCCAGCTCATCATCGTCGTCCTGACCATGTTCTAAGCCTGTTACTAACCGAGTCATCTTCTTCTTGGTAGCGTCAGCTTCGGCTTCTTCATCGTCATGCTTGTAACCACTTCCAGCAAAGCTGAAAAAAAGTGAATGATAATTATTATTTTATTTATATACCCTTTGCCGCCAAGATGAACTGTCTTTCCTTCAGCTTCCATTTCTGCCTTGAATCTTTCGAACATGGCTTGAATATCAGCTGGAGGTTTAACTCCTGCCGTTTCGAAGGCTCTGCAAATTTCACCGGCCATTCTTTCCTGATCTGCAAAAATATGTAAGAAAAAATTAAATAAAAAAAACATACGTTCCGGGAGAATAAATGTATAGGCGTAACCTTTTTTACCCGCTCTTCCGGTACGACCCACCTGGAACAAGAGAAATATTTAAGAAAGCAAACCACTATATTACCCTATGAACATAATCCTCATAATGGTTAGGACAATCATAATTAACAACTAGAATCAAATTCTTGACGTCCAAACCTCTTGCAGCAACAGAAGTTGCGATCTAGTGAGTATGTTAAGTAAAACTAAAACAAGGCATGAAATAATACCAAAACTTTTATGGCTCCATTCTTAAAATCTGTGATTGTGGAATCTCGATCAAACTGGTCTATTCCTCCATGAAGAGAAGCTGCAGTATAATTTCTGGCGAGGAGCTGTCCACAAATTTCGTCAGCCTGTTCAAGATGAAAATTACCAGCGTATAATCCAGTCATCATACCTTTTCTTGTCTATCAACGAATACAATAGCATTTCCTTGTTCACAGAACAACCCAAGCAATTCTAATAGTTTCAAGCTCTTCTGATGCTCTTCACAAATCAGAGCGTTTTGAGTCACATCTGAGCAAACAACACTTCTTCCTCCAACCTTTAACCATTAAATTAGCCAACTATGAGAAGAGAAAGCTCACTTGAATCTCTAAAGGATCGGTTAAAATTTTACGAGCCAAAGCTTCCATCTGCCGAGGGAAAGTAGCAGAAAACAAAACTGGTTGACGATCTGGCCTAATATTATTCACGATTTTCATAACCTTAAAAGTGAATGGTTGTACTTCGAAAGATGAAACAATTTAAATTACCTGTGGTTCAAAACCCATATCGAACATCCGGTCGGCTTCATCGATGACCAAATAAGTGACTCGTCGAAGGTTGGTAACTTTACCTTTAATACCACAAAAGTTTAGTCAAAAGTTGAGTTAACCTACCATTATTGGCAGCCAGTAAATCAATCATTCTTCCAGGGGTACAGACAATGATTTCAGCTCCTCTTTTGAGTTCAGCGATTTGCTCGGAAATAGCAACACCACCAAAAGCACAAACACATCGCAGATTTAGAATCTGAAAACGAAAAGTAAAATCATGCCAACTTCATGGGAAAAACCTTTGTGAACTTCGAACACTCTTTCCAAGTTTGCATAACAAGCTCTCTAGTCGGAGCCATGATAATAGCTGAAGAAAATAGGTAAAAAAAACGAAGTTGCAATGATATCGACTAGACGACAAAAGTTTCAGACAAAAAAGAATGAGCTAGATGGGAAAGATAGAGAACATACCTATAGGTCCGTCCAATTCCTCCAGAGCATCTTGATCCAAAACATGCCTAAACATTGGAAGAAGGAAAGCTAGTGTTTTACCACTTCCAGTTTTGGCGATACCAATAACATCTCTACCTGTACATGAATTAAGATGGAGAAATTAGAAGTTTGATTATTACCTGACATAGACGCTGGAATAGCTTGAGCTTGAATAGGAGTTGGCTTTGTATATTTTAGTTTTTTCAGCAATTGTAAGATATTTCTATCCAATCCACATTGAGCCCATGTTTTAATAGGCTTGGGGCAATGCTTTCCTGAATATATCATTTACAAACTGACTTCACTAAGTCTCAACCTTTAACTTTTATGCCATCCAATTCTTCTCTGAGCTTTTTTACTTCTTCTCCTGACATCCTCGCCATTTCAGCGGGCTTAAAAAAAACAAAGTTAAAAGTTGATGAATAACTCCTTACTTCAACATAAAAGTTCTTTCTGAATGGTCTGTAATAAATTTTATCATGATCAGTAGTAGGCAATAAACGTCCTTTGTGACACAAACTAATAGCCGTCTTAAAGAGTTGTTAAAGCTGCTTACTGTTTGAAATCATCTTACCTGTTCAATATCAATATCCTCTATAACAACATCAGCTCTATCTTCATTTTCAAGAACGTCTCCCTTGTTTTTCTCAGAAGCACTCGCTGTATTGATAGTGACAACTCGAATAGCATTCTTAAATAGCATATCTCGAAAAGTGTTGGAGAAGTGTGTCTACCTTAGGTCTTCCTTTTTGAATCTCTTTTGCTACAACATTTGTCATGAAGGCATCGAGTGGATCAACCTCATCGGCTGCAATTTCTCTGGATAGTAAAAGATGTAAGCTCTGGAAACTTGCGACTTCTTACTTTTTGACTAAAGGTTTTTCTTCCCCATCATTTTCGTTAGTGGTATCCATCAGGTCATCTTCTTCATCATCCTCATCATCTTCTAAAGTCCATGTTTTCTCAGGCTTTTCAGGCTCAGCGTTCACAGCTTGGCCCGCTCCTTCTCCTTCCTCAGTTGGTTCGTGCTTTTTACGTTGCGCTCTCCACATTTCGACTTTCTTCCTCCTTTCTTCCATAACTCTCTCCAACTCCAACTGAGTTTCTTTCTGAATTTATCACAAGATAGATGACAACAAGCTTGGAAATAGTGTAGGTCGTACCTGAGCATCTATGGCAGCATCTTCCTGCTTTTTCTTCTCTCGCTCTTCTCGTTTTCTGTCCCTTTCATCATCTTTTTTTCTATCTTTCTCCTTATCTCTTCTTGGAGACCTTAGAAAAGGTGTTAAAACTTTTTTTTTTGGCAAAAATACCTGCTCCTCTCGCGTTCTCTACGTGGTGATCGAGTTCTACAATAAAGTTATAACAAAAGCTTATAAACTTTAGTTAGTAACCTGCTCCTTTTTCTATCCCTACGTTCTTTGGAACGAGATCTGCTGCGCTTTCTATCTCTGCGGTCTCTGTCTCGATCCCGGTCCCGATCCCTTCGATCTCTATCACGGTCTCTCTCACGGTCTGAACGACCCATACTTTTCTGAATACAAACGATTAGTTCTATGAAAAAACTGTGAAGATTAGTTAGAAAGTATTATTTATAACAGTGCTTTTCAAACATTTGAAAATTCGTAATTTTATTCAATTCAACCTACGTACACACGCCTGATTGCGTACTGAAAAGTTTGAATTACGCTCCGCCCTATTTGAAGTATAAGGAGGGACGCTGAGTAGTTGCATATCGCATTTCATTAGAAATGAGGTTTCAGCAGTGTTTATAACAGTTTTCTATCTCATATAAAAGACGCTTATTCATTCATATTCAATTTTGTTTTTATCAGATCCATTAAGTCGAAGAGTTTTGCGAGACATGACTGATTACTATGACGAGGTTCCTCTTCACTTCCGTGAAAACATTAGCTACACTAGTTTGAAAAAACAATCTTCAAGGCTTATCAGCACGTTGAAAAAGGTGTTTGCGTGTTTACAATAATTTTATCTGTGTTTTTCTTTCTTTTAGAAAGTATCAGCTATTGACGAATCTGTAAGACATAGAAGAGCTCTGAAGCCTCTGAATGAGTCCCCATCTCCTTCTGAAGTTCCTCCCACACCAGTCTTCCAAAAAGTTTACCATATCTAAGATTGAATAAACAGTTCATTTCCAGATCACGAAAGAGCTGGAAGGATATCACTTCGATGAATCCAGTAATTTATTGAAAACCCCACCACGCTCAGAACCCAAAAAAGCAAGGAAATTCAAGAGGAATCAGCCAGTGCTTCGGTTGGTTGCCTGTGAAAATCTCGAATTTGGTAACCACTGTTCATTCAGCAATCAAACTCCGAAAATTGAGTCCTTAGTTTCCGTAGAAACGCCCTCCGGCTCGAGACTAGCAAAGTCTTTAGCAGCTTGTAAAATCTCAGCAGTTTTAACGTCGAGGTGAGTGTTGGTGATTTGATTGCGTTTGAATGCTTGAATACAGACCAAGAAGGAAAGGAACACCATTAGTTACACCAAAGACTCCTAAATTCAAGAAAATGCGACGAATGTTCTCAATCAGAAGTAAAAAATTATTTAATTGATCATTTTCCTAATATTAATATAATCGTATATTGATACTCACTAAGTGGAACATATTCCTCAGTTTTTACCTCCTTATATGGCCATCAGCCTTTAAATTATGTTTTATAAGTATTTAATGATTATCCAGTTTTTTACTGCAGATAATACAGATTATATTCCCAGCACGTTCAGTTATTTCGTTGTGTCTTTGACACTTTTTATTCGTTTTATTTCTTTATATTCATCATTATTATATTTAAAAGGATAATGAATTCGGGGAGTTTGTTTGTCCAACGCCCTAAACCCGGAGAAGATGAAGATGACATATTAGCTTTACAAGAAGAATGGAATTCAAAAAATAATAAAGAAAAGGTTCTTTCTATAATCACAATACCGTATACGCTTCTTCATCCATACAGTCTGTTAAAATTCAACGAATGACCAAAAAAGGTTCTTCACAACCTGGCTCTGTTGTTTCTTCGCAACCAAGTCCCCGTTCTAATGAACGATTCAACAATCCTGCTAAATTTACTCTTGATCTAGATGAAATTGTGGAAGAAAATTTCGCTCCTGTCGTTTGTGATGTTGAAGTAGGGCTCCGTTTGACTACAATTTTAACACAATCGTTATAGGAGAAAAACCTTGATTGGATGAATGGTAACAGATCCGAAGATATTATAAAACAGGGATTGGAGAGATTGAGATATTCAAAGGACGAAGGTTTCCCTGATATTCTTGACCTTAAAGCCTATTTCATGTAAGTTGCATTAATGGATATGATATTCACAAAAGACTGTGAAAGTACAAATAACTCTGTCTGATTAGAATTTTTCAGGGATGTCGCTGAGAAGAGAAAAGCACCTCCCAAAAAAAGCTTCTTTGCTGCAGAGTTCGATCGTCTCCATGGGAGAATAGGTTTTCAGTTTTCCTGAATCTTTTGCAATTTTGCGTCTTTAAGATGAGTCGAGCGTTCCCTTTACAACTGTTGAAGAGCCGGAGAGTGACAAGGAAGATGACCCATACGCTTCGAACGAAGAGTTAGTAGTAGCTCCACAATTATTCGTTCTCACGTTCTTACAGTTATATCAAATCACTTTCTGTCGACAAAATAATGGAGTTGCGTAAAGACATTCAAGAGAGAATCGATCCTAAAATGATAGATTTCTTGAAGTCTCGCTACAAAAAGAAAGTTGACGCCCCAAAGCCGAAAGGTGAGCAAACTTCTTAATATAAAAGTAATATTTCGGTTATAGTTTCGAAGTTCAAACAAAAAAGACTGGAAGAAACTACGAATGATTGTTCAACTGCTTCTGAATCAAAAGAACTTCCCCAGCGGTCGAGAAAGCTTGATGAGCCGAGCACTTCCTCGTGTGAAATTAAAGAACAAAAGTGAGTAGTCCGGATAACTATCCATAAAATGGTTTTTAAGTGTTGAGAAGCTGGAATCTAAACCTAGCACCTCTAAAGACGCTCCAGTTGTTGAGGATATAATAAAACAATTAGAAGTCTTAGATGAATTTGCTGATCGGAAGGATGGTGAGAAATATAATCGTTTGGCTACTGTAAGCTTCATTCTGAACGTGAAGTCTGTAAAGATAAAGTTACAGGACGCTATCCAAATTGACTTCGCGACAAAATGCTTACGGACCATGCTTCCAAGACAACAGCAGAATGCTCTCAAGCTCTTTGATAATATGAAAACTGCGCCGAATGAGTGAGTGCCGGTTCATGTGGGAGTATAGGACACTATGAACTCTTTACAGTTATAAGCCCAATAAGTTGATAGATCATGCTCGTGGAAAAATTGATGAGATTAAACAATTGTATCTTGAAGAAGTGTAAGTGAAAATATGGTGTTACACGATATCGTCCTTATTTTCAGAAAAATTGAAGGAAAGAATCAAGTGCAGTTTGCTCGGGGCCTGAACCCTCTACTCGATAGCTGTTGGCCTTTGAGGCCTATTCGTTCAGTTTTGGACGCACTCGATAAAAGAGAGAGCAAGTATGATCCTACCTGTTTCTACTAGGGAATGTTATTTATTATAGTGAACTAACTGATGATGATTTGGAAATTGTGCAGTTGAGTTTGTTGTGCACGATACTTCTTTTCCTGGAAAGACCTACCGCTTTCTATTCATTCGCAGACCCGAATGAAATGTACGTTCGATTAGCTGAGACTTTCTTGCTGGGTTTGTTCAAAATTTAAAATGAAAGTTGAACTTTTTTTTTGAGGTAGTCGATTGCTCGAAGATGACATCTGTATCGAATGTATTGGAATTCTTTTTGATTCTTATATTTTCACAGTTAGTTTCCGCTATTTCTTCTTCAAACTTTCATTTTTTGACAGAGTGCTGTAGATGGTCGACTTTGTCTCAGGATGGATGGTCGTGTGGCCGAATTGGATGCTTTCATGCCTTTGTCAGTTCTATAATATTGCTTTCGAAATAATAATAGGTTTATAGCTACGAAGATTTTCTGAAAAATTTCGAATCTTTCTCAATGGGTGATCGGTTATTCACTGAGTTCATACTGGCAGGATCTTATTTGAACAGTGCCAGGAGCGATAGTTTAGAATGTCGTTTTGCAATTTGGAGTCCGAAAATGAACATTGCAAGACAAATAACGGCATCAGTGGAAGGATCGGTTAGTCTCTCATATCTTGCTTGTTATCATCTACTTGAAGGAGAAGATAATGGATGCGATAACTTCTCTTCGTGGAACTCAATGGGAAGTTTTCGAGTCTCAACATTATGTGACATACTGTTCCCTACTTGGAGCCTACACAACCTCTCTCAGAGATAAAAAAGTTTGCAACGGTACGGAGTAGGAAAAAAAGTATTGTAATTGTAGGTTACACGGGAAAGAAATCCATTGATGTTCAAGATAGCATCGGAGGAGTTAGGCGAGTTTGTGAAAAGACATTCAAAGGTTAAAGATGTCAGAAAAACATTTTAAAAATAATTTGGTTCCAGAATGATCAAACAGTGGGTGAAAAGCCTAAGGAATTTGATTGTTTGGTTGAGATTATTGTGAACTCCTTGAAAGATGTTCTGACGTTCTGATTTTTGTTATTCTTTTTATTTGTTTTCAAAGAAATATACAAATATATTTTATGCTTACAATAAAAAAATTATTATGATTCTCCTTGTGTATTATGGCAGTTGTACATTTCTTATTAGGGCACAGTGATGGTTTAACCTTGCTTGGAAGTAAGTCCAGTTTTGTATAACTTCTCTGGCTCGTTAAGAACGACGCGGTCAATGAATTCTTTGCCTTGTACGAAACAGTGGTCCTGAAGTCGATTTGTACTGTATAATTCTCTAGAATGATCTACCTGATTAGATACTTCATACTTCCAACCACCGAATCGTCCGCGAGAGTAAATGGAGTGCTTCTCCAATTCACGGTGAGCTCTAGCTAACTCCGTATCTCTCTGACAAATTTGTATAAAATATTTTTATAGAAATGGCAACGAATTACGTTTGTAGTTGGGATAGGATATCCGTATGGTAGAGTCGTAGAATAAACAGAAGCAATTGCCTCTCTCTTGATCATGCTCTTGACTACCAGGCCGTTTATGGCTTGTTCAACAACTTGCTCTTCAGTGTCCTTCAAAATTTCACTTTTTGTTATCAATATTTCGATGTCTCCAAAAATACCGTATCGTCGATAGGGCGAGCACATTCGCACATAACTGACCAGTACTTATCGCCATCAGGTGTTACCTTAACATCAGTTTTGGTTTTTTGAAGTTGTAACACTACCACTGACCTCTCCGTATCTACTGAGAATTGTGACGCGGAAGAATGGTACGTTCTTATCGGGGAAGTATAGCCAAGTGAAGTTCTCCAGAAACTCTGTCATTGGTTTTTTCAAACCAATTCCTACAACAAAGACCTGCAAAAGAAAAAAGTATTAATACTCTTCATCTTGCGTATTTACTTTGTTATGAAGAACTTCTAATTCAGAGCAGAGCTTTGTCTCCTTAATGAGAATATCAATTGGCGCAGCATTGAGGAGAACGTCGTATTCCATCGTCTTCACCTCATCTGAACCTTTCTCTATGTAATTAACAGTCTTTTCCTTAGGATTTACTCCCACAATCTGAAACACGCATAAGTTATTATGTTTCAGTTTGTTGCTTCCAGACTTTGGTGTTGAACTTGAACCAAGTTGAAGGCAACTTCTTAGCCATTGAGCCCCAAACGTTACCAGTACCTCCGTACTTAGGGAACGTGAAGCAGGAGTTTGGACCCCAACCGAAATCGGCATTCTGAAACCGAAACCAAGGTAATTTCTCTTTTTCTTAGAAAAACAAACCGCAAGCTCGTCTTGGTCCAAGGCACACAACTCTTCGAGTTTAGCCTGGGGTAATTTGGCAACGCGAGTTCCAACCCAATTTGGAGACATCTTCACTGGGTCGACAGTCCATACCTAAGAGGGATACAGTTAGAAAGATGAACCAGATGAGCATAAACTTTGCGTGTATACGGCTTGAAAAAGCTTTTCAAGATTGTTGGACCGAAGTGTTGAAGAACCCATTCGTCGAAGTTCTCAGGGAATCCTTTAGGCTCCTACATTCCGTTAATAAATTCAAGCTTCACATGAGAAAACTAACATTCTCATATCGTTCTTTCAAATCAGCTAAGCAGTTGTTCTTAATCTCATCAGGAAAGAGGGGGACAGCATATTGGGCTGGGTAAGGAACCAGGTGAATTCCCTTCTCTCCATAGAGATAGTTCATGTCAACCTAATTAACTTCTTCAGTGAAAGTTATTTTCACAGTCCTACCATGCAGTTTCTTGCCAAGCTATTCCAATCTTCTACAGCCCAACGAACAGCTTTTTCATAGTAAGGGAAATTATGATTGAAAGTGATATGTCCGCCCATATCCCACAAGAAGCCATTGTCGTCTTTGACAGTGCATGCAAGTCCTCCAGCATAAGATTCCTTTATGAATATGGCTCTAACTGGTAAAACGCAGAGATAAACCAAACCTGTTCAAAAAGAACGATCTCAACATTTTCCGTTTCTTCAGCTTTTTGTTGGATGAGCTCGTTGAGACGATAGGCTGCTCCAAGACCTGTCGGAGCTGCACCAATACAGACAATCTTCATCTGTAGATAGAGAATATGAACAAAAGTTATAACAAATTAAAATGTAGAAATGTTGTCCAAAATGGAGTACGAGGATAAGAATGATGTATTTTAAATAACAATAGAAATTGATAAGATTGAAAAGAGATAAAAGTGAGAAACAAAGGAGCGACGACCCAGAAAGCCACTCTCGATTGACCTAAAAAGGTTCGGATGAAGAGAAAACTAATCATTGGTTGTATGAATTTGATAATTTTCCTATTATATCTTTTTATTTCTATCCCCTCTAATTACCACTAATTTATATCCCGTAAATAGAACTTTCGTATACACTGGACTGAAGTATCAAGGCGTAGAAGAGAACAAGAAGCTTTTCTTCTCTCTTACTAGCTATTCCTCTTATGGCGACAATTATTTTCACAATGAACACACATACTCACCAATAGAATTTGGACTTTAGGACTTTGCACCCAAGGCCTTTCCTACCGTTTGAGTTCAAAGGTGGGGTCAATCACATCTGATAGTCGTAAAAGCTGGGTCCCTCTTCACTTCCCCCTTATCTTGTTCAAGAACCTTCCCAATCTTTTTCTTCCTTCATTAGTTTTTTTTCAATGAATCTGAAAGTATTTCAGAAATGTAATGCTTTTGATCATTTTTATCAGAAATGGAAAACTTTATTGTTTCACATACCAAACTAGACAGAATCCATTCATTAACTATCATAATAGATATATGGGATACATAAGGGAATTTTCGTTTCTCGAAAAATATGACAATGACGAAGAGAAGAGAAAAAAAAGAGAAATTAAAACGAAACAGAGAGAATAAAACTAGAGAAGTTTGTGCAAATATGAACATTTCACCCGAGGACTGTGATGATACTAAGTATTAAAGGGTTTTCTTCTTATTTCGAAGAAAAAATAGGGATTCTCCTTTAGTATCAGAAGAAACTTTTTTTGGATCAGAGGAGAGAAAGAGAGAGAGAGAATAGAGAGAGAGGCAAAAAGCGAGAGAGAAATAGAGTAAGAACATGTCTATGACAACCGATCACAATAATTTACATACTGGTACGAATGGATGGATCTCCATGTGAGGCACACTGCCTAGCAATATTCTCTTCAGCAGTCATTTTCAAATCAGAAACTAATCCGAAGTAGGCACAGGAATCGATGAAGATCTTTGTCCAGTTGTATTTCAAAGAGTACTCAGATGTACGATAATCTTGTGGGAAGGTATGGTGATAGTTGTGTCCTCCTTCTCCAATAGCAGTTACAGTTGTCCAGAGGGATTCAACTGGACTGATTTTGCTGTCATAAGGCTTGTATCCAAAGCTGTAAACGCATGATAAAGTCAAATTGTTGTATGAGCGAGAAATAGCTTTCCAACTTGAAACTGTTAAATGTGAGATAAAAGCAGATTTTCATTTTATATCGAATAGAATCAAAATTTCATTTTTTTTATCTTTCTCACTCTTCCTTTTCACTGATAAACGATCAAATGCTTATGAAATATCATATCAGGCTGGTCTTTGCAAAAAAGAACTGAAAGAGACTGCGCTTTTGAGTTCTGAACTTTTGAAGAATTCATTATCAACCGCTCACTCCGCCTTGTATCTATGTAAATGGAACGCTTATGTTGCAAAAGTCACGTGGATTATCTCACGTGAAAAAAACCCGTGAGGTACTCCACATGACATGAATGTAATTTTTTGGAAAAGATAGTGCTTTCGGTAATTGAATTATAAAATTTTTAGGATTCTCTGATAGTATGATCAACTTACGCATGAGCAGCGCTGTTAATGAACCATGTGGCGTGCAAAAGAAGGCAATAACGAGCTAACCCAGCAGTGTAGAAAGCTACTAAAACACTTTCACCCCAGAACCTAGAAAAATGTATGATAAGATATATGTATCGAACGATTGTTCTCACTTCACTGGAATAACGGTGGGTAACAGGAAGCAGAAAATGAGAATAAGAGCCATGTAGTATCTATAAAGGTGGTTTGAGTAACACATGACAAGCATAAGTAACATACTTTCTTTGGAATCTCAATACTGGATCAGCAAAAAGATCAGATAAATCTAATTTTGCTCCTTGTTCTTTGATTTGTGGATGCTTGCGAACTAAGAGCCATCCCATGTGAGCGAAGAAGAAACCGCGAGTAGTGTTGTGAGGATCGGCATGTGTATCAGTCCATTTATGATGACAACGATGATCTCTAGCCCATTCAATGATATCATTCTATAGCGAGTAAATAATGAATCATATGATTTTTTTCAAATATTACTTGTAAAGCTGAGCAGTTCATAAGCATGAGAAGAACTCTAACTGGGAACGAAGCTTTGTAAGAACGATGAGACCATAAGCGATGAGCACCAGCAGTAATTCCGAGTCCTCCGAAGATGTGAAGGAAGAACACTGTAAATGATGATGTTTGAATAGGTGCTGCTTGTCAGTAACATACTGAAAGCCAATGTTTGCCATTTGGCAACAGTGAACATTTGGTAGATTCCTATTCCTGCTCCAAAATGGAGGGCGGCGAAGAGAGCAACATTTCTCCAAACAATAACTGGTTCGAAGTTGATCTACAAAGAACAAGTATGATGAAACCATATTATGTATGATGTCAATCTCACATTCTTAGCTTCTTCCTGTAATTTAGTCATTTCCTCTAAATCAGCAGCCAAGAACTGTTCAGCAATTGGCTTATCGGCCTTAACGGCCATCTTTCTGGATGTGACAACAGTCATGATTGGTTATACTGAAAATAAATAAAAATAAATAAGAGGAATTATGAGAAAAGAACATTAAAAATCAGAAGAACGATGAACGAATGATAGCAATAGATAGGAGACATAATCACTATTCCTATAAATACATAGTGATAGGGTGTAAGGAAAAGCATCTGAGATTATGAATTAACATATGTATCTCAGCTGGAGCTTTTCGCACAACAAGCTTTGAGCTTTAAGGTGGCAACTTTTGAGTGAACCCTTGAAAGGGCACAGAAGGCGGAGCTATGAGTAGGGGGTTGGCTATGGCGTGATGGCACCACCCGATCAACCGAATCAGATAGAGTACACGGTGTAGTCAAGGCAGTAGCTAGTGATCATTGAATGCATAGAGGAGTGATAGAAAAAAACATGTAAAAGATGTGAATAACGGCTGTAAACTGCAAGAGAAGTTAAACAGAATCAAATAAACTAGAAACTGGTAGGAAAAGAGCAAAATGGTTGACAAAAGCAAACTTTTCGTGTCAGATGTTTGGGAGGTCGGATGATTCTCTCTGTTCTTCTCATTATCATCTGAGGTTGAACGAATTTCGTGGAACAAAATACATTTTCATGTAAAGATGATCAAGGTAAACCATGTCTTGTCCATGACAAAGCTGTTTGTTGACAAAAGCATTCTTCCTAAAATGGTCTGGTAGGTGTGAGGAGGCAAGGAATAGTCATAGCAAGAGAGGAAGGAATAGAAGGCGAATGAGGGAGAAGATGCGAATATGGGTGGTAGAGATAAAAGAGAGAGAATCGAGTTTTTTTCTGTTAAAATTTTAATTAGTTGAATACAAGTATATGACAGAATGAGTCAATTAGTGTAGAGATAATTGTTTTTCATAAATCAAATTGACTGAATAAGTGAACTGTTGTCCGAATGGCACATGATGCAAATCACTTTTCAACAGTATCATAGATGAGAATTATTTAAAGCTATTTATATTATAAAAATAGCATTTCTCTTTTACAATTAGTTTCTAGCTATAGAAGAATTAATAGATGAAATGCTTTAGATTATTAAAATAGATTTGAGAGTTGAAAGCTGAAATGAAAATGATTGAAATTAAGGAGGCTTTTATATGAATTTGCTTATCATCAGAGGGTGTAGTCGTGCAAATTCAACAACATGGTGTAGCATAGTCGCCTAATATGGTGAAGTCGTATTTAGCTGTATACTTTGTACTTCTGCTCTACTACACGTAATTATCATTGCTTGTTTTAAAAAACGTACCAAATTCATTATTTTGTTATTACCGTACTCGTTACCGTATATGTCATTGAATGCTGACTCGTCTGTATGACTTAATTGAAAATATTTAAAAAAAAACAGATTTTCATGTCAAACAAACATGTATAATATGATATTATGCTGATTATAATAAATATTTATTACAATTTATATAAGAATGTACACTATATGGCAGACAATAGATTTATCTTTTCATTTGTCGAATTTTCTCTAACCATGATTTCTTTTCTGTTTTTTCCGGCTTCGTATGTCCTGAGGCTATTTCTATCGGATTACAAACAGCATAATTATTATTATCTTTAGAGTCATTCGTTTCTAATGTACGAGATCGTTCAATTATTTTAATTCCATCGCATGTTGCTACACGTTGATTAGTTTCGAGTGTTCGCTAAATAATTTGAAATATATTTGCCTTTTATACGAATATGCTTACAGCTTTCATTTGAGTTGTGGATATGGACGGCGGTCTAATTCGGCTTCCTTGAACAGGCTGTGAGCGCTGCAGACGAACTACTGGTTTAGCATCAACCATACGCTTTTCCTCTCTCTTAATTTGATTATGTATGAATATATATACATAAATTAGGGCAGAAGCTTACCTTTCGATCTTCACGCTCTTTAGCTAACTCATCACGTAATCGGAGTACATCTTCTCGACGTTCTACCAGATTCCTATCATCATACCTACTTTCAGAACTAAATCCTCTTTCTAGTTTACGGGCTCGAACTGGTTGGTCATTAAGTGAATCATGCACTGAAAACAATTTCCTCAAAACGTTTTCAAGGTTAATTGATCATTTTCTTTGTTTTTAACAACCATTCTGAGCGTCGTACATGAAGAAACACAAGAACGTTCTTATACTTTCATAACTCACATCTACTTGAACACCTCTTTTCTGACGCGAACATCCGACGTCCACTAACTGGAGTCGAGTTAGGACTTCGTATCGTATGCACATCTTGTAGTGAACTGACCACTGATCGTAGATCACGTGCTCTGTAAAATAAGAAACGAATGACTTTTTCTTTATAGTTTCTTCAGCTTGGAGATCGAGCCAAAAAAAAAGGTAGAAAGGTAACACTCGTACGATCACTTACGTCACATTGTCAGAATTCATATCGCGAACATATTTAATACTTCTTCTACTTTCTTCGAAACGTGGCCATTTGATGCCATCCTCAATTTCAACCAAACTAAATAAGGAAGTGTTTTCAAGTTTTCAGTTGAAAGAGAGTACCTTATTGGACGCCGTTCATGCCTTGATGAACTATAATTTGTTTGATCATAGATGGGTGAGAGCTGAATGTTTCTTTGTCTTCCTCCAGACATTTCTCTCATCATCAGCTCAATTCGAGAAGTAGGTAAAGCATAAGAAGTCTGTGAATGTTTCTCTTGAGCAACTTGAGCTAAAACATATGGAAAATAGTGAGAAGATGTCAAAAACCTTGCTGACCTCTACTATTTGAGCCAAATAATGATAAGAATTCATCTTCTATTGATTTATCCAATACGTCATCAACATTCTTCCTTTGAGCTCTTCTCATATTTTCAATTCGAGAGCCTTGCAATTTGAATGGCAAATAGAAGTTGAATTCATTACGAATCTGTAAAATGTAATATTGTGTTCATTTCTTTTCTGATCAAAATGATATTGTATAAACGAACAAGTCTTTCAGAATAGTGTTCTCCATGATAAGAAGCTGGACGTCGTCTCCTTCGTTTCTTTGCTTTACATCCAATACGCAATCTTTCAATCTGAATAGCAGAGTACTTTCATATTTTAACATCATCATGATTCATTCTACTTGAGCATGTGTAATCAGAAGAGAAGTTTGAGTTGCAATCAGTTCCATCTCTGCTTTGTTTACTTCCGATGACTTTTCTAGGACAGTCCACCTACAAGCTTTCTCATGTAATCAGCAAATTTTTCTTTTTTTTCTCTTTCATTTTGAAATGATTAAAGGTAGTGAGATGAAACATTAAACTGACCGTAGTTCGTTCAGCTTTCGTACAATTCCGCTTGTGAATGAGTACAATGCTTCATATGATGGTAATGAATCAATTTTTCGTCGAATAACAGCATCCATAGATCCACATTCTTGAGGAAAATTAAAAAAATATTTTCGTATTTTCATGTCTATTAAGATACCTTTGAAACGTTCTTTCAATAAATTAAAATTTTCTTTTTGTACTTTCTCTAATTGCTCCAAACATGTTTGATGTACAGCTCTCTCCTGTGCTGACTTGTTCAACGTCTGAATTAGCAAATTGAATTCTTGGAAGTAAAAAAAAGGACGAAAAAGAACGTTTCTTCCTTAAAATTCTCTTTCATTTTAAGTGAAAATGATCAAAGGGCGAAGGTTTGGACGAAAACGAAGTGTAGCCAAGCTATCAGACCATATGAAAGTACGTCAACCCATGTGGACTCTCATAATATCAAATTCTATTTTTTGATTAAAAATCTCGCAACTGATAAAAGAATTTCTCGGACATTACGTCATTTCTCCGACATCATCTGTTGCAATATTTTTTTCTCTTTTTCTCTTTTTGTTTGAAAAAAAAAGAAAAAGAAGAAGCAGATGGGGTGATATGTAGATTCTTCAAAATATGTTTTGTTGATGATGATGTCTAAGTAGGTAGGACATGTATGTATGTTCAATAACATGCTTAATTATTTAAATAATAAAGATATTGAAAGGATCATGAACTATAGATGCTTATAACGATAGTGTTGTTCCTCAATCTCTTACTCACTCTAACTTCAGTTCTCTCTTTATCACTCTGTGTGTAGTCTAGTACGAACCTTCTGGTGTTGGTTTGCTGATTCTATTCGTGCAGCTTGCATTCGGCTATCAACCTTCCGCAAATTATCATCAATCTATTATAATTATATTATTGAAATATGTGATATTATTATAATAAAAACCTTATCTAAAAATAAAATTGATGTTTTAGTCAATCTTTCATCAACAGTCAACTTATCCAACGCTTCATTGAAAGTACATCGTTTCACTAGATGATCAGTCTGAAAGGAAGAATTACATTTTGGAATTTCAAATCAAAATATTCAAAATATACATTCAAAATACTTTAATTTATCTAAAGTTTTTCAATATTCAAATGATTTATAACAATATGAAATCAGAAGAAATGAGATTCTGTTTTTGATTCTGAACAGCTTGTAATGAACATACCTGTTGTTCCAAGCGGTTTATATGAACCTGAAGCTTACTGTTCTGCGAACTTTTCTCTCGTAATTGCTCAACTAATCGCTGGTTTCTTGTCTTCAAAGAAATTTGCAACATAATTTGGTTTTTTAAAAAAAAATAATTTTTGATTTACTTTTAATTCTTCGATTTCAGCAGCTAGACCATCCTTCTCATGGCGTAAACGTTCTTCACGATCTACTCGCAACATGGCTTCTTCAAGTTATCATTTTTTATCCTAGATTATAATTAATAATATTACCATTACTCGAATAAGCATGATTAACGCTTAGAAACGAACTCGTTTCTCTTCGAGCCCTCATATTATCCGAGTCTTCGCTATCGTCCCGAACATAGTATGAAGCTGGACGAATTGGCTGAAACATGAGTTATTCAAAATAAGTTTTTGACATCGAGTTTCATACTTTATGAAGTTGACGAGTGCGATGATTTTCTGAAAATTTAGATTATTATTGCAACAATGTATGTTTCAGAAAGGTTTACCGTTTATGTCATTTTGTGAAACTCTTCGTTTTCGTTTTTTCATTGCAGGCTTAACAGGTGGAAGATGACTAATCCCAGTTTGTTTCCCTCGTAATCCAAACATTTCCAGAAATGATAATCGACTTGAAGCTATGAAGCAGAATTAATTCATATGAATAAGAAGGATGTGAAAAACATACTCATGCCTTCGCTTGGGTCTCGACTAGAAGAAGCTGATGACGGCGAAGTACATTCACTTAAGGACATTTCACATCTTCGCTGGGTATTCCTTCCACGGCGTTGTTGATCGTACAAAGAGTGATCATCCTGGACGTAGAGAATAATCGTTACTAATGATGATATACTTTTATTGATAATTATGCTAATTAATCAATCGATAATCGGGACGCGTTGTAAGCTGAACACCAAAACGTCCAATATGCTAATTATTCGATCAATAACATTGACAAGTCAATGTTCAATAGAGCGGTTTACAAATTGAAGAATGCTTACTGAGAAGATGTTGTCGTCCAAATCACTGTCAGATAATTCAGGCTGAACTAGAGGAGGTCCACCTCCTCTTGTCCGAGAATCAACCGACAAATCAGTTGAGATAGATGATGTCGTTAAGCAATCCTGCAGAAACGTTAAGATGTGCAAAAAAAGAAAATTTCATTAGTATCCCTCACTTTTCTTGGCGGAGTGCACATTCGTTCTCGGGCTCCCAAACGTACTTCACTGTTCGTAGTGTGTTTTCGAAGTTTTGGAAGGAAGTTTGTTCGATTATCAAAGATGGCTGACATACGTTGTACCATATTCTGAAATCAGAAGGATAAACACTTAATCCTTTCAAAATATTCATGCTCAATATGACTTGAGAGAACTTGAAAACATCAGGGTCATTAAGTTCTTCAAGTTTGTTATCAACTAGCTACTTTCAGTTTCAATGCATTTTCAAACAAATGACGTTATGGAAGCTCAAAAGGATCATTTAGAATTGCCTACATTATGATTATTCTTCTGATATGTACTCATAAGTAATGATCCAACAAGTTGGAGAGAGAATGATAAAGTGAAATAGAAAGAACCTTGGTCCGACTTGGTCCTGGAGCCAAACGAGTCTTCAGCTGTCGGTTTTCATTACGCAAAGAACCGATTTCGTCAACTAAGCTGCATAGAACACCTGAAAAATTTGTATTATCTGATATTTCTGATTGTATTATACTCAGAATGGGTGCTGGGTCTTGTGGTATGTCTTCTTCCTGTTCAGCTTGTTGAATGGATTGTCGCATATCCTCGAGCTCACGTAAGAACTCCTCTTCTTCGGATTCATATCTGAGAGCACAAATTTAATAAAGTACATTGTATTCCTTATAAGGTATGTTTGAAATTTTATATTTGACTATTCTTCAGAAGGCATTTTGTTTAATCTTTGACCATTCTGAAAGATGGTCGTGGCCGTTTTGCTCTTTTTTTGGAGAAAAGAATGGAGAAGAATCTCATGAATCGAATAAAACTAATTTGAAGAGCAGAAAAACAACTTGATTATGTAAATAAGAGGGTGGAAAACGTTTTCCTGTCACATAATGCAAACCTGCCAATGATGTCGCGTACGGAATATGCACCGGTCACTGGTGAGGACGACATGACGACGACAATGTTGACAAACTGATCAGCTTTCCAAGATTTTTAGAGATCGCCACTCTCTATATCTCTCTCTTACTCTTCTTCCTCTTCAATTTTATTGTTATCTTCTTTTTCTAATGAGCAACTGTCTCTTTTGGATGTTTTATTATTTTCTTCTAACTATGTGCTTCAATTGCTCAGGTTAATCCCTTTGGTGCCTCATTGTCGTCAACAGCGGCTTTTCCATCTTCTCGTATCTCTACTCTCTCTGCTATCTCTTATGCTATATGACCATATTTCATATATCATTTTCTTCTTTTTTCGAGTCATTCACTGACCTCAGGGCGAATTGTGAAGAAGCATCAAAACATCGAGGATTTGGTGACAAGTGTAATAAATATGTTACTCTCTCTCTTAACATCTCTTTATCTCTAATTCTCTTACTCTTACAGTGTTCTTGTTTCATTCGAACACCATTCATTCTTCTATTCAACATCTCTGATCCTCTGTAGTTGGTGTGATATGAAAATCAAAGATAATCTTATTGAAAGTACACATAAGGAGGCTTCAACTTTCTCTTTCAAAACGGCTCGAATAACAAACAAATTGGAAGAGAATATCATTCGCCATTGAAGTTCCATTGTTTTGAAACAACTAATTTGGAATAATCTATTGAAGTTGCGAGTTGAAAAGAAACGTTAAAAGTCCAAGTTCGGTCATTCTCCATTTTATTCAAATCCAAAATAATAATATCCTTCCGTTTATTGTGTTCAGATGTTGCCCTTCATATGTGAGCAGGAGGAAGGCGATAACGAGAACGAGTAGAGATAGAGAGGGGGGAGGGAGAGAGAGAGATGAAGCTTAACCATTCTTTCATATCTATCCGTAAAACAGAAAGCCTTTCCGGGTCCGGAAATGTACTGCTTTCGCTTGGATGCGCAAAATAATCTTCAGGCAAAGACTTCATGTAATGGACCGTTAAATACGAATAACCTTCTCTCATCATTCCATAGATGGAATTATTTGTCGAAAAAAAAAGAGGTAAAAAAGGTTCAAGAAGAGAGATATAGAGAGGAAGGAAGAAGGAATTAGAGCAAAAAGAGAGTCAGAGGAGTGCTCAGGTGAATGAAAGGTAAAGCTTCTTCGCTAACGTTCTCTACCTCATTCTCTCTTTTTTTCCTTTCAATGCTTTCAGAACCGAAAATTTTGTGTATTTCATCCTTATTTGGAGATTCTTACCTATCTTTGTCCTTCTTCAACATCTTTCTCTTTCTGCACATGTCAACTCATAACTGATTTCATGAGTTAAGCTCTCTCTCTCTCTCTCTCTCTCTCTCTCTCTCTCTCTCTCAGACTCTCTGAATGTTTCGTCTCTCACTTCATTCTATGAAACACATTTTTTAATGTTTTTTTCGGCTTTTTTAACAATTTTTATTTGCAAAAATAATTTTTTTTCTTCTCCGTTTTCAGTGTCTGATTTGTCAGAATATTTCCGTCAAATCATTTGACCAGAAATTTGTAAAAATAAACGAAAAAGATTTTGAGCTTAAAAGTAATTTGGCTGAATTTCTATTTGCAAAAATTTTTGTGTTTTAATTTCATAAAATTGGAGTAAACCTTCGTAAGTCTTTATCCGACAATTGTACAAGTTGATCGCTCATAAATCTCACCGGAATATCCGAGAGAATGTTTGAAGCTTTCAAATAATTTTCTTTTTCGTTGCATTGCTACGTCATACCATCATGACGTAAGTTTCAAACCATTTAAGGAGCTTTATAAGAAGAATATTGATGTAAATATATATATATATCTTTGAAGAACAACAGAAAGAACTGCATGTCTTGGAGTTTTCTTCCCAATCTATCTGTTTCCCTTCTATTTTTTTGTTTCTTTTCTCTTTGTTTCTGTCTTTCATCCATGTGCAAGAGAGAGAGTGAAAGAGAGAATGAAGGAGGGTTAGAGGCTGACTTGCTGTCTCGAGAATAACTTTCATTCTTCACAACTCCTTCTTTCGTCTGATTTGGTTGAATTTTGATTAATTTATGTTTTTTTTCCAAACTTGCTCTCATTCTCTCGTTTTCATATTCATTCAATATCTTTTTACTCTGTTTTTCCTTCGTAAGGTCAGAGTCTGTTTTGTAACTCTTATACCTCCCTCTCAGTTGACACCAGTGCTGCATCTATCGCATACATACATATATGTACATGCTACTTCTGTCTACATATATAACTTTTTAAGGTTTTCCCTCGGAGCTTTTCAGAAGCTTCCTTCTCCCTCTCTATCTCTCTCTCTCCCTCTTTCCCTATTTAGAAACCCTTTAACTCATTCAAATCTACTTCCTATTCAATATTTTCCTTCAATGTTGCAAACTTACTGAAATTATTTGTTGAAAGACAAAAGCCAAATTAGAGTCAGATGACTTCATCCAATGAGTCCCAATGATTCGGAGATGAATTGTACCTGATCGTCTTCTACATGACTTGACCAACCACCTTCCCTCAACCTTTATACCTGAAAATCTTTGTCTTTCTCATTCTCGCTTCACCCATCCGTCTCCCTCTCTCTCTTTCTTCTATACCTTCCGGTAATATAAATTAAAAATATGTATTTTTATTTCAATACTCTCAAGTATTCGTATTTGGCATTGGACGAATATAGATCGTCAGCATCCGTTAAGCTCTAAGCTATAATAAAAAGAAAAAAAAGAAACAAAGGTTACTCATGAAATCTCTTTTTTCCCATCTCATGTTTATCTCGTTTTATTCTATTTCCATACGAAAGACTCTCCCATAGATTTTGGCTCGTCATTAGGAGAACGTATCAGTTCGTTGTCGTCGTTGTCATCTTGAAATAATCAGACCGCTTGGCCATGGTGCCTACTTCTATCTTAGAGATGAGAGCTCCAAAAAAGGAGAGAAGCTGAGAAAGAGAAAGTAAGAAAGGACTATATCTTCCATATTTGGAAGTCATTTCATAAATATCTTTATCCTTTATTCTACCAATGTTCCAAAACTTAGTTTTATTTTTCATGTAAACATCTTCATTTCGTTTCTTCAACAACGCCATCAGCTTTTTCATTTTTTTTTTGAAAAAGAAATGTTAGAAAGCACAAAATGGGATAAGAACACGAAAAAACATATAATTTTTAGACAGAAAAGAAGACAAAATGTTCTTTTTACTCAAGGTTGTTGATGAATGATGGAGAACAAAGGTTCTGGAGGAAGAAAATATGAGCTTAATAGAGTAGAACAGAGGTATTGCCAGAGAGATACAGAGAGATAGAGAATGATGGCAAAGTTGCGAGAAAAGCAACCAAAAGTTTTGGATAAGAAGAGAGAGAAAAGCAAAAGTGAGAGTAACATTAAGCATTTTTGATGGAGAGAAATTAAAAAATAGAGAGAGAGAGAGAGGGAGAGTGAAGGAGAGATGACGAGGATGAAAACAACAAAATGAAGAAGTAAAAGCTGAAACAGCATAAGCCGTCTGTGGAGCCATCTATGACGAAAATTATAAAAAAAAAGAGAAAAAAAAAGAGAATAGGAAGTAGGAAATGATTTTCGTCGTCTTCAGGTTTAGAGTTCATGATGATCAGAGTGAAGGAAACTAGATTTTCAATCCCAAAAACGCAAATTCGTGTCACTTAAAAGGAGATTTTCTCAAATATTCAAAGCTTCAACCCTTTTTGATGTTCAGTTTGAGTCATTGGTACTCACCGTCCAGATTTTCAATTAGATGTTTCTGTGAATTTTCAAACAAATGGCTTCACATCTTTCAATTGATTGTAATTTTTTATTGCAAATTCCAGCATTATTTTCTTTTATTTTTTTATAAAATACACACACACATACACACATGCACACACAGGAGCAGAGAGTAGCACACAGAAAAAAAAATATTTTAAATATGCAGTTCCGACAACTTACTGCCAAATAAGCGTTTAACCCACATTAGCATATTGCTTTGATTCACGTGACTCACGTAGCATATGTGTCTTGATTCAACGTTTTTTTGTTTTGTTTTATATTTCCTTGTTGACTGATCAGAAGGCGGTTGAATTTATTTTTCCTTCTCCTTCTTCTTCTTTTTTTATATTTCTTCCTCACTCAGCTAGTTTATTCAATTTCCTTGAGTTAGTTCATTAAACTTCTTAATCTGGACTTTCCAATGTTATTTTCCTCTTCCTTTTTCTATTTTTGAAACTATTTTGTTATTATTGGTCATATTCAGCTATTACCTCATCTACTAGTATTCATTCAAATCTGTTTACTTTCTTCTATGCCATATAGAAATGGAGTGAAAGTTGCACTAAAGATGTCTGAGAGAGCATTCCTGACCATCCAAATGAACTCTTACACGTTTCATCTTCATCGTCTGCTTTTTGCTCTCCTTCGCGTTTGAAGCATTTATTAGACAGAGATAAATGAAAGCATCTACTATCTATACGCCGACATCAATGCTCGAACTTCCCCATTCTTGACTTGTAAGGCTAAAAAAAATGTTGAAGAAGACAGAGTTAAAGCTGAAATGAAGTTTCAAGGGAAATCCTGAGAGTGAGGCATCGAGTGATATTGAAAGTATAAAACAATGGAAGTTTGCCATTCTTACATTCTTAATCCGTACTTCGTTTAAACTTTACGGCTTTCGAATAATGAGACGGAATAGGATTTTAAAGAGGTTTTAAAGCTGGTATCATGTTGCTTTCCGTGAGGTTTTCACACTTCTCATTCATTACATACTCTTCTCCTCTTCTTCAATCTCTCTCTCTCTCTGTATCTCTCTGTATCTCTGTCTCTCTTAAACTCTCTTCATTTCTTCTACTAATTCTCTCTCCGTCTTTTTTTCACTCTCTGTATTTCAGACACTAAAACAAGCTGACTTCTTCTATCCCTCCCACCCTTCTTCTAATCTTTTCTATTCTTATTTTATTTCTGTTGCATCTCTTCATTCGGACTTCTTCCTCATGAAGAACATCCAGAATTTTACCAAAAAAACTCTTTCTTCCGAGAGATTCTCAATTTAAGAAGTTTCGCCTTGACCTCCTGGGACTTGTAGCTTCCAAAAGAGGAACTATCTCGTTAAGGAATATCCATTTGCAGTCATTTTTTCTAGTTCCGCCGTCTGTTTTGTCATCTTTTATGGGCTAAAGTGTTAAAAGACACCTAGTGATGTACACATTTTTAAGCTTAAACGAAGATAGATCACTGCCATGAATGAAGATGAAATGCCAAAAGCGAAAAGAACAAAATGGGTGGAGAAAAGGAGAAAGTCAAAGAAAAAACTTTCTCTCCTGTCTCAGCTTTTCCATATCGCGCTCACAAACGAAGAAAAGAGTGAGAAGTTGGTAGTGGTTTAGAGTAGAAGAGGAGAAGGAGGGAGGAGTGGTGGTGGTGGGGGGGGGGGGGTTTGATTGCGAGAAAGCGAGAGTAAGTTGTAGTGCGACAGTTGCAAATAAAAATAAAGAGAAAAGGAAAACATCCACATATAAACACGTGAATTGTCTAATTTCTATTCAAAGATTGACGTTCATTTTGAGAAAATTTTTTTTTATTTTCTTCGTCTCGTGCATTGCTGCTTGTTTGGCTCATCATTTCTCATTATTGTATCAACTTATCCACCTCTTGTCGTCATCTTCATTTTCCATTTTTTTGAGGCTCAAACAAAGGGATTTTGGTTAGCAGAACAGTTATGTTCCTGCTTTTACACAACGATTTGTGAACATTCTCTTTCCTCTCCTATTCTGTCTATATTTGGTCTATTTTTACCTACGTAACTACCACATTTGGTTGTTGTGATCTGTTTTAAAGAGCTGAAGAGACCTCTTGTGAAACATTATCGGAGACAGTGAAAGAGATTCTTTTTTTGTTTCATTTCCTCTTCATTTCTCGAGTTAATATCATGATCGTGGCTTTCATTTGATGTCTGAATTGATATTCAGTCAAGTAACGAGAGATATTCGAATCAGAAATTGTAAAAAGAACAACCTCCATTTTCCAAAATATCTATGTACATCCAATTAAGGAGATCCTCAATTTACATATCACATGTGTTTACATAAGACAGAAAACATCAAAAATGTTTTTCTTTTTACTCTCTTCTGCCTCATTTTCTGCTCGTACCCTCCCTCTACGTTCAACTGCCATCGTTCTTCCACTTTACTCTTTTACTTTCTTTTTTCTCATTCATTTCCATTGTCTCTTGTAAGCTTTCAAATCTACCTTTTATAGTTTGCTTATCCTTTCTCTCAATGATTTTTTTCTATTTTTAACAGTTTTCCTCCTCTTTTTAATTGAAGACATCTCTCTCTCTCTCTCTTCTTCTTTTTCTCTTTCTCTCTGCTTCTCTCTCTATTTCTCTTTATCCTTTTCAACGTTTTCAGGATATCAATTTGACATTTTCAACTAATTTTCTTTTGATGTTTAGTTGCTTTTTTCGCTTCCGCATTAATGAAAATTTTTAAAGAAAATAGGAAGATTCCTTTCATCCGATGAATTTCAGGAAAGAATAAGATGTCGTCAAATTCAACACAGACCCGATGTTATCCCGAAGATCACTTATTACTTATGGGGAATCTGGAAAAATACATTAATAATGTAAGTTCTCCTTTCTCTCTCCAAAAAAATAACTTCCAAAAATAAAATAAAAAAATGGAGAGAAGGAATTCCACAGTGAATTTTCCTTCTTTTAAAAGTCAAATAAGGTTTTGGATTGAAAATTTGACACATAAATTGGCTTTCTAATGCCATCTCCTGATGATTCAAACTTGACACTTCAGACGTTGAAGTTGTCGCATGAAGAGAATTTTGAAAAAATGAAATTTGAGAAGCTAAAACCTCTTAAGTTGCGTAAAAATCGGAAATTTCTTGTAAAAAAAAGAAAAAAAAAAGAAAAGAAAATTATTTTCAGTACATCTTTCCTATACAATTTCTGATAACCGTAATTGGAAATCTGCTGACGATGTCCGTACTGCTCAGTGCTCACATGAAAAATAGGTAAAAACAATCAAACCAATCATTATCTCTAATCATACTCATCCATTTAAGGGCAAATCATATACTGGCTTGCTTAGCTTTATGTGATATTTTGGTTTTCGTCATGATGTTTTCACATTATCTCGCCTCCATCGACTTCTTTTCTCAGAGTGTTGATTTTCGATTATTTCATTTTCATACAAAAGTTCATTTTGCTGCTCTCACAAATTGGTTTTCGGCTGCAGCCATTTGGTAAGAGAGAAGAAAAATATAAAAATTTGAGAGAAAAAAAGAATAAAAAATGCTTTTCAGGTTCATTCTGGCTGTTTCGATAGAACGTTTGATGATCATTAAGTATCCTTTTAGGTCATTAGAAGCTTACAACGTAAGTTTTCAAACTATTAGTGAAAATCTCATATTTCTTCAGAGTAAAAGAGTCTTCCTACTGACATCATCCATATTCACATTGACATTTATTCTAACGAGGTATAAATTACTTTTTGAAGAAATATTTGATAAAGAATCAATACAGTTACCATCACGTATCTCATACCTGTTTATCATGGATCGTTTGTAATGAAACTCAGGCAGTTGGAATATGCTTTCCAAATGTGATGGATTCATTTGGAAGAAGGCCAAATCCAACATCTTCTTTAGTAAAAACATGGATAAACATTTCTATTTATTTGAATGCCGGTTTTGCTGTTCTATTGCCAATCATTGCAGTAGCTATCATTAATATATCTTTAATACGTCTACTTAAAAGACGAAATAATGAGGTAAGTGATCAAGCTGTTACATCATCTTCTCAGCTTCTTATCTCTTATCTTCATTAACTTTTTTTTCCTTTTAAGGAATTAATATTGAATAATGTTAATATGAACACAACGACATTGCATGAACAGGAAAAGAAAATGACAAACACTGTGTTGGCTATCGTATCGTGTTTTTCGTTAACTCAAGGACCGTCAGCTCTAGTTTTTACTTTACATCGATTGTATCCAAATGCTCCGTAAGTCTACTCTTTATCATATTGTCGAGTTTATTTCATTTTTTTTCCTTTCAACAGAGTTATGAGAGATATTTCCATTATTGCAAATCAATTGGTCTTGACGGGAAAAATGCTAAATGTGGTTTTATTCTGTTTAACATCTGAGAGTTTCCGCAAAAAAATGATGCACACCTGCAGATGCTGGATGCTCATGATCTTCTATTGCGATCGTTCCAAAGCTCGGTTTGTTTCTCATTTTCCGTTTTCAATTTGTGAGATGAGAATTCGTTAAAAAACATCCAAAACGAAGTTCAATTAGAAGGAATGAAGCGAAAAAAATAAATAAAAAGAAAGACACAACCGCTCATCAACGCCATTCGTGAAACAAATGATAAAAACAACGACGATGATCATTATGCTAATTTCCTGAACGGAACTTCATTTATCGATTTTCGGTTAAGATCATCTATAATGCCATTCAAACAGTTACCAAATGAAGATAAAAAAAATAGAATAGCGAAGCAGCAAAAAGGACTTTTCATCTTAATTTTTCAGATGGCGCATATCTCGGGAACAGTCAAAATCCATAGTGACGCAAAAGACATCCATCGTGTATTCTCCATCTGGACGAACACGACGTGTATCAGCTTTATCTGATTCCATTTCCATGAGAACGCAAGTTCAACGAGAAATTGTTGATTCTCCTTTGGTCTCGTCCAGAAGTCAGCAATCTTAATCGTGGACAGAAAGAAAAAAAAAGGGAGCAAAGAGAAAATGAAGAAGAAGACGAAGACGTAGAAGATGAAGGAGTAGAAAAAATAAAAGCAAAAAGAGCAGAAGCTTACAGATCAGAGAAGAATTTGGAGAAGAAAATAATTTGTTTCTGTCTCGGAGCTTATAAAAATATTATTATGCAAATTTGGTATGTACCTATGATCTCAGCGACAATCAGAACGGATTTATCCTTCTCCTACTCTTCTCAAAATTCGTTTTTCTTTCTATTTCCCATAGTATTCCTACTTGCTGTGTATAATAATAATAACTTTTCTGTTTTTTTTTGTTTGATTTGAATATTTACATTTATTTATTACTCGTCAATACCCTGAAGTGAATGAAGTCTTTGAATTTCTGTTCTTTCCTGTAAACGATTCTCTCGGATGGGAGCATTAGACCCTCGACGTGAACGTAACGTTCGCAATGAACCACGGGTGTCTGCAGAAGAATTAAAAGCAAATTCTGACAATCGCTTGCCAAAAATGCTTTGTGATAACTGAAAATATGAATTGTTTAGATCGCACTTTGTTCAATTTGTATCTATGCATTTGACGTGAGAAATAAGCGAAAAAAGAAAAAGTTTTGAGTTTGAAAACGTTCCGAGATGCTATGCTTTCATAACTTCTCTCAACTCATTTCACAATATGGTAAGTTGTCTATACGTGTATGTATGTGCGTGTATATGTGTGTTAAAATGAAAAATAAAATAGAAAAAAAGCTTACTCTGGGAAATTTCTTCAACATCATAACGAAACATTTACGTCGAAAATATTCGGATGACAGACAAAAAAGAATAAAATTGATTGTTTTTCCTGTTACAACTAAGCTGTTTGTTATACTGAAAATGGCATATATTATAATATAATTTTTGTAAAGAGATATGTAAAATGAATAAAGAAAAATACCTGAAAACGCTATAAAAGGTAACACCAAGATGACCATAGCCTTCTAGTAATTCCCATATGACCATAACAGCTGATGGACCTTGAGTTAACGAGAAGCATAAGCCAATTGCAATGACAGTTACTGTCACTTTCTGTCTTTGTCTCTTAAAGTGATGTTTGAATAATGTATTTTGATATGAATGATTATACATGTTGATTACGGTTGATAGGACCTCCACGTACAGCCTCCCATTCGGCTAAACTTGAATCAGAATTTCGTAGCTCTCGAATCATTAAAATATTCAGAAGAATGACGACAAGAATTGGAATGAAAACAACCTTAATAAATATAAATAAAGGAATGAGTAAGATAGATCTGTGAACTTACTAATACAGCATTGAATATGGTGGATACTCTCATATAAAATTTCTTCACTGGACTTGGGAAAATCTGAATGAAGAGAGATGTGATAGAGGAAGTTGTTCCAGTCACATACAATATCAATTTTCTTATAAGTTCGAGGATGTTGATCACCAGCATAATAACAAAAATCATACAATTGGGTTCCATTACAAAACGTCATGATTTCACAATCATATTCAAAATGATGATAAACAGTTAATAAGCCTTGAATGATGATATGAGGGATCTATCAATCGAAATCGTCTTACCTGTGGCGAAGAATATTGAACTCAACACAAGAACCATTTTACCTCGCTGCCAGTATAGCTTGGAGCGTAATGGTTGTCGAATAATCAGAAACCGTTCTATGGAGACGGCGAGGATTAGCCGGAAAAGGAAGAAGAATCACCATTGATTAGAGAGAAAAAAAGATTTTCTTACCAAATGGCAGCTGCGCTCATCCAATTAGCCACAGCAGCTATGTGCTGTTTGCTTTTTAAATAGAAATAACGAAAGTTATAATTATAAGCTAATGTATCAAATGAAGATAAGGAATGTGGTGACATTGATAGTAGGAAAGCTAAATCGCAAAAAGAAACTGCTGCCAGCTATAATGGTATTGATATCTCGGGTATAGGCTCCCTTGAAACATACCATATCAGAAGCGACGTTTTGTACTTCATCGCTGGCTAGCACACCTAAGTTCAACAAATTTCCCAAAACTCCAAGTGTAAACTGGACTGGAAAGAGATATCGCCAAAGAAATCTATAATATAATAATAATAAACAACATTTAAATAATAATTTTATTTTTTTTTGATTAACCTGGACAATGGATCTCTAACGAATCGCAATTCTGCATGTTTGAGGCAGGTCATGCACGGTACTGATGGCGCTAAGCTGGCATAATCAAAAGAGTCAGAAATATTAAAAAGTCGAATCGACTAGTCCCGCCACGATTATACCGCAACCACGTTCGAATACCTCTTTTGATCGGAATTAGAAGAGAGAATGTTCAATCTGGATTCTATTTCCACTGGTTGATGTTTAGAAGGTTTTAGTTAGAAAGAGCATTAATAGGGTTTGAGAGAGAAACAGAAAATGATGAGCTTAAAAGAATTGAAGAGAAATGATTGCATACAAGTTAAGAGAGACGAAGAGTTAAAGAGAGAGAGAGCATGTGAGAGAATAGAATTGTGTGGAAGGGCAAGGCAAATGAATCAAAAGTTAAAAAATGGAAGATTCAAACTGATTGTTCAAAGATAAAACTATTTGAATATTTGAAAAAGAATTAATTTAAGTTCGATAGAGAGAAAGAGAAGAAGAGTTGAAGAGAGATATGCGAAGAATGGGAGAAAAAGAATGGGAGAAGTGAGAGAAGACAGGAAGCACAAGCAGAAACCAACCGTTCTTCTAAACTCATGGACTCAAAATGAGATTGAGGTATTCCCGTGAAGGTGCGCAGCAGAGAAAAAAAAACATTTTTTTTGTAAAGAAATTAGCATATTGAACAATCGCTAGAAAGTAATAGCTGAGAAATGAGACAAGACTGAATGAATTAATTTATAAAGATTTTCTTGAAAACAGGATAGAGTTTCCATAAAATTCTTCCGCATAAGGCTAATCCTCCATGGATTCATGGAAAACGAAAAAAAAAAGAACTGAGAAGTCGTAAACAAATTGTAGTGAATTTCAATTGTTGGCTGGGCGAAATAAAAAATAAAGAAATAAGAAACTTGACCAGAAGGAAGAAATTCTTTTTTTTCTTCTCCTGAGAGATAGAGGGAGAGGAAGGGGGGAAGGGAAGAAGCAGGGAAAAGGTAGGCGAAACGAGGGAAGGGAAGTAGAAATGTGTCAGAAATTAATAAAAATAAGTCATGACAAGCACATATTATGTATCTCATGCTCTGCTATTTACACCTTCGCAGTTTATTAAATTAATTTGAAAATGATTTGTAGATATTCAAACACCAAGATTCATTATAATATATTTGTTTTGTAACATGTTATTTTAAAACATTTCTTATCACTTGAATGTGATTTTCATTCATGAGAGCTACAACATTTGGTTGTTAAGAGCATGAATAGCTTCACATAATAAGTGAGAGATGACTATCAAAAACAACTTTGATGCTCTTCTCTTAACTAACAATCAACTACTGTCTGATGTTCGGACTTGTATTTCTTACGAGCAATCTTGCTATTTCAATGTGCTCTTGCCTCATTCCACACAAAATGGGATGATCACACAAGAATTGTTTTAAACACAAATTTAATCATCAAGTTTTATTAAGTTAGTTACTATCTCATTTCTTGCACATCGATCTATCACTAGCAGAGGGAGGAAGAGTGTGAGAGAGAATGAGAGAACAAGAGAAAAGAGTTAGTGAGAGAGAGATAAGGGATCATAGAAGAAAGTTCTAAACTAAATAGATCATTTTCGATTCTCTGCAAAAGAACAAAAAAGAGAAAAAGATTGTTGAAAGAGAGAAAATGTAAAAACGAACAACATAGAGAGAACGAGGGTGGATGAGATAGAGAGAGGCTGGAGAGGAGATAGAGCATGAATATTATCATGGAAAACCCCCTCGACTCAATAAGAAGCAACATTTGAGAAAAAACAATTTCCATAAAGAACAAGATGTTTGAAAACAAATAAATAGATGGATAGTCTTGTAGATTCACATGAAAAAGCTTCAGATGAAAGGGAGTACTTGTAGTTGAAGAAAAAAAAAAGAAAAAAATTGGTCACAAACGATAAATTCCTAAATGACTTTAAACTAATAGAAGATGAAGGAAAATGGCTGAGACTGCAAGAATCGTTTTTACATTTTTGTGATTTGGACAACATTAACGTTTTTTTTCTTTTTATTATAAAAATAATTAGAAAAGGGAAGAGAATATTGGAAAAATGTTAAAATGAACATTCGGTCACAGTTAAATGACAATTTCATGTCTCTTTAAGCACTGACAGAAGCGGTCACACATGCCTTCTGATTTTACTATAAAAGGTAAGCGTCTTCATATCTCGACTATGAGTTCAGTATCAATACCGTCTCCTTCATTCTTTTTCATTTATACAATATATTATTTCAAAGAGTCTTGTTCCGAGTTTCATACATTGCTTTCACAGAATGGGTTTCTCCACCATCCTCTCTGCCGCTTCGTTAGTTATCGTTTTTGGTGCTTTCTTCAGCATCGGACGTATTGTCTATGACATAAACAATATGTATGATGATGTTATGGACCGCATGGCTGATTTCAAGGTTTGCAACTTACATCCATTTTTCGTTTATCTTGTTAATTGCTAGAACGTCGCTGATGTTGCCTGGAGAGAAGTTGTTGTCAAGTCTCAACCAACCGTTCGTGCCGATTTCAACTCCCTTATCGGTAAAAAAGAGAAATTACCTTCAGTAGCATCGGAAACCATATTATAGGAAGACACAAGAGATCCAACGCTCAATGTAACTGCGGAGCTCAATCTCAAGGATGCCCAGCTGGACCACCAGGACCAGTCGGAGATGCTGGTCTCCCAGGAAAAGATGGTCTCGATGGAGAATCAGGTCAACCAGGAGTCAACGGAAACCAAATTTACTTTGGAGAAGAAGTAATTTTGATTTTTAAAAATTTTTTTCTCTCAGTTCGCGAAATTTGGTATTACTTTGCTTGTTTTCCAGGATAAGAAGGCTTGCATCGTATGTCCAGCTGGACCACCAGGACCACCAGGACCACCAGGACCAGTTGGAGATGCTGGAGATGATGGTTACGCTGGACGTGACGGACCAGCCGGAAACCCAGGATCCGATGGACAACCAGGAGCACCCGGAAACGACGGAAGACCAGGAAGCCCAGGACACGCCGGAGCTCCAGGAGAGAACGGACGTCCAGGAGTTCAATACAGCCAAGGAACACCAGGAAAGCCAGGAAGACCAGGACCACGTGGACCAGCTGGGCAACCAGGAAAGAACGGAAATGATGGAAATAATGGAGCACCAGGAAACCCAGGACAACCAGGAAAGAACGGTGTTAGCGGTCTTCCAGGACCAGATGGACAACCAGGAACTCCTGGAACTGATGGAGAGCTTGGACCAGATGCTGGATATTGCCCATGCCCAGCTCGCACTGAAGCTATTCGTTTCATGGAATAGACCACATATTTCAAATAAAGATTTTAATCAAAAAGCACCCATATTGTTCTTGAATGTGTTTTCGACTAGTGTTCAATACAAAAATTGTTCATCAAAGGCCTTGAGAGCATTTTGTGAATCAATCAGTGATTATCTGAAGGGGAAGGGGGTGGGGGTTTCGGGGACCATTCTGGTTATTGACTTTTGTTCTCAAAAATATAAAATAGAGTACTGGTGTCTTTAATGTGTTTACTATTAAAGAATACTTTACTGTCCATTTTACCAGTTGTAGTTATTTCATGAAGGAAGTTATATCGCTGAAGAACCTGAAGTTTGATTAATTGTATTTTTCAATTTTGATTTCAACAAAAACTTCCTCCGATTGATTTTTTGCGAAGAATGAATTCTCTGAAATATAGAGTTCATTCAATCATTATTAGAGAGAAATATATTGTTGAGAAGTGAATGATAGGAACAAAGTGGAGAAAGGTCATATAGCGCAAGCTAAGAGTTTAGGTTCAAATGGCATTCTGGACAAGTGCATCTCACTTGGTTCTGATTTCTTGGCAATCTCGAACATATCACATAAACAGCAAAAATGAATGAAAATATTAGTTTCATCTACTCAAGTCAACTGATAAAATAGAGAAATATGACTAAGAGGTTCTGAGAAAGCATTGTAAAAGGAGTTCAATAAGTTTTCCACAGTGGAGAACTGTGAAGATGAAAGAATTTCCCGAAGCAAAACAGTTTGCTTTACAACATCATTAGGTGTAATCTGAATACTGATTAAGACTGTTCATCAAGTGCCACAGGAAGATTCAACGATCTAACAAACGTGTGTGTGCCATTGTCATCACTTGGAATATGTTTTTTCAGTTTGTCAAAATCGGGAATGTTTGTCACCTTTATATTATTGATAACCCAATTCTTTTGAATTTCAATATATTTAAGATTTCAGAAACGTATGACGTATGCGTTTCTACGAAAGACACATCTCATTCAGATTGAGGAGAATGAAGCATTAGACACATTCAATAGTCTTCTTTAAACATATGCATGCGTTTCTCATTCTCTATTTCCCTCATTATGAAGCATAAGCGTTTTTTTTTCTTTCTCTCCACCTGGAATCGTATCGAGTCTAACGATACGCCTAAGCTTAAGTGGCTTCATATTTGCCTTTCGACACCTCTGCTCGAATCGTCTTAGACATTTCCGGTTGATAATTTGTTTATATTTTTTATAATTTATTGTTTTCACGTGCAAATAAAATAGAAATGTTATCAAAGAAAAAAATTTTTTTTCTCATATTCAATTAAATCATTTGAATTGTTCTGATCGTTGTTTTCTCTCTCTCTCTCTCTCTCTCTCTCTCTCTCCCTCTTACTCTCTCTCTCAATCTCTCTATCTTTCTCTCTGTTTCTTAGCCCCTTTCTCTCTTATTCTATTGCTTCCTTTTTCATTCCTTTATTTGTGATACAGTTTACCAGAGATGTTCGTCAGCATAACGAACGACATTCTCATACAGATAGAGGACAGACAACAAAAACTGGACCAGCTTTTCCTTGTAAGAATGCCATTTTCTAAACCCCCAGGCTATATTTCTGACCGTTGTAATGTTTTTTGTGTCTTCTCTACAAGTCATTGTTGCAACCAGATGCCAACAACCGTTTGTCTTTTTATGGAAGTTGTTCGGTCTCTTCTTCTTTCTTTAAAAACATTTTGTCTCATTTCAACCCTCAAATGTGAATCTTTTTTTTGTGTATGTATGTTTGGGGGATTGTTCTACTCTCTCTATTTACAAAAAAGAAGTTCATTCACCTTTAATTACTTCTTTAAATCTTTTTTGTTTTGTTTGTTCAACAAACTTCCTCCGTAACCAGCTTTGCTCTGAGTGTAATCGAAGCTATGGGTGGCTAAAGCTTGACACATACGCAACGATGAAGCAAAGAAGACGAAGCTAGATATTATCCGTTGAAATGAGAAGGAGGAGCCATCCTTTCTCTGTTTCTCATCAATTTTAAAGGTGAACGACCTTCTTCTATATGATTAATGACTATTTTCTTATAATTATCAGCTTTTTCTCGTAATATTTTTGCAATTTTCATTATTTTTTTGGACAAATATTTTTCATTCGATTACGATCACTTGGAGAGTTAGGACAGCAAAAACTTCCTCCTTATCACTTTATAAAATCTCTAATAATCTTCATAATTCGTAAAAATAAGATTTAGATAAGGTGGTTAATGACTTTGAAAAAGCTTGGCAAAGGCCATCTACTTTCCTCTTCCTCTTCCACTATTTCTCTCTCACTTCCAGCATAACCTTGACGCTCTTGGTTTCCTTTTCCGGGGGGAAAGAAGGTGCATGGAGAGGGGGGGGGGGGATAGAAAACTTTGATATCTGTGAAGCAAGTCCGTTATTCTTTTTCTCACACATGGTTGTTGTTTTTTTTCTCTCTGTTTTTGTAGGTCTTCTGATAACACCATTCAACAATCGGATGTCAGCTGAGGTCAGGCAAACTTCTGGTAATCGTCGTACACCTGCCAACCCACCCCCCTGATTTACCATAACCAACTTCCTTCAAATATTTTCTATTAAAGATCATTTGTACTTCTTTCTTTGCAAAATAAAGTACAGAAGCATTGTTCAATTTCATATTTTCTTTTTATAATTTTGTAAATTACTCGTCCTTGCCCATCCAACCGATTGCTCAACTATCCAGTTTTCGTTCTTAACCAAAATCATTAACTTTCTATTGATTTCGAAGATAAGCTGGATATTACTCTTCTCGATTTCTCTTATCCTTTCTTCTGCGTCGTCTTTCACATAATTTCTTATATACTTTACCGGTTTTCTTTTGTCTTTTCTCAATCATTTTATGGTAATGACCTTGCCTTAGATGGTTTACTTTGCCCTTAACTTTGTCTGCCATCGGGTGCTTCCATCCCCACCCCTCCCCTGTTTCTGATTGATGGATAAGCTTAAAAAACAAACAAAGCAATATGAAAACTTTTCCTTTTTCACTACCCTCTCCATCCTTGACATATTTTTTTTTCCAAATATGAACTGGTAATTTCTTGTTTTCTTCCGAAAAGTTTATAAAAACTGACGGAAATTTCAAACAGCCTCTTCCGCATGCCTTCCTCACTTCCTCTCTTCCTTCAAACATTTTCTTGAATAACGAGGGAAATTATAGCTACTCATGTTTACCACACACTTTCTGATGGACAAATGACAAGTTGCATCATCATCGGCTTCTGCCTTCTTGTCTTTCCGGTTTTCTTTTCGTTTTTTTCTTGGCTTTTACCATTTGACGGACAAACGGATAGTCTTTATGTCATTTCAGTTCCAGGTTTTTATTCTTCATGTAATTGGTATTGTCATTATCTTTTAATTATATAACTATACATATAGTTAACTGTTCCTATCTGCCTTAGACAAAGTGGGTTGAAACTTCCGTTTTTTTTTGCCGAAAAAGCAACATAACCAGTTGTTATATCTTACTCTTCGATCTTTGAAGGCAGAACTGTCTTTTCCTCTCTTCTTCTCCTTTAACCTTTTCTTCCCTTTATTCTCCTTTTTTTGCGGGCTGCAGATGACAATTCTCATGTACTTATCACTCATCAGCTAGCTATTCGGTCTGACTGAACTATCACATGTTCTTCTTCCGCTAATTCTTCCTCACCTTCTTTCGTGACTTTTTTGGGATTGCTCCAGCCAGCTTCTCAAATTGAACAAAACGATAGAGACCCGTTCCACATATATGTTTCTTGTTTCTCGAACATGAAACTTCTTCTGTACCAGATTCAGAATCTTGTTTCGTCTCAAAAAATTGCCCGTTGCTGTTACTTTTTCTAAATTTGGCACCGAACACATTTTGAAACAAGCTGACCCTCCATCCCTCTTGCTTGAACTCTGCTTCTCTTACACTCTTGCGCTTGACGGACTTGTTACAAGTTTTTGGTTATAAATGTGAGACGTTGACCAATTGAAGTTCACATTACCTGATGATTTTTCTTTTGTGAAAGATAGCAGATGACAAAGTGAGAGGAAAAGAGAGAAGCCGCTGATCGAAAAGAAACTCGAATTATCAGACTGTAACCATCGTCAGTTGGTTCTGAAACGTCCGTCGAAGGCAGTCGTCAATCATTATAAGAGAGAGCTCATCTAAGATCGTCCCATGAAAGGTGTCAAAAGACATCTCTGACGATCATGTACTTCTTTTTTTTTAATTCTCGACGACCGATAATCTTCTCACTTCCTCGGCTAGTTTTGTCCTATTTTGCCTTATATTTCAATTCTTGGTCTGCTCCATATTAAACTTCGGTCAATATTCAGCCATTCAGACCAATCTGAGCAATTGGCGTCTCACTTCAACAAGACCATTTTTTTCAAAAATATATTTTTATATTCATAAAAATAGATTATTGATTGTTCATGTAATGATATAATCTTCCTTCTTTTTTTTTTTTTTTCGTTTTTTAATTCACATAACAACCTCAAGATTTTGAAATTTCTTTAGAATTCCCTCTATAGCACTCGACCATATTCTCTCAATGACCAATTTTATTGAAAAAAAATCATTTTTATTGACTTTCAACACTAAAAATTTCATTCAAAGTTTTCACTCTCTTAACATTTCATATTTTCCCTTCTTCATGATTCCTCTCTCGTTAAACCATCTGATCGTCCTCATTCACTTGGACACCATCACTTGTCTACAATCATTCCATTTCCTCTCTCTTTCCCTCTCTCTTTTATATAAAACTTGCAGGTATGTTTTCCCTTTTTGAACATTTCCTCATTCACTCTCTCTCTCTCTCTATCTCTCTTCCTCTATCTTTTCTCCCTTTTTTCGTTTCAAAAATCATTTCTGATGTAACAGCTTTTTCTATTTGAATATCCATTTACGGTCGTTTTCTCTCAATAACTTAGAGCTTATGAACATTTATTTGGTTAAAGCTTCGAAATATTTGAAAGCTTTTTCATTAGAAGTCAAATAAAATTTTGTTCTTCATGTTGCCTGTTTGTGTAAGCTTTTATTCAAGAATTATCATCGTTTCTAACCTTCTCCTTCTGCTCAAACAACTTGCCTTCTCTTCCTCCTCCTTCCTCTCTCTCTCTCTCTCTATCTCCTCCTCTCTCTCTCTTTAACTTTCTCAGCATTTTTTGTTTGAAACTCTCAGACTCACTTTGACAAGTTTGAGTAGACTTTTTGATTCATTTCATGTCAAAGTTGTCTTTCCTCTCCAACTCTCCCCCCCCCTCCTTCCTCTCTTTCATTCTTCAACTTCTTCATCACTTTTTATTCCTGACAAATCGACTGTTCGATAAATACAATTTTCAACGGGTTCTTTCATTATTTCATATGATTTGATAGAATCGAAGACTTCTGTTTGTTGAGCACAGATGACATCAGAAGACGTGAGAACTACAGAGAAATTAAAGATGAAAAATTGCTCCAAACTTTCTTTGCGTTCCGTCTTTACCTTCTTCTCTTCGCATTTTTGTCAGTTCAAGGCCTAGCCTCTTTCAAAGATTCTTAATGGATAGAAGTCTGAAGACTGTTCTGATGACCTCAAAGACAATACCCTTTGCCTCTGAGCATCATCTGAACTTCATCACTTTATTTTTGTCCGTTTCAACCTAAGTTTCTATATTCAATCTTAGTGCAAGTAGTAAAATAGAAAAAAAGAAAAATAGAAGAAACTTCTAAGAGAGAGAGATAGAGAGAAAACATAAAGTGAAAGGTTAAAATACGATTAAAACCCGTTTTTCATAATCAACATATGGGATTCTCTTCGCTCTATTTGCAACCCTCGAACGGCTTAGTGGTGTTGTCGCCCATTTTGATAATTTACCTCAATTTCTAATTTTCTTCCTCATCCTCTCCGTTCCCCCTTTCGCTCTCTCTCTCTTCAATCTCTTGTAGTGAAGGGTGAACACCTTTCCTCACGCAAACTGTATCTGCTTCCTATAAAAGGCCATATATTTTGTAAAATTTTCATGAAATCATATATGACTCTTCGAAAATGAGTAATCCAGCCTAATTTAAAATTCAATATTCGTCGTTTTCTCATCTGATTTCGCTTTTGGAACAGTTCAATTCATCACTGTAAGGGCAGTATGTATATGATGATTGCTGAAATGAACAAAAAAAAGGAGAAAAAGTGAAAAATGAAATATTTCATGTAAATGTCCTTGTACGACTCATCAGATGTATGTTGTGACACTTTTTGTTTTCTCATTTCAATTATTTCCTTTAAAAATCTCTTTTTTACTGAATCTCTCAATGATTACATAATCTGTTTGATAACAGCTGATAACAGTCTGTAATGATTGCACCTTTGTCATATTATTATTTTTCTTTTTATTATTACTATATACTAAAGCATGTGCTGCTGATGCTGCTATACTTGCAACAGTAGTATTATCAGCATCATCATCATCTTCTTCACCGAATGATACATGCAACATCATCATCACTCACCCATAACCTAATCATCAATGAACTGACGACGTCAATGATCTTTTTTCTTTTTCTTTTTTTTTTTTTAAACATTTCTCTTTCAAAAATATATTTTTCAGGTAATTTTTAAATTTTCCCAAACTTACCCACATACACATACTCCTTCTCTTAACCCCATATTTGACATCATTTTTATCAACTTTTATTAGATAAACTTGATGAAAATATGCCCTAAATAATCCATCATGTTCATTATTTTTATTTACAAAAAATAGAAATCGATTGACCCAACAAGTTTTCTTCTTGACGTCGTCTAAAGTTTCCGACGTTAACATCCGGCAATTTCTCCAGAAAGAAACAAAAAAACAAAAATTCAAATTATTCAGATAAAACAGAATAACCTGAATGTTAAACATACATACACACACCTAGAGAGAAGAGTGAAAGAGAGAGAGAGAGAGATAGAGCAAGTGATTTGAAGAAAGAATGAGAGAGAGATAGAGAAAGAGAGAGAGAATGATTGAAATAAAAATATTTTTTTTCTACTTCTTTACATTGTGATTTTTGCCTCATTTAAGGATTTTTCATATTGCCACTTATGGTCATGCCAACAGCCGAATAAACAATATCATTTCATATTCACACCTTCACCCACCTTGAAAATACGTTTTGTTCACCGAAAATGTCTTGGGGTCATCTGCTAGTATCGTATATAAGTAGTTACTATCTATAGCATTAGCATATCTATCTATGTGTTCATTTATCGTTAATTTATATATTATTGTCTTTTGTTTATGAAATACATGACGTAACTAGTCTCCACGTGAGCCGATTCACGTGAAGCATTTTTGCGTGAAATGCCACGTGATTCCTATTTGCACATCATTTTGCGCGCACAAAACGGTTGTGTTTGAAAATCAATCTTTATATTCTTTTTCTGCAAAACGTTAAAGGAATTTGTTTAAAACCGTTTTTTTTTCTTTTTTTTTTTTGAAAATTTATTTTTCCAAACATTCCAAATTATTACAAATAGCTTCTATTCTGTGTTTGATGATGATGATGATAATAGCTTTCTCCTGGCTGACCAATCGTTACCATAAAAAGAATCTTATAATAACAATTATTATTATAAATATACAAGTAAATCAATATAATTTTCAGACAGACGATGATGTCCTATCAGCCAATATCTTCGTATGCTATGAATAAACGGGATATTTTACATTTTCCCTCAAAATATCAACAAAAACATCGAAATACAACAAATAGCTCTCGAGGTAAAGTCTCATTTGTTTATCTTCTTGTCACTTTCTATATTTGATTTAATCCTTTGCTTTTACTTTACTTCATATAAATAATATAGTTTTCTTATTGTCATTTACCTCTCTCTGTCTTTCTATTTTCCCTCTTTCAGTCATCTTTTGATTTCTCTCTCTCTCTTTCTCTCTCCCTCTCTCTCTATCACTCTTCGTCTTTCTTCTCTTTTTACTCTTCTAATAATCGACAGAAGATTGTATTTCGATTATAGTAATTCATGGGGACGTCATGATTAAACGGGTTTCCTTCCGTTTGATAGTTTACAAGGATAGTCAAAGCCATCATTTTCCATCATGTTGTTTCCAAATTTTGCCATGTAGTTTTCTATTAGCTTCTATAAGACAGAGACAAGAAGAAGAAGAAGAAGAAAAGATTGCATTTTTCTGTCTTCTTAGTTGACCCCATCATCATCAATTCCCTTCCTTATATGAGTATATAAAAGCATCCAAGTATAATCGTCAGATGTTTTTTTTTCTCATTGAATACTTTGCGCTTTTTTCCAGGAGGTGTCATCGTCATTTCGCCAGGGCGTGGTGTTGACGTCGTCGGGAGCAGTGACCAAAGTACCAGCAGTGGAAGTAGTAGTAGCATGTGTGGAACACATCATCAGCGATATCATCCAAATATTTCTACTTTTCCATCGTCTCATGACGTTCAAACAGTATGTCATTATATATAAGTGTTGTATTATTACTATTAATTATAGTTTCACACATCTGGTGTGCCTGTTGTCAGAATTCCATCGACACATTCAGCTTTTCGTTCTGTACTAGCTGCACCACCCCTTCCTCCAAAGAGTGATGCTGTACGCTTACGCAGCTACAGGTATTTGATAATAAATTAAAAATGGATTGGTTAACCTTTTCTCAATACAGATTGGCTTCTGATAATACAGCGGCAGTTGAACCATTTTCTGTGCTTCCGACTTCTGTTATCACCTCTTGCCCGCCCATCCCGTTACCGCGTTTATCGAAAATGGTAAATTTTCTTGTTTGTCATTATCTTTCAATCAAAGATTATTTGAAATCCTTCTTTAGTTATTCTTCTTGAGACCATTTTTGTGAAAACTTTTTCTTCTTATGATATTTGATTGATTCGTTTCGTTTCCAGAAATCAATGACGGATCTTTTATCTCCAACAGCCGAAAAAATGCCAAAAACTAAGGAAATCACATCTGATTCAGCTCACTACTCATCAATCCCCAAAGAAACATGTCGAAAGTCATCAGGTTTTTAATATTTTCTCATCTTTTTTTTTAACGTCAAAATGTTCAGCTAAATCGTGTCAAAGTGTTGGAAGATGTTCTGTTGCTTCAGTGAAAAGAAGAAACGGCTCACATCGACCAGCCACTCCTATAACTCAAACGACGACGCAAACATCAATGGTAAGCAAAGAGTAAATAATATGAAGAATGTTATAATTCAAGAATATATTTTTTCAGCAATCTACATCAACAATGAATATTATGGATGAGAGCGAAAGACAATTTTTGGAAGAAGCTGTTCGACAAACATATTCAGAAGAAACAAGTGATTCAGAGGATAGTAATGGATCAGCACCTTATGGACAAATTTTACGTTTCCCACGTAAGCAGCCATCATTGCCATCGCCTACAACCGACAGTGGTCTTCCGCATAGTGATTTTGATGATAAAAGGTACTTATTCTGATTCTGATACGCATCAATATATACTTGTTCTTTTTATAGACATCAAGGAAGCGAAAGATCTACAGACGATGGTTTTTTTGACGCATCTTTAATTAAAAGAGAAGAAGATGGCGAATTATCTGAAATCTTAACGTCCATTTCGAATCAAAGGCCTAATGACAGTTTTGCAAGCGAAGGTAACGACAAACACCGAAAACTATAACTAATCATTCCCTTCTTTTTTCAGAAGTCAGAGGTCGCGGATTGAGCTTATTAGAAAAGAATGCACGAGTCATGCGCTGGATTCACGAAAATGATGAATGAAATTCATTTTTTTCAAACATCATAACCCATTTGCATAATTTTAAAAATTGAAATTTCAATGCGGTTTTTCAACTGGTACAAATTATATTTTTTTTTAAATAGAACTGTATATAATTGTTTTCTCATCATAAATCATTCACACCATCCAACAGTAGTAGAATGCTTGTTAGTATGTATGAACTTGACTATTGAGCTATCGTGCATATTTCATTTTTATTGAAAGATACATGTTAGCGGTTGTATAGTTAGAAATAAACGGAAGTTCAGATATAATCAAGTACAATCACGTCTTCCCCCCATGAAGTTCAACTGTATATCGTTTTTCGTTGTTACATTGGTCTAGTGCTGTGTATTGCACGTATGTACTGACTGACCCCTCTGTGGAAGAGGCAACTAACTTCCTTATTTATCTCAGTTTTCTTCATTCTCTCAGTAAAACCAGTACCATATGTACATATGTGTAGAAGGGGGGTTAACGGAAAGGCGGAGAAGATGATAGAGATTATTCATACAAAAACGTAAGTCCTCAACCACCTGATATACGTTTCTGAAGGGATGTCTCCATCAGCAATGACAACCATGATGATGTGATCTATCATTTCTTTCTTTTTGTTATATCATTCAGAGTTTATTCAGAGAATATCTCTTGTATATAATCCGGAATGAACGTTCCACAACCACCAACTTCATAGTTCGAGTGAAAACGAAAACGTCCAATCGCTTACAGATGCTTCATTATTAAAAATGAAAATGATTGTCTCAATTCATAAATAATAAATAGAAATAGAATGTTTCATATAATATTCAAAAGACTAGATTATATATAACAATAATGATAATAGTACCCATCATCTCAAATACTCGTAATCAGATATGAAATATTATGGCAAAAGAATCGGGAAGGTTGAAAGATGAACAAAAATAAAAAAAAAAATCACTGGTAGATATCATCTGATATAGTACAATATATGTGTTCTGTTTGTTGATCCATTGATAAATTAATTATTTGAGATAAACGCTGAGGTAAGCGTTGCTGTAAGCATTCCTTATCATCTGTCAGAACTTCTACTAATCGTATTCCATTTCCTCGTACCCAAGCTAACAACTCGGAGAGAGCTGCTGTTGATCCACTTTTGTTTAGTTCCTGTAAATATTCAAACTGTGAAATCTTCATGATGTTAGATTTTTACCTGACTAATTGAACTCAATTGCGTATGAAGAGTACGTTCGTTTACAGTAGGTTGACACTCAACTCGTCGATAAAAATCCATCACCAATGGTCGAAGCCTTGATACTTCTTTTGCGAACAGAAGTCTCGACGATGGGGCATGTGCTCCGAAAATAGGCTCCAAGTAGGAAAAGCAATCAGTTAATGTTTGAGCTATGACTGTCAGATTTGCATCAACAGATATATTTGGAGCAATATCAAATAATATTTTTGGATTGTTAATAAGATTTGCCCACAGTCTCAAAATATAGCAATTGCTTTTCCATTGGTAAGACAAGACAGAATCCACTCCATTTCGTACAGCTTCTTCATCCAGGAAATCAAACAGATATTTGAGAACAACAGGATAGGAAGATGTTTCTAGGAAGAGAACTGATTCAAAGAAGTCATCTATGAACTTTTGAACTGTGCCCTTGCTGTAATAAATTAAGAAGTAACGATGAATTCTCAGAGTAGACTCTACCTCGTCAGAAGTCGTGTCAGATAAACTTCTGGAATAGATGACGGTATGCTTTCATCAATCTTCCTTTTCTTCTCAATAGTTTTACAATTACTTATCAGATGATAGAATGAATTGGATGAATAGAGTGGTGATGAGGAACGATCAAGCGAAGACCACGAGCATTGGCCACTATCACTCATACCATCTGAATCATATGATTAATAGAAGGAAAATGTGATTTTTCTCACTTTTCAAGTTTTCTTCAATACGTATTTTTGAGGACTGCATTATGAAAAGGCTTGAGTTAGTAATCCCGTATGATGATAGAGTATTCAATCGTTGGGGACTCTTGATGATATCACATCCCTCGATATCATTCATTATCACATTGGCCGATTTAGGACATTGCCATTCTACAAAAAAAAGGAAATAAACAAACGTAGAAGAGAGAAAAACTGAGAAAAAAACGTGAAATAAACGTACCAAGGTCAAACTGTTGCACAGAAGGTCTCTGAGAATAAGGAGTATCCTTATATACGACATCCAAGACTTTGAATTTGAATTGAGTGATAGAGTCGCATGAATGAACTCGGACAACATACGGTCCTCTTCCGAATAAGTCCATAACAAGACAATCCTATGGAGTGAAAGTTTAAAAAAAATAGTTAAGAAAAATAAATACCAGTGTTGTCGCTTCTATACTCTCTCGTAATAGCTTTGATTCATTTATAGTATAACGAGCATTTCCAGTTATCATATCTATTGGTCCCTTCTCAACTTGATATTTCAACGCCTTGTACAGACGATAAAGCTCTGATCCTTGAGATATAAGAATGTCCTCATGCAAGCAAATTGATAACCATTTAGAAAACAGTTTCTCTACTAAGCTTTCTGATTTGCGGAACAACAGATTAGATTCGTTTGCCTGAAAAATTATATTTTGATTCTATATAAATGGAAGAATAGTTATTACATGAACCATCTTGGCAATGTGTGCTCTTAATAGATCCAAGATTACTTCTGTGCAGTAATGGAAGTTCCGGAGTAAAGCAGAGATGAGAAGAGATGAGAGCACAGACTTTTCCGATGGACTCATTGAGCTATCAGATTCTGCAGATTCGACCAACTGAAATAAGATTGAAAATGTTGAACACTATTCATCCAACTTACTGCAAAAACAAAATGTTTCGAACTCAAGAGAGAATCAAACTGAGCGAGAGTCAAAGGTAGAGTTATGGAATACAAAGAGGGGTTGGTTATGGGGCCACCCTCATTCCAAAGGATTCTCACAATATACTCACGGAAAGAAAGATAATCAATGCTTCCTAGAAAAGATAAAGTTTAAAATAAGGCATCTTACGGTAATGCTTACCATAATCTTCTGGACCAGTGAATGAGATAGACGTTTGAAGTTCGGCAAAAGCCTGTTTGCACTCCTTCCGTACATTACTCTCCAAATGCTCCATCTGCAGTTGAATTTTCTTGTAATCTCTCTGTTGATCATTTTGACGTTTTTTCCAGAAAATGATCAACATGAAGATCAACAGGGTGAAAGCAGCTAGTGATGCTACGACTAGGACCCAAAGCCGTACAGTATTCAAAGAACTCGCGTATTGAATGTAGCCCAACTCTTGTCTAAGCTTTCCAACAAGCACAACAACCAAAGGGCTCTCTTCTGTTTGACGACCTGAACCCACATAAGTTATTTAAATTGAAAAACAATATTCAAACCATTTTCGTCAGTTGGGGATGGCTGAAGAAGAGGAGCACTGCAGACCAACTGTCTGATATCAACCAGAGTAACAAAACATCGTTCTGTTCCAATGAAAATCTGAATCGGTTCAAGTCACGTAAAGTTTCCTGGTGAGAACAACGTACTCGATAATCACTTGGCTCCGCTCCTTCACTCAAATACTTTCCATCCAGAATCAAGGGTTGATCACCGTGATGAATGCGAACTCCTTTAAATGGTACAAACTCTGGGTCAAGTACAATATTCATTTGTATTTTATGCCCCAGATTTTGAACTGAAGTCACATTGTTCATAAGGAATCCTATAGGGAGCCTGCAAAAGAGTATTTGAATGTTGAAGATGAGTGAAGCATACCGTTTATAATCTTTTGGGGATGGAAGCTTCTTATTGAGTTTCGGTGACAAGCATGACATTCTAGTTGAATTCAAAACTTGACATTCAGAAAGTTCCGAAACTATTTCATATGGAGCAGTGAGAGAAGAGAGATAATACATTTTTGGTGAAGTAACAGAGTCCAAATGATTTCCCTGGAGAAGATGTAGTTCAAGAAGAGAAAGAAATGTTTTAAAAACCTCAACAATCAAATGCTTTCCACCGGACTCGAATGCTACGAGTGGTCTTACATGGCTTACAATAGGATCCGGGCGGAATTGGAATAGAGTATTGAGCATATACTTCCGATTATCGACTTCTAATGAAATCACTGATATCTTTTGAGGGTAGGGAGAAGCATTCACAATGCAGATGATCGTATTAGAAGCATTTCTCTCATATATTGGACACGAGATATCTCCGATGTTTATAGAAACATTGGAACCAGCATTCAAGTTTGTTCCATAAAAGGTCAGCTGTAAATACTCGGTTAGGATAAACGAATTTCTGTTGTAAACATGTGCGTACCTTTGTTCCTCCCGAGAGCGGAGCAAATAAGGGTGACACCGAGAAAAGCTTGACATCAACGAAGGTGAAACTTTCTTTGGAATCAGCAGTTCGTTTTGAAGCTCTACCAATAGATATTCTAATTGGACCGGAAGAGTTACCCTGGAAAAGAAAAATTAAACTTGCGTGACTGTCAATGAGTATATACTTTCTCAAGTCTGCAAACGATTTGTTTGGAAATGACGTAATGGATAACTTGGCATCGACTGCCAGCAACTGTAACTCTATCTTGCACATCTTCAAGAGAAGACCCAAGATCCTTTCCATTTATGGTTAGTACAGTTCCTCCTTCCATCGGTCCCGAATTAGGATAGAAACTAAGGATTTGCGGACGATCACAAATAGTTTGTAAGCTTGTTGTTGGACAATCAATTGAGCATCGTCCATTGCACCATTGGCATTTCCAAATGGGAGACAGTGCGGAACACGATGAACAATCAGCAGCCAAGTGTGAGCAATCATATACATGGATTCTGGTTTTATCCAGAATTTGATTGAAGTTCAGTATTTCCAAGGAAGTCGAGAAATTCGTATTGGATTTAATATTCGGGATCTCCATTTGACGACAAACTACTTTATCATCTTCATGAATATTAGCTTGAGATGAAAAAAGAGTTCCGTTCAGCTTCAATCGGCATGATAAGCTGGAGTTTTTCGACAGACTCTCCAAATTTTCAAAAGAAATTGAAATATCGTTAGTTCTCCCAATTGGAATAATCAAATCATCAGACTCCCTCCGAACACTAGCACATTTGGCTACGAATTTGTTCTAGAAAGTGTTCAGGATGAAGAATGATGGTCGTTGTTCACTAACCTCCAGACATGTGTTTTCAGATGCGCAGCTATTGCTTTCGGAACACCAATGGCATTTCCATTGAGATTTTGAACAGCTCGAACATCTTCAAAGAGATTAATTCAATTTTAATTAAAAAATAAATTGAATTACGTTTTCAATTGCGAACAGTCGTAATAAGTAAAATTGTGTTGAAGAATTGTATAATTGCTTGTTGAAGTCTGAAGAGATATAACAACATCCTGTTTGACAGACGATGTTTTTTTCCAAATAGGCGATGTACAGGAAATCCCGAACTCATTCCAGACGCCATTGACTTTCTTTTTACCAAACACACATTGATAGTTCTAAAACGAAGAGATTATGTAGGCGGGTGGAATATGATGAATGGAAGGAACATACATAATCAACAGGCTGTTGAAGATTACGAACTGGTAGGAATATGGTTCGACTTTCGTTGATCGACACATAGTTTGGAACAGGTAGACCATTTGGAGAAGGACAAACGTTCTGAACAAAGACGAAGTTTGAGTATGAAAGATGATGTTCAATTTACCGTTAAAGTTGATGAACATTGTTTGGATGTTGTACATGTTCCAGTAGAATAACACCAATTACATAATGGGTCATTAGCTTTAATACAAGTTGAACAACTTGTGTAATGATTACAATGGGCTAAAGGACGAAGCGAAATCTGAAAAATGGTTTCCCCTTAATTTGCATATTTTTATTTGGTTTTATGTAAAGTAATTAAAATGATCATAATAGAGGAATTTACTGTGTCAACAGACTTTTTAAATTTCTTTTATGAGATAGAGAGAGAGAAAGAGAGAGAGAGAGAGAAAAGAAGAGAGAGTAATAGAAGAGGGAAAAGCATAAATCAAGGGAGATGATGAGCTTTTTATTTGGACAACTGACCCATCATTTTGCTCAATTTCTTTTATAAAACCAACTTTCACAAAATGTCATCAAATAAAAATAATATAATTCTAAGTTTTAAAATTAGAATTACACAACAGAGTACTTAAGAGCAGACAAACGTACGGATGTTAATGGCTTTTATTGGAAAGATAAAACGTTTGTAACTCACAGTTTTCGGCTGTTGAATAAGAATATCATTGCCAGTGATCAGCAATTTCTTAACCTCTCCACCACCCATCATAGATTTCTCTACCCGGAAAGCTTCCAAATGCGAGTCTTTCCATTGAAGCTGAAAGAAATAGCATAAAACAAGATTAATTCGTACAAATTTCATTTATTGCTCAATGAGGCAGTAGAACGGTCGTGCTCATAACACGCATTTACGTGAAATTTCAATTAAGCTGCATTCATTTCAGAGTTTTTGTAGATGTGACAAGCGGTTGGTTGTTTTTGCCTGTCAACTAGGGTCTCCCTCAATTCCACTTTCTCTCTTTCTATCTGTCTTCATTCTCAGACTGTGTTTTCCTTTCTTCATCTCATCTTCCTTTTCATAGAAGGAGAAGAAGAAGAAGAAGAAGAAAGCTATTATCCATTTAAAGCTTCATCACCACTCATTGTGTTATAAACCATAAATCAATCTAAGTAAATCTTGGATTTTCTAATGAAAATTACCACCTAATGGTTCATCTGATGAGAGTGGAATGAATGAAAACAAACATTTTCTTCATCATTTTCAGAATTTACAAATTTGCTTTAAACCGATAGATGATGACGATATTTAATCCGTCATCTGTTGCTTAAATCTGTCGATTCTATCAATTTAAACCATATGTTGTTTTCATCAAACATCTGTTTTGATAAGGAAATCGAGAGATGTTAACAGAAGAAATACAAAAAAATGTACCAAAAGAACTTGTCCGCTCATTGTCCCAATAAGGATAATGGATGGTTCGGCCATATTTACAGACGTTATGACATCATTTATTGTATAAGATGACATTTCAACGGCTTCGATTGATCCTCCGACTCCTAGTTCACATGTATCTTCATCTAATGGAGCTCTTGATTTCTGAAAATAAAAGAAAAAGAATTAGTAAAGAAAAAAAAGAATTAAGTTAATTCATTCTTACATTAGTACATTTGGAATCTCGTCCTATATGAGGTAATCCGATAGAATCAGTTCCACTTCGACATCTGTCGATATTATACCAAAACGTTAATTTTATTTTTTGCATTGAAAAAACACAAATGGCAGATTTAGAAGAAGTGGAATCAGTGAATGTGGCAATCAGAGAGTCTCCTAGAATAATATAATAATTAAGAAATTATAAGAAATGGATGAAAAGGGTGAGAGGGAGAGATAGTGAGAGATGGATTGAAAGAGTAATAAGAGAACATAATTAGTATACCTTTTATGGTTGAACTTGTAATGAATGGATAATTGTAGTTATCGTCTGAGCGACATTGTAGTTCAATTTCAGAATACGAGACGAATCTGAAGAAACTGTTGATGAGGCAGGCTAATGTCATAATTGATTTACCTGGTGTCATTAGCACAGAAACGGACTAACTTTGTTGTTCGACTCCTAGAATTTTCAATGGTGGTCAAATAAACGAAATGCTGATGTTGGAATATGGAGATGTAGCGTATGGAATGAGTTGAACGTTGTTCAGCACGTTCATAGACTGCTCCCTCTCCTTCCAGATCTCCAGCATTTACAACGTAAAAATGTGGCGATTGGCGAATAGATACTATAGGAAATGGATCCCTATATGGACTGTCTGTTGAATGTGAAGCTGCCACAATCAGATTTTCGTTTAAGGTCAATGCTACAGTAGAAGCTGACGGCAGATTAGCTGCCACAGCTACATCTCCACTTGATATTAAGCTCAAATCTTTGGTGGAGTAAACAGAACATATTCCTAATGAGGGAAAATAATAACAAATCAATCAAGCATAGTGAAATGGATTACCTTGCCTAACTGAACCACAGAATGTGAGTGAATCAGTATTATGGTTGAATTGAACTAGAATTTTGTTGTGATTGTCAGTAGATGTCAGACGAGCTTCTCGTAGACAACTTGATCCATCAAAATTACAGAAAGGCGAATCTCGAACAGGGCCAGTTGAAACTTGATGAACGACAGTTAAGTTGGCAAGCGATAAGCTAGCCAAGTTGTTAATGCTAGCAACAAATATCTGAAAAGAAAAAAAATTTGCGTCAAAAAAGAATGTAATGAGAGAGCTATCATCTTCATATTTTCCGCTTCATCTACTATACCACCCGTATTTCTCATTAAGAAAAGATGTTTCAATTTGGAATCAAATACTATTTAAATAAATTTATTTTATTCATTGCCTAATGGAGTACAATGGCAGCCAATTGTTGTTGCAGAAGAGAGTCAGCAGCCAGCCATTGGCCACATTACATTAGTCTCGTCGGTAACTTTTCATTTTGAAACTTTTACTTATTTTTATTTTTATTTAAAGTTAAGGAAGAAAAGGAATTTGATGGATTAGTTTGGATAAGAGACAAGCTTTTATTCCCAACTGAGTCAAAGACAATTCATTTCATCCATTTCGGTCGTCAGACAATTGCATTTTCCTCTCTTTCTCTCTTTCAAAAATATTTTATAAGCCGTCAGGAATGGATATTTTTTTGTTAACAAATTGCTCAAAACTGACCTTATCCTCATGTACAAGAATGTTATTTATTTCATTTTTACTATGAAATATGTGCTGATGAGCTAGTTGAAAGACTAATATGGAATATATTAGTATATTACAGAACATTCTAGCATTTCTTCTGAAATCATCTGTATAAGGAGCGTTTCAAACAGATTAAACGAAAAAGAAACTGTGAATGAAGTAAGGAAGTAATAGTAACGACGATAATGATGAAGACGAAGACGGTAAAGAAGAAGAAGAAAAGAAAGTTTATGAAAACATCAAAAATAGTTTTTAAAAGAGAAGAAGACAGATGAATAAAGGTCACAAATGGAATATTTATACTATGCTATTATTAATATTGAAAAGAAAATCATATAAAAAGGTATTATAAAAGAAAATCTTTAGGTTAACCCGCTTGGAATGCAAATGAAGATGTCTGTTGATTTGCCATTGAACAATATGCCGGCTGTCATTTGCCTTATTTAGAAATCCTTTCTCTTCTACTCCACCCTTTCTCCCTATCGCACTCTCACTCTTATACTCTCTTACAATATGTTGCTCTTTATATCTTGTGTAGCTCCTCCTACATCTTTCTCCAGTATTTGAGAATTGAAATAAAATCATTAATGAAGCCCCACCCTTCCTCTTCTCTCTCGTTTACCCTTCTACTCTCGTTCGCAATTCCTACATATCATAATTGGCAACACTTACGAGAATGAGGAAGAAATTTCCTTATTTGTCAAAAATCAAAAAGAGATAGAACGAGAGAATATAAATACTTGAATGGCTGAAGGTGAAAAGAAGTCTTTTGATGAAAGCTTAAGCCATATTATCGGCATTCTGTGATTCCAAATAAGCGATCACTTCAAGTACTTCGAGAGTTTACCACAAAGAGAGAATGAGAAGAAAAGGGAGAGAAAGGAGATAGAGTGATGGGCAGTAGAAGGATAGATACGAGTATTCAGTCAACGACAAGAAAGAAAGAAACATCCACTCGTAGTTAGTTAATCATATTTTATATTAAATATGAAGATAAGTGAATTAGATGAGAATAAAGAGTATAAAAGAAAAATGTTTATAGTTGAGAAGATGATGATGAAGAAGAAGGAGGAAGATCTGATAGTTTTTTTTTGGGCATCATCTGCCGACGGATGATTTACAATCCTCTGACAGTAACATTGTGATTTATCGTCTTCACACTCACAGATTAGAATTGCAATGATAACAGATGAAAACAGATATAATTTGAATAAACCACAATGAGGTTCTGCAAATCAGAATAATTCAGATGACAGACGATTCTGTTGCTTTTTCTGTCCATCTGTTCACATATTTTGTTGAGCTGGACAAGCCGAGAGAGTGAGAGTGAGAGATAGACTGTCAATGATGGAGATGACATTTCATGAGATTATAAAGAGATTTACAAAGTTATATGATGGATAACTTTCAGAAATATTTGTAACTATACATATGGTTAACAGATAATCAAACTCTCATTAGTCAAGCAATTTGCTAGTGAAAGTCAATAACAAGCAAATTATTCATAGCGTTCGTACCTCAATCTCTCCAATGTATAGTTAAGGAGTTAAATAAGATTTTCACATAGTTAGCATTTCATATTCATACATGTATCGTAATAATCAGAATATAAATTAAGTTGAGAAGATAGGTGAGAGAAGCTTTTCAATGTCCCAATCGCATGGCATAATGAGCAAATAAGGAAAAACAAATCAATATGCAAATGAAGATAGATTGGGGTATGATGATGGCGGTAGTGGCGGTGATGTTGATGATGATGATTGCTCTCTCCATCAAAACCAAACATTTCGTAATTCAAAAAGATTTATTCCAATAAATAGCATGAGATATTTGTGAAGTCGGAATATATGGATGGTATGAACTGAAAACACCCAAACGGTGGTCTGGAAGTTTCAAACGAAAAAAATGCGATAACGATCGGTATCCCGTACACGTTTCAGCGATTGAGTTTAAGTAATTTGAGAAGACGTGGTATGTTTCATAGGAGACTCAAAGATGAGAAAAGTTTGAACAAGTTATAACTCCCCTGACATTAAATTCCAAATAAATTAAAATCTTACTTAACAATGTGGTTTGCAACTAGAATATGAAGTTAAAGACCAATTTGTTGTGTAAGAATTGAAGGTAACGAACGAAGCACGCAGCTGTCTCTTATTATATTAATAAATTTGATTAAGATGAATTATTGGTCAAAAAGGTTATAAAAGCTGCTTGACAGCTATCTGGGTGGATGCTACTGCTCTCCAACTTTCTTACCAACTGGGCCATTGTACAAATACAAATGACCCTAAACCTAGTGCTAATTGACTGTCTGTCTTAGGATGAATGCCCAGCTTCTTTGGGTAATGTCTATTCCTCTTCTCTCTTTCTCAATCACTCTGACACTCTCTCTCTCATGAGTTTTACTACTTGTTTTACATAGCATGAGTCTATTAGTTTGAGTAAAGCTAATGAACATCAATCACATTAACTTAACAAAAACTTTAAGCTTCATCATCATCGAAGCTTAGAATAAAGTGTCATCTCCCTGAAAATAACTTCAGAATGATATAATCGTGGTAGTTGGGGAGTAGGAGTAAGTAAAGTCTAAAAGATTATCTCAATGACTTCTAAACAGAACAACATTTCATTCCATGTATGTGACTGGCAAAAGCCAATGAAGCCAAACATTATTTACTTTCGGGCCTATTAAGCTAAGAAACAGCTGTCTCATCGACGATTTTATTCTTTTTTTCCATCATTTTGCTGTTTTTTTGTTTCGCTAAGTAAAAATTTTGAAAAAAAAACTGAAGAGAAGAGCAGAATGCTTTATGGCCTTTTCTTTGAAGCTAAAAGCCATTACGAACGATATTAAAGATATTCGGAGGTCCAGAAATATAAAAATGTTGAGAATAATACAAATGATTGTGACCTTTGAATGAAAACGACTGAAGACAGGTGAAAGAAAACAAATATCAAGTCCAGCTGCTCAAATGTGTTTCTCATCTAATTAGCCAAAACAAGAAGTGACTTACATTAATTAGAAATCTTATCCATATTATTTGTAAAATAGGAAGTTTTTGTGTTTTCTACGACTGACCAGGCTCTCTTTGAAGAAGCTTGAATAAAAGCTCTTCGTTGTTCTATCGTCCATCGAGCCATAATTAACTTTTCTTTTGAAAGTTAATTAAGAAAAGAGAAAATAAGCAACCATTAACATATAACTAACTAACACATAGTTAGCTAACAGACAAAAAAAAATATATTTTCACCTAAATATTTTTGTTTTTATTTGTGGTTGAAAGCAACCGTTCACTTGTCTTAATCGATGAGAAATGGCGTCAGATCGGTCACAACGTGGATTACGTGAATATGCTAATTAACTGATCGATTATGCTTGAATTGAGCGTAAAATTATGAAAATTAGAATATTTCAGTTTCAGAAGGCGCAAAAAGATGGATGAAAGTCAGAAGAGAAGAAAGACTACAACTTCTCCGAAATTCAATTAGTATTACAATTGAATTCCTTTTGGAAGAAAAGTTGAAAGAAGAAAAAAAGTGAGAGGGAAGAAAATAAAATTGTGAAAATGGAGAAGTAGGTGTCAGATTCTTTTCTGTTTATAAGTAGTATTTAGAGGGAAAGGCTTATGACTTAGGCTTTGAGGCTTAACCTGAAAGCCTGTCCGACGACATTGGACACGATGGATTAGGCCATCCAGATGAAGATGGGACATTTTGGTCTGATCAAACGATGGATAACATTTGTTGAAAAGCGAGAATAAACAGGTGTTTGTTTATTTCATAAAAGACAAACAAAAATAAAATTGTTGAGGACAACATATGAAAGTGATGTCAAAACGGTTTTGAACACATTGACATTCAAAAACAAAATGAAAGTTGCTAATGAGTTAGAGAGGTCAGAATAAGAAAAAAACATGTGGAAGGACATATCGTTGAGATGAACAAAGTGGACGATACTCGAATCTCATTAACCAAGTTATGTATGGAGATGTCATAAAAAATAAATTGAAAAAGGTGAGAGAATTGATGACAAATATGGTAATGTGACAACAAAGCTCCTTTTGCTTGCATAATCATTCATATAATTATGAAATTGAGAGAGGATGGTTCGAAAGGGGGGGGGTTGAAGGGGTATGCAAAGATATAAGAAGGGTAGAGGAAAAGAGATATAGATGGGAAAATAATGTCATCTAGGGGCAATTTCTTGGATGAGAACAATTTGGTGGAAGAAAAGAATTTTGAAGCGTCTCATCATTCATTTCATTTGGCAATATCAACACTTTTATATGGAAATGAGAATTTTTGGAATGAAGAAAGCTTTAGTCGTCTAAAAAATCAGTAAAAGGACAGTCTTTAGTCGTGTCCTTATATTGACAGATGGATGGATGCCATCTCGTTTTGTTGGGAAAATAGAAAGAGTCGTAGAGATGGAAGGCGGAAAAACAGAAGCACTAGAGTCGCCAAAGGTTAACAAATGTAATCTTTGCATTGTATTCTATAACTTTTTTATATGAAATATAGTTAAAGGTCATTAAAGGTTACACCTGAGTCAGATGGATGGTTATAAGAATACTGCAGATGAATTCAACCAAAAACGAGCTGCAATGGAAGAGTAGAAGAGGAAGATGAGAGATGAAGTAAGGTTATACAAATTGCCAGAAGGAAAATGTGTGAAACCATATGTGGGTCGAATATTTAATGAAAAAGCTTTTTAACTTCTTATGAAGTATGTGAAAATGACATATAGTAGTAATTCTCCATATCTAATGTATTCTTCTTTAAGACGAAGACCATCTTCAAGTATTCATTCAAGGCGTTCTTGCTACATTCAGCTTCTCTCTCTCTCTCTCTCTCTTCCTCTTTCTCTCTTTAGCTCTCTATCTATATATCTCTCTCCTTTTCTCAGAACGTTCATCACATACACATACAAATCTTCACATCTTTCTACCAGTTTTCCGGGCGAGACGACCTCCTGCCGTTCTGTGGAAGGCATGAGAGGTCAGTGCAATTGTATAAAAGGAGCTCGCAATGACCCGAAGATTATCATGAAAAAGCAGGAAAGGGAGACAGCGGAGAAACAGGAAAACAATTAGTTTTTCTAATTGACGAAAAACAAACATTTTATGAACAACAATCATCTGAATTTCATATAAATTCAATAAAAGAAAAACAGCGTTTGAGCTGAAAAATATTTTCTTCCTCATGCTCAAGTTCTATCTTAGCTTCAGGCTATATATGCTCATAAGAAGCTAAATATTCCTCTTTGAAATGCTTTATTTTCACACTTTTTTCGTTTCTTCTTCTTCTTCTCCTCTCCTTCGTTCTATCGAATTGTTTGAATGTAGTCATGACAACGACAACATGAGAAGGGGGGGTTTGTGAAAATCGACAAATGCCTCACAACACTACTTCATTTTATATTTTGTAAAATTATGCAAAAATCAAAAGAACGACCAGCTAAGAAGATACTCGTACTCGGGCCATGTAAGGTATTGATTTGCAACTTCTCATCTAATCAGCTGAATCTTTAATTTTACTCAGAAAATCAAAAAAAAGATTAAAAGTAAAGATTAGAGGAAAACTAAAATTTGTTTATTTTGAGGCAGGAAAGTCAGCAATTTCAACATATTTGGCAGAAGCAATAGATTCAGAATCTTTGGGAGAATATCGTCCGACTAAAGGTAAACTTCATTTTGCTTTTATTTCCTTTTCTTTAGACAATCCTGTTTTTCGTGAAATTAAGGTAAAACCTGGATTAGAAACTTGAAGATTAGCAAAACAAAGACTTAATTTGATTATTACATTGTCTATCCATCTTCATATACAACTCTCCCAATAACATATATGCTCCAATTCGTAAATTAGAAACAAATTCGTTTTAATATGAAAGGTTTCATGTGTATGTGTGTTAGCAAGATTTGAGAGAGAAAATGCATTTCGTGTGATTCATGTTGTTCACGTAAAGCATGCATTGCTCGTAAAGCATCTGATTTCATAGCATCAACACAATGAAATGAAATCATAATAAAAAAAAAAAGAAATAACATTAGTCTATTATATGTTTTATATGTTAAGGAGTACGCATTGTTGAATTCGAAAGTAATGAATTGGACATTCGAGGACAACGAGCTGAGGTAGACGTTGAGTTATGGGATTGTAGTGGAGATGTGAGGTAAATTTATGCGAAAAGATTGAAGATTATATATGTCAGTTTTGATTTGTCTGAATTCACTCCGTTTTTTGTCTAAAGAAAATCTTTTTTTTAAGATATCGTGACTGCTGGCCGGCTTTGAAGGACGGTGTGGAAGGAGTCATCCTGGTTGCAGATCCGGATGTTGATAAAGGGGAAGATTTGCTCATATGGTGAGTTGAGAATCATAACTTTATAAAATGGAAGAAGAGAAAGAAAGGAGACAGAGGGTAAAATAGGAAGTTGAATGACCAGAGTCGTATCGGATTATCTTGTGGTTGCTAACAGATTGTCAAATCTTATTCATCTTGACAGGTAATTGGATGACGATGATAGAGAGTGATAACAATAAATCTCTGACTATACGTATAATTAACTAATATTTTATAGGTATGAAGAGTTTATCCAAAAAACGAACTTGAGAAATGATAACGTGATGGTAGTGCTTAACGAGAAAGGAGACAAAAACACGAACAGTGGAAACATAGCGGCTTTCAAGTAAGAATTTCTCTTTTCGTTTTCGAAAGTTTGAAGAAATGTTCTTTCTCCTTCTTTTCTTTTCTAATAAGCAAACTTTCTATTTTGTTTTTTTTCCTTATTTGTATGTGTATCGTCAACAGGGTCATAGCCGGACTTTCGCCAGCCGTATTCGTGGGATGCAATCTTCGACATGAAGGAGAACATCTGAAGCAGGTCTTCTATCAATTCCTTGTGAATGTTATCCAACGCTCTGATGACAATTCCATTTTTTCCGGACAAATTCTGGATGACAATTGAATCTCTGTCTAGAGTTTTCCATCAATTGTCGTCAAAACTTCTGGTTGAACAGTTCGTGGTAGTGATCGTCATGGCTTTTTCAGTTTAAGTAATATTTCTTTTCTTCAACTGAATGTCTTTCTTGAACTTTCGATCGTTGAATGAGAAAAAACTTTTCAATTACAGAGAAATGCTTTCCCATATAACTCAATGGTCTCAAGGAAATTTGTTAAGCGACGGAGAAAGTTTTAAAGACGAAATCCATTTGTTTATTTTAAATTTAAAGTCTCAAAATAATGTGAGTGTTGAAGAGATCGAAAATGAATAAAATGTTCTCAAACAAAATAAATGTTAAACTATCTGGTAGAGATGTAACGATAAGCAAGGAAAAAGCATTCAAAAAGTTACAAAAAACCTTTTCGAACAACAAACGAGCGCAAGACGAGGATGAGGCAATGAAGTGTCGAGAGATGCCTTACTTATTTGATAAGATCTAAGTAACCTTATACAGAAGCAATGAATCAGTTCAAACGAGGTAACATCTGATCCGCGTTGGTCACTTGAGAACCAAAGCAAATGAAAAACTATAAAAGAGAAGTGTTGAAAGCCCGTACCGCAAACCTGAAATCCAAAGTTTCCTCTAATGACCTTCGCGGTATTCACAAGTTTTGGTAGAACATGCGAAAAAAACTTAAAGCGACAAGCGGAGACCTCGAGTTCATCCCATTATCTCGCTTTGTCACAAGAAATAGCGTGGAATAAGAAAATCGAAGCATCAGTTTAAACGAGGTATTTGATAGCCGCAGGGAAAACCGTAAATGGAACACGAGGATGTGCCTTTGGTAATAAACTTCAGAAAAAAAAGATGATGATAGAAAAACCCATTAGTTCTTGCATTCTCCAATTTGTATTGCAAACAACAAAAAGTTAAAATAAATAAGTTAAAAAATGTTATCTTCAATATTCAATTGAGAGGGCAATCCGTTCGGCTCGATTGAGGGTGTTAGTAACGTCTTCGAATTGTAGCACCACCACCTTGGAATGGAACTGCCTGTTTCTTCGAAGCCTCGGCACGTTCATTGATTTCTTTCTCCATAACCACTCGGGATTTGTAATCATAACGCATGAAATGCAGTGTTCCTTGAAAAAAAACAGTCAAGATTCTAGTGTGAGTCAGTGTATTTACCAGGTTTATAATCTGATATGCACACGACTGGACCTAAAGCTTCCACGCTGTCAGGGATACCCTCGCTACAGATGCTGTTGGAAGATGGCTTCTTCTTACCATCCAAACGAACACCGGAACCAGAAAATGCAGCGAACTGAGTACTAGGCAGAGCTGAGAGATCAGGAGGAGGTGGTGGTGGCTGAAACACATCAAAATATTCTCAAGGAAATAAAAAAGATATAAAAAAGTACTATCAAATATCAAATCTCGCTATCCTTGAGACTGTGTTAATTACAATCCGCAAGGTAATTTATGCTCCTTTGATAACTTGTTTGTTTAGAAAACTATACGCACCTTAACAGTAGTCGTCGGCCTATGCTCTGAGTTCTCAACGAATCCTTCTGGAGCATCGAAATCCAGATTCAAGTCACATTCGATGATACAAACAGCGTCTTCGGGTTTCACTTCTTGTACCAAGAATTCTAAGTTTTGGTCAGCGTACTGAAACCACCCGAGTGTTTGAGCGAGAGAGAAGATTAACTCTTACTAATACAGATATTCTGTCATTCTTCGTCAGACAGGCGAACTTTCGTAATTCGACTTCTAGAACAGCTCTGCAACAAACGCTATTGAACAATTAGCTTTTGATGACTAACCGAGGGTTCGAAATATTCAAAAAATCAAGAGACTGGGGCTTTAATTTAGCAAATGTTGCTTTACGTAAGTTAGCAACTTCAATTTTTACGTTACTTTCTTCTTCCAAATTTAACTGGTGCATCATCCAGTTAGGTAAATAAGCCCTGCCTTCAGGGGCTGAAAATTCTAAAACTCCGCAATGAGTTTCCAATCCAGTGGCTTCATTACGAACCTGAACAGTTGTTTTATTAAACAAAAAAAAGTCAAAAAACCAACTTTAAAAAGCATTGGGTACTGTACATTAAGTCTTATGAGGTTATCAAGAGCTGAATTAGGAAGGATGATCTTAAAATTATCATTATTGAAATGCTTTCAGGGAAGAGAGACACCTTTCCTCCATGAGCGATATCCTTCACTTTGCCATGATCGGCTCCGACAAAATATGCTGCAGAACATGCTTTTAAGCTCTGACTGTAATTTCGGGCCGTGAAATGAGAAAAAAGGAATCGTTCCATCTGTGTTTTTCAATATTGTTTGAATATGGCGAAGAAACGCAAAAGAAGATAAGTTGTTCGCTGGAGAGAACCATCAAATGGGTAGAATATGAGAACACGGAAAAGAGATTTATTGAAAGTAGCCAACATGAAGCCCAAGTGAAGAGAAACAAACATAAATACTGACAATTGAAAGATCGGAGAAATAGAGGGACAACAGAAAAGTTCAGAAACAAGAGAATCATTTCAACAGAAAAACGAAAGTAACTAACTATATAAACTAAAAAGTGATAAAATGCAATATGTCAACAAGTTTTAATCCCAAATTTGGTAGATCAGGTGTCAAATGGCTCTTCGCCATCATCATCACTAAGACAAGTTCCGTAATAACGGTCACCAAAGTTACCCATTCCAGGCATAACGTAGAAATTATCCGACAGCAGTTTATCAACAGCTGTGGTAATTAAACGAACCTAAAATATGTTATACCAATCAGTATGAGAGATGAGATCTACCTTGGGGAAAGCATATGCCAAGGCATGTACTCCAGGCTCTGACATCAGAAGAGACAAAAGATAAATATTTTCCTCAGGGACGTCATGGTCCAACAATATACGGATAGCCATCATAGCCGCTGCTCCTAAAGATTATGACCAATAAAAGCTTGATTCCAAAGCTTTCTACCTGTTGCTACAGTGGCATCCATCAATAAAACTTTATAATTGTGAATATCTTTTGGTAAACGTAAATAATAAAGCTCAGGCTCCAACGTTTGTTCATTGGTTTGAATAAGGATTTTACCCATCTATAAACATTCTCTCATATAACTGTATGTTTGAACTAAACAACCTTGCAATCCTTCACAATGGCTCGGAGAGAGTTTTCCATAGTCTCTCCAGCACGCATTATGGCCACTCCACAGATTTCAGCAGCCTTGCGCTTGCCAGTTAATCTAGCAGAGAAGATAAAATCATGATGTTTTTCATTCCAAATTACTTTTGACCGGTGCCCAACTCGTAATCGAAGTTACAGTATGGCATGAAATTCATGGCTTCCTCAATGAGGATACGCGTCAGTCTCTCAGAATAGAAAATGATTTCATCCCTGTAGTAGCACAAAGTAAACTCAAAAACTAACAAGCTATAGTAACCTCTTAGTGTTCTTGTCACGAATGAAAGTGTGCAATCCTCGAACTTGAGGAGTCTCCTTAATAATAACTAGGTTATCAGGCAACTCGTCTGGGAGACAGGCAGCACTGACAAGCTCTTGACGACAAGGTTTGTGAGCAGTTTCATCATACCCTTAAAGGAACAGTTGATATTGAACTGTTAGCACACGGTTCGAACCTCTCTTGATAAGCTGAGTCATGACTTGCTTAGCAATCAGATTGATAGCTACATCATTGTCTCCCCCGCGAGGAACGATGATGTCTGCAGCTTTCATTCCCGGAGCAATGTAAGCTTCGAAAGCAGGCTGAACACCAAAGATGAGTTTATACAAAAGATAAATTGTCCCACTTTCACGAAACGGAAGTACTGATCTAAAACACCCGCAACGTCCCGTCCTCGCTCGTTGATATCGCGGTTGAGACGGCGTGCAAGACGAAGATCACCATCAGTATCAACAAAAACCTACAAAGGTGACCAGATGAAAAGAATTGTTACAAATATCCAACTCTCATGTCCATCATGTCACAAATATCAGGTCTGTGAAAAGCTAAGATTCCTTCGAAAATGAGTACATCAGCACCATACATTACCTGAAGAATGTATGAGTTTGAACTCAAATAACGGGAAATATTAACCTTTGGATTGTTGTCGCGAGAATGACTGGTGAAATCATAAACAGGGACTTCGGTACTTTTACCTTCACGAAGACGGGAGAGAACGTCAAAAAGCAGATCGAAGTCGAAAGCGTTTGGATGATCGAAGTTATAATTCGATAGTTCGGCTTGACGATGTTGCTCCTCATCGAGGACTTTGTAGAAGCTATCCATACTGAGTACAGTGACCCATGGGATTTCGAGCTTTTCAATAATTTTGTCGGCCACCGTGGTTTTCCCGCTAGCTGAGCCACCACAAATACCGATAACATAAGGCTGCTTCAGGTTTTTTCCTTTCTTATCGTACCATGGCGGACGTCCCTTGGTGTAAATTTTCTATAGGAACGTCTTGGTAAGAACATTAAGAACAACGTCAGCCTACTCGTCCTGTTTTAGTGGTTAGTAGGTGGTGTTCCGACTTCGAGCCGCTCATCGTACGGATTCGACGTCGTGGGGCGGGAGGGGAAGGAGAGTCGTCGGCTCTTGTCATTTCATTAACAGAGGAACCTGAAATAATATCGAATTTCAAGTGATCAGGACACATAGAAAAACAACACAATAACACCGACTAACAAACCGGAAGCTTCAACTTTACGCTTCATACCAACGTAAGTTAAAATAAAGCTAAAAAATGGTCAGTTTTCTGAGATTTTGATTCTAATAAATATTGAAGTTAACAAACCTGAAGAGTTGTAGTAATTCGGAAGGTCTTCGATTTTTACTGAGCGAGATTCTCGGCCATCCCCAGCCCCACCCTGCGTCATGGTGAACACCCTGGAAAGAATATTTTATACAGTTGTTTCTAAAAATTTAGACTTAAGATGAATAACATTCGATCTTTCTATCATCTGGGGGGAAAACATTACAAAAAGAGAAGGGGATTGACAGAATTTCGTACTGTGAGAGTACAAGAGAGATAAAAAATGTTCAAAACATACAATCGTTTTCTGTTCGCGACGAGATAAATAAATGGGGAAAATGTTACTTACAAAAGAAGTTGAAATTCTGGCTGAAACGCTTCTCGACTTCGCGAACGCAATCAGAAGGCTCGTGCTCCCACCTAGAAAACTAATGATTTCGAGTGCAACAAGTGCGCAGCTTCCTGTAAACAGCGTACACGATCAGAAATTTGCCTGAAAACAAATGCAGTTTATCTCTCTGTTGATGTTAAACATCTTATCCACTACGACGCATATTCATTATATTAATATTCAGGCCAACCATGAGGATATCTTTCATAAGAAACAATTCAATCAAACAAATTCAAGCCTTAGTCAAACACGAACAAAATATAGTTACGGAAGATAAGCATATAATCCATGTTAAAGCTGGATCAGGTGGAGCTGGTATGGCAAGGTTTGGTTATCGAATAGATCGTTTAAGCACTATTGCCGTTCTAGGTACAACGGGATAGGAGGCAATGGGGGGAGTGTCATTTTGAAAGCGAAACCGAACATGGCTTTCGTAGACATCCGGAAGAGTCTTGGAGGAAGTATGAAAATAAAAGCCCTTTCAGGGCAGAGTAGTCAAAAAACAAAACTGATTGGAAGTCATGGGGAATCTACGGTTGGAAAAGTAATAGTAACAGCGAATTACTCTGGGTTTCCAGATTTTCTCTGTACCTGTGGGTGTGGAAGTTGTAGAGAAAAACACAAACATCCTACTGGCCAGGTGCACTAAACCTTTCTACGAATACACCATTGCACGAGGGGGAAGAGGTGGGTGTGCCGATAATAATTTCAAGTAAGAATTGTTTTTCTTTTTGTATGAATTGCATTAGTTCAGGGGAGAGAAGGGAGACGAATTCGATATGGAAGTTCATCTGAAGCTGAAGCCGAATGTTGGGCTAGTGGGTTTTCCAAATGCCGGCAAATCAACCTTGTTGAAAGCATTTGTTCCGAGAAAAAGTGTTAAAATAGCTCCTTACCCTTTCACTACAGTACGTTATGTTCGTCACAAATGATGAACTTTTCATTTCTTTCAGGTAAAACCTCAAATGGCATTTTGGACCGAAAAAGATTCATCCTCCCCTTCGTCGGATGACTTCACTCTCTCGATTGCTGATTTACCCGGTTAGCCCAATTTATAGGTTTAGAGAACTTTGTGCTCTCCAGGTATTATTGAAGGTGCTTCTAGAAATAGGGGAAAAGGCTATAAGTTTCTGAAACACTTAGAGTACTGTGATATAATTCTATTAGTTGTTGACTGCAATGGTTTTCAATTGTCAGGAGACCTCTCGGAACCCTTCAGGTTTTTGTTCCGATCATCTTGTTTCTCAGTTTATAAGTTAACAGAAACCCTGTTGAATCCGTGGCTTTGTTGCTCAAAGAAATGGAAGCCTACGATAACAAACTTTTAAGTAAGCCCACGGTTTTACTTCTCAATAAGATCGACATAATCGCTGATAAAAAAGTATGCATTCTATAAGGTTTATGCTTTCATTCATTTTTCTTTTAGGAACCACTCCGTATGAAGGACATGCTATCATCTCCTAATTGGGAAAATGCGGTTTCTCCTGATCTAAGACCACAAAATCCTATCAAATTTGACTATATTTTGCCTATATCAGCGAAGAGTGAGAAGATTTCGGAAGTCAAGACGGTTTTAAAAAGGATCTACAAGAACATCAATCCCTATGAAACTGCTGATGAAAAAGCACTCCCACAAAAAAAACTACTTTGAGTCATCAAAACAGCGATCGTTACGGGTATTTCTAACGATCCTATCCGCCATGTACAAATTGTTTATTTGTTCAAAAAAGGAGAATTTCCAACGTGATTATGGGTTGACAATGAGTTGGAACAATGTGCCTACTACTTTCAACTGATTATACACCTGGTAAATACCGATTTTCTGATTTGAAGCGAGAGTCTCTCTCCGAACTTGTTATATCGAACCATTAGAAATCGAGGGCCACAGCAATCACTCGAACTAGAGTTCTGACATACTGCGGAAGAAGACAGATTTTCCATGTAAACCCTTCGTTGTAATAGTTTGATTATTCTCAAAAATATACATAAAAAGTTTTATAACACTTCTTCAAACGAAATCTAATACATAGTAGAACCGAATCAGAAAGGAAACATTAGAATACGCATGAACCATTTATGAGCACGTTGCATGCCACGCCCATATTTCCGCGTCCTTCATGGCCTACTAATGCGTACAGGCTTTTTAGTTGTTTTTTAACTTATGTGCTTCTGTTTTTCTGTCTTAGTTCTGTCCTTATAGTACATAGAGTTGCTCCAGATTTTTATATAATAATGGATTTCCAATCACTCCTGGATCAAGCATGTAAAAATATGAAAAAGACTTCTAAAACGTTAAATGAGCTTGATTCGGAGGTGAGTAATGAAAAGCTAGAGAAAATAAAGAGGATCGAAGCTGAAAAAAGGGCTAAAATAGAAGAAGCTAGGAAGAAAAGATTAGCCAAGCCTGTAGTTCCAGAGAAAAAGGTTGGTTTACTTTTGTACTCGCTATTGTCATAAATGCTTTTATAGTTTGTCATTCCCAAGAAGAAAGCTGATGGTGGAGAAGTCGATTCGAATAATCTGAAAGCTTTCCTGGCCAAAAAAGAAGAGGAAAAACGGGAGTCGGAACGGAAAAAGAAAGAAGAAAAGGAGAAATTGATTCAACTTCGTTTGCAATCACATGGTGGTAAAGCTAGCAAAAAACTGGGAAAGCAGTTTGGAATGGATCCTATCGATTTACAAATTCGTTATGGTAACGATCATTCTTTAGTGGAACAACTTCAAAAAAGAAAATGGCGTGAAGAAGTAGGGATTTTAATTCCTAATCCTGTTTTCTATTAAAACTTATTCAGGATGAGCAAGACAAGCTTAGTTCTCATTACCGAGACGGTGTATATAAGGCTTTAGCTCAGAAGCGACACGTCGCTGAGAAGGTTGGATTTCGAACTTGATTTTCTTTTTTATTGCTTTAATCATTCTGCAGATGAAAAAAAGTTCGAACGGAGAACGGGTACCTCATCGCGTTTCAACTAGTAAAGCCAACAGTTTAGCTGGACTTTCTAGTAGACATGCTGCCACGTTGGTTTCTCGCTTTTTGAGTTTGAACTATTTTTCTCCCATTTAGTCGCGACCATTTCTCTCCCCCGCCATCTGAGAAAAAAGCCCAAAAGGCTCAACCTGCAGTTGCCAAAAAGAGACCAACTGCTCCTCAAGTAGACTTTCAGTAAGTTTTTTTTATAGTTTCACCTTTTATAAACTGACTGCAGAACTCTTATGAAAACTGCTGAACGAATTAGTCAAGGGTTAGAACCAGAGCCCCCGAAAAGTACCAGTTCCTCTCAGATTCCCAGGTTATTTATTTTTTATTCCTGTTCACTTCGTTTGTTACAGGAAACCGAAACTTCCAAGTATGCCGGAAAGGAATAACGTCCGGAGTCGTCCAGAAATGAGCACTTCTAGTCGAAGTTCGTCTAGTCATCAGAGGTTCGTGAAGTTTTAAGTCATTTAATAGATGAATCTTTTCAGGCCGTCTGAAAATCGTAATCATCCCTCTTCTCAAAACAATTCTCGTTCAATTTCGTCCAAAAACCATAGTGAAAATAGCTTTAAGAGAGAGTTTGTTTTTATTCAGAAGTCACATGTTTTTGAGAATGATTTTTTAGCGAAAGAAAAGCACCAGCTAAATCTGTACCAAGTTTACCTCGAAAAGTTAGTCCACCACGAACAACGGATGGAAATCGAAGGTATTCTTGTATCATATCATTCCTTTTGAGAGTTTGTTTTTCGATATTTACCGGGCGACATGAGGTACAAAGCCTCACAACATGCCTCAGACTCTAATCAACGACCTAGTGTGTCCAGGAATGAATCATCAGTTTCAAAAACTGCTTCGCATAATATGTATTGATACACCGTTTAGTATCATAACATAAATCAATATTTTTTTAGTGACCGCAAAATGATGATCGAAAAGTCGGATATGTCAAGACGTCCTGCATCTTCTCACTATTCGTCCAGTAGACATGCACAGGACTCTCCTAAGAAGAGGCGTTATGAAGAATCATCGAGATCATTGTAGTTTTTGCACTCAAATATTTTTTCTAAAACCTGTAATGTTAGATTGGAGAAAGAAAGAGCTCAAGAACGAGCGAGATATATGGGAAGACGGGCTTATGAAGAAGAAGTGGAGGATGAGGACGAGTATGATAGTGAAATGGACGATTTCATCGATGACACTGAAATGGATGACATGAACCGCGAGGAGTTTGAGAATACTTTGAAGTGAGTTCATGCTTTATTGTATACTTTTATCACAATTGTTCCAGGATGGTTAATCCGAAATATAACAAGAGAAAATGGAAAGAGAGAGAGAGCATGATCGATGTTAGATATATGGAAGCTAGCTACGCGACAGTATCTAGGGAAGAAGCCAGGAGCTCAAAAATAGGAATGATGGAGGACATTTTAGAAGCTAGGAACGGTAAAAGTCATGCACTATAGTTTGTTTCAAATTAGCATACCGTTCTCATTTTTAATAATTTTATTTGTTTATACTCGAGTCTATACATGTATCGAAATGTGTGATTCTTTGTTTATATCATTCCATATAATATATTTCGAATTTCATTCAAATATAGGAAATAAAGATTTTTAATTTTTATATATCTGTTAAGTATTGTTCAATGTGTATATCCACTTCGTATACTTCAACGAGTTCAAATCTGAAGTTAACAAGTTTCATAGTTATGAGCGGAATGACGAGTTGATGATGCGTGTTTGGCGTTTGCGGTACAGTCCTTGGGACTTCTACCAATTTCGAAGAATCCACGATGTCTCTAAGACAGCTCTCCAAGGTATATATTTCAATATCTTTCGATATTCTGTTCTGTTTTTCCTTCCAATCTATCGCACTCAGTGATCTTTTGCTCTCCGTTTTCTTCTTTTTTTTATGTTAGCTGAGTACATTTGTCCTTCTTCTTATGTAATCGACCAGCTGGAGCACCCAAAGCACGTACAACTATACGAAATTTTTACAATTTCATCTGAGTTTAAATATTTTTCTTTTTTTATTTTTTCTTCTCAAACCAAAATGTATTTAACAAAATCTCTAAAATGATTCATATGAAATTGACTTTTTCTCTCCTAGCCAACTCTCACCAAAATCGATCTCTCGGCCGTCCTCTCTTTCTTTAGCTTTTTATCTTGTGTGTCATTTGAGTTCTTTCTCCGCCTCTCCACGACAGCATTTGCTGAGTCTCACGGGTACGACTGAACCCAAATGTCTCATTTCTTTTCACTCATCTGCATTCAGTCTGCCTCATGTCGAAGCGTCTTCTTACGAAACAAATGATTTTTTTCAGTATTCATTCCATTCTCCTCAAATTGATCTGTTTTATTGAAATCTTAACTTGATTTTTCAGAGAGCTCGGATAGAGTGAGTCGATCCCGGAACATGAAGGAAAACGTATACTGCCGAGGTTCCTTGTTGGACGCAGTTCAGATGGCAAAACTATTTCCTGATTCCAAACACTTTGTTGATATGTCAATGCGACATGATGCAGGTATTAATTTTCATAAAAAATATGACAAAAAGATCATTTCTTATCTAATCATTCCAACACGAAAGATTAGCTCAAAATTTTTGTAATCTCAAAACACGTGAGGCTTAGATGTGATGAACAATCGGATTATAATTTTATTACTTCCTGAGATGTTCCGTGGATACCTATTTATAGAAACAATCATGAAGTCGTGGGAAGATTTGAAAGAGGCTAACAGTACTGGGATTCCTGTGGATATCTTACGAACTTTCATTTTTGACAATTTCGATGAACCAGAAGGAGAGCTGGTTGAAGAGAACCCCTTAGATTGGGATCCTAAGGTGTTTCGATCTGCCAATATGTTTCAATCTCTGTTTAATGTTCAGGTCGATAGCTTTCAATACATCCTGGATGAAAGCTACAGAGTTTTTGCTTATGCATTACATCGCAAGTGGCCCTCACTCTATAGAAGAGTATGTTTTTTTGGAATTGATTAGTCGAAACTTTGTTTTTCCCAGATTTCCGACAAAGTCAGAATTTCACCCGAACGTTATTCTATTATAAATGTTCCAAATGCTTTCATAGTTCCTGGTGGACGTTTTAGGGAAATGTATTATTGGGATAGCTTCTTCACTATCAAAGGCTTATTAGCCTCTAACATGTTTCAAACAGTAAAGGGAATGATAGAAAACTTGCAATATTTGATTGACCAGTAAGTCTTCATGCTTCATGAACTGTTTTAATGTTATCTTCAAGATTCGGATTTATTCCTAATGGAAACAGAGTTTACTACCTGAATAGAAGCCAGCCTCCGTTATTAACTTGGTGTGTGCATGCTTACTTCGAAGCAACTAATGACCTAGACCTGGTTCAAAGTATTTTACCAACTTTAAGAAAAGAGGTTTGCTTTTCAATTTTTATCTCTTTTTAATTGTTATCTCAGATCGAATTTTTCCAAGCGAACCGTACTATACAGCTAGATGACTGGATAGGTCCACTTTTCCGTTATCATCTCAATGTCAATCATCCGAGACCAGAGAGCTATAGGGAAGATGTTGAAACTGCTCAAGATTTTGATAATTGTATTCATTTCCCTTCTGCGATTTACCTAGAATAGAATTATAGTTGCTGATAAGTGTCGCGTTTGGGGAGAAATAGCAGCGGCTGCTGAAAGTGGACGAGATTTTTCGAGCAGGTGGTTTGATCACACAGGAGTGCATGCTTTGTGTATGAACACGATACGGTTAGAAAAACATAAGAGGAGACAACACTGCTCTTATTTGCAGCACAAGCCAAGTCATCCCTGTTGATTTGAACGCAATAATATGCGGAAATGCATCGATGCTTGTTGATCTACATGACGCTGTTGGTGACATAGAATCATCGAAATATTTTGCTCATTTATGTGATAAATTGAGACGTACGATACATCAGGTTTTTTCTTTGTATCACTCTCAAAAACTGTTTATTCTTAGGTTTTCTGGAATGAGGAAAAGGGCTGTTGGTTTGATTACGATTTAGCTACAAGTTCACATATGGAAATATTTTCTGACTGTAATCTATTTCCAATGGCCGCCAAAGCTACTCACGAAGGCTTCGATAGCACAGCAGTTGTAAACTATCTTAGAAAATCAGGTCTCTTTGACTTCTCTGGTGGAATACCTTGTTCGCTTGTTGCTTCAGGTTTTCTTTTGCTCTCAACTAATCAATCACAAACCAAGGTATTTTCAGGTCAGCAGTGGGATTTTCCTAATGCCTGGGCACCGATGATGTGGATGATTGTGGAAGGTTTCCGGAACAATGGAGAACAAAATGTAGCTTTGGAAATTGCTGACAAATGGATAAGAAAAAATTACAATATGTGGAAATCATCGGGAGGAAGAATGTTTGAAAAGGTATTAGTGATTTGTTTGAGATAATGAAGGATTATTCTGCAGTATAATGTCGTATCGCCTTGCTTACAAGCAGCCGGTGGTGGTGGCGAATATGAAGTACAAGAGGGCTTTGGATGGACCAACGGAGTAGTTTTGGACTTCCTTAAGAATTTTTCGGATCAACTTGCCTACGAACAAGAAATATCCACTAACTAGAGCTGCCTTCAAGAAACAGCTAATTTTACAAAATTTTCCAGTCGGGGTAGACACTCTCAAGGGTTATAGATTTATTTTTAAATGCTCAGGTCGTATATATATATATTTTTATTTAAAATTGATAACTTTACTTAATAATTTAATTCCACTAGTTTTGTCTACACAAGAAAAAGAAACAGAATAACACGGAAATGGCAAATAGAATTGAATTAGATGAGGCGAGATGAGTTAAGAAATTCAACCGTTCTGTACGTCTGTTTGAGGAATCAGACCAATTTAAGTGAAAAAATCGCCTTCGATGTTAGAAATCTCTAGATTAATCCGTATGGATTTGTTCACTCAATAATACCTGTACCAGATAACGAAATGACAAGACATGTAAAATAAAAAAATTGTTCTCTAATCTTGTCAATAGTATATAACGGACTGCGGACGCTCATTTCGTATATATGGATTATGCACCTGTTGTAGATCATCCCTAGAGAACATCTGAAAATTTTCTAATAATTTTTTTCTGAATGAATGTATGAATGAACCATTTCGCGCCGAATTCTCTGATTTTCGTTTCCTTGAATTGGTTTCGGTATTCGATGAGCAACAATGCTGTTGGAAACGAAGTTGGTCGGTGTACTGCCCCGAACAGAAGAAACGTCTTTCGAAGATGACTTATATAAGAAAATCTGGAATTATAGAGGAATACAACTGATTAATCAAAGTCATCGTACGAATGCTATGCAGAGGACCAGAATAACGATCAGGGCAAACATTGTGGAGGCGAGTAGTACAGCTGAAACATTACTCATGGATTTGGACTGCTACGTTTTTTGGACTCACCCCAAAACACTATTTTCACTGTAAGTTTCGCTTTGTGTTTCTGGTCACCATACTGAAAAGAGAGGGACTCCGGTTCAGCAGTGTATTTCAAAGAATCTGCATTGAACAGGAAGGAATTGTTTTTCACCTGAAAGAAGAAATGAACATTCATTAATTCAAGAACATGAAGAACTCACAGCATCCGCAATATGCCTTGAATACTCTTCAGCTTTAATATCCGTTATTTTGAACAGTACTGTCTTATCATTTTTAATTTCAATGTCATCCACAGAACCAGCACTCATATTAAAACCAGAGAGCAAATAGTTTTTCAACGCTCTATAATGAATAAAATAGTGCTAGTTACTTTCTCATGAACATACTCTTCAATACTTTTTTTCTGTTCTAACGTAGCCACTGGTCCATTCAGCTTGAACATCAATTCCATTGGTTCAATGCTTTGGGCAGTATCATCATTGTCCTGATAAGGCTGGGATATATCAATGCCGATACCTATGTTGAAATGAAGTTACGATAGATGATCAAACTACTATATACCTTCACAGAAATGAACACACTCTTCTATTCTAAGGAAATTGTTCAAATTTCCTCCACAACCGCCATAAGTGAATGGAATGCAACTCCGCCTTGTTGAAGAATAGAAATATCGCTCTTCAGTACCATTACATCCCCCACTGTCATGCATCAAATTACAGACGTATCCTGCATTAAGATGAACAATCAAAGCTAAATTACGAGAAAAAAACAACTTTTTGTTACACAGCAGATCCCGTTCTTTTGTCCTGCAGCAGTTGAACAATAGTGTGTGGACGGGCACCTGATGAGGAATAAAGTATAGAACATGTCATAGGAACCTACCCATTAGCTGAAACCGTACAAGTTAGTGGTTGACCATCAGAAACACTTGAGAAAGGATCACCATGAGCACATAACTTTGCAGGAGTAGTGATAGTTTTTGTTTTTTGCCCTACAAAAACGTTTTAGAGCCTTCAGGTTGAGTCAAACCTTTTGAGCAGCACAATCCATTAGCACTATCCACAGTTTTTGATGAACAGTACAATCCTTTGGGACATCTCTGACTAGGATTGCAAAAAAGTGGTTGGTGGGTAAGTGCATCTAGAGCTACTTGATCATTCTTTTCGCAAGATGAAGCTTGGCCTAAAATACGGCGAATAATACAAATATAAATGCAGAACATACATGAAGGTAGGAATATATGCTCGCCACCATTCACTGTCTGCTTCTTCAATACACAGATCTGGAGCAATAGCAAAGTTATAAACAACAACTTAAACAGTGTGTACTCCATCTCTTCCACATTCAACATGTTCACACGGCGAGGAGCATCGACAATCTGCATAAGGACATCCATTGCTATCTAATGTGAGGTCATAAGGACAAGCTTTTTCAGAGCAATGATTGCTGCATGGGAATAGTTCTGAAATTCAACATGATACACTAGCTCAGATGTGAAAACGTACGATTACAGATCTGCTCAGATTTCCTCTTACGAGTTCCAATAACTTCTCTTCCACTGTTGGGAAAAACACACCAACAAGAATCCCTTATATCACATTGAATTACAGTAAAAAGCCCAGACGGCGTGCAAGAAGGTTTATGCAAGCTTACGGTGTGCCCATGACTTATTAACCCTTCTATTACAGATTTCATAGAAGAACAAGCTAAAAGAGAGGATGTTTCGTAGCTTAGGTCATGCAATCACCTTCAGGTTTTCTTAAGCGTCTCACTGAGGCGATTTTCCTGACTGGCTCTATGGCAGTAACAGTTGATATCTTTTGACAGCACATCGACACGTTTTCTCCATCTATGATTTCTCGAACACAGTGACTGCCTTCGTTATGGCCACAATCAGCATCAGCGTTGCACGTACGCGGATTTCCGTAATCGTCAGCCATCCATGAACCCAGTCCACATAAATTCGGGACACCTTAAACTTCTATAGTGATAAAGCACATTATGCTCAGACTCACAAGTTGGAATGGAGGGACAGGTTCCTCCAATACATTCTTTACGTAGAAGAGCACAAGATGATAGAGGCGACTCACATTTAATGTCCTATAGATAAGTGCTTATTTCTTAGGAATCGTACTGAATCATACCTGACAAGGATTTTTGCAAATACATGCACCGTTGAGAGGACACCCAGTTGAGTCTAAGCGCAATCCATAGGGGCAAAAAGTAGAAGCTTCCTGACAGTCAGTCTTACATATGATTGGTTCTGAGAACAGAAAGCATTTTCGATTTTCATAATCAACTCACTATCACAACGAGGAAGTGCTAACGAAGAGAAAACTCGAGTTCCAATTATCTCTTTTCCGGAATGCTCATCCACACACCAGCATTGCTGAGAAGAGGTGTCACATTGATGTTGTCGGAAAAGTCCGTCAGAAGTACACTGAATCATGGAAGAACTTTCAAAACTATGAAGTTCTTTAGAGAGAGAAGTAAGAAGATGAATGCAGTAAGTAGTTGTCTGAAAACTCATACTAAAATAGTTAATAGGATTAATCAAACTTTTGCATGAGAGCACACAGCAGCACAACTGGCTGTACAACATTTCGTGAAACCAGGGCAATCCGAATCGACAGTACATTCTTCTTTACAACCAGGGTTCAGAATTAGAGATGGGCATTGCCCAACTTTTTCTGTCACAGTGAGAACTGGAGGAGGGAAACCTTGACTAACAACTGAAGACAATAATGAATGGTAATAAACTACTTGGTTGGATTGCTGGCTTGAAAAAAACAGGAGGAGCTTGTGAAGAGCTAGGAACAATAGCATTGATGACAGGTGAAGGATCAATGTTAGGAGTAAATGAAACAGCAAACACCTAAAAAGCATAATAAAAACGTAATATTCTAGATCAATATACCGGTCTAGCAACGTCATTAGTTGATTTTCTGATATTAACAGGAGTAATGCTACTTGATCGACCTATTATATATTTTGAATTGAAAAATAACAACTATTAGCAACCTGTGTGGAATTGGCAGCTTGTTCCACATCCATTAAAACAGCAAATTGATTGCACGCAGTCTGATGCTTGACGACATGATACAACACACGCAGAACCATCTACTGAAGAGTTCGACGGAGAGATTGGAGGGCATTGCAGAGTAGCTAGTTGGGAAACTGCTTAAATCGCATGCATTATATAAGAACTCAATAATTAGCAACCTGCTCCTGGACAACAGAAACCTTTTCCGAAAAACCCACTCTTACGGCAGTAGTATTTCGTTGGACAATCAGATTGGACAGAGCACTCGGATAAAGTTCCTGTTTCACTACTTATCAATGGCTCGCTTCTTGGACAAACGTTAGGTAAACCTAAGATGGATAAGATTTTTGATCTGAGACACTGGTTAATCGTACACATCGGGACCGGTTGACAATCAGCTGATATACAATTGGTATCCACCATTCGGCACAGCATTCCAGCTGGGCACTCCATTAGCTCACAATGATCACGACAGTCACAAACTATACAACCATCATTATCTGTTTTGAAACTAAAAACAATTATAAAATACACAATAGATTGTATTTTACCCAAACAAGCATTGCTTGCTACATGAGCGAACAGGACATGACTTTGGATATCGGCAACTAGGTAGACCAACTGTTTTCGTTCCTAAGATAGGATTTCAAGAACTATGAGCTTGAGAAACACTCACCAGGTATTTCATTTCCTTGTTCATCCACACACCATTTTAACCCATAATGACTTTGTATGGTTATAAAGTCTCCGGCCGAATCACATTCCGCAACCATGGCTTGTGGATTATGTTCTTTCAAATTGAAACCAGATAAGCGCGTGTGAATACCTGCGGAAAGAGTTCTGTTATTATCAACGCCTAGAAACTAACATTGAGTTGTTATATAGGGAGCAACACATTTGAACGAGCATCCATCTGAACAACACTTCAAAAGTTGATCGCAATCAGCATCAGTTTTGCATTCGGACTCTTTTGATCTAAACAAATCACCTTCTCATCAGTATAAATCTAGTTCAATATACCTCTGTGCACAGAATGCACCTAAAGAACGAACGGGTAAACACTCTCCAATGTGCACAACGGATACCACGGATGTGTCAAATTCTAAATGTAGCGTTATTGCTTTCATAAACCTTTCACCGAATTACCTGCAGATTGACATGATAATCCGCAGCCATTACTACAACATTTTTCGTCAGCAGCACATTGATCATCTATGATACAACTTCGGTGGCAACTTCCAGGTTGAGCATCATGTAAGCGTGGGCAGGTTCCAGGATGTTGTTTGGGTTCTGAAAAGGGTGTTCAAACTGAATAGAGTACATATGCATACCTTTCCCTGGACAACAAACTCCTTCATCACCTTTGAACAAATTACAATAAGAACTAGGGTTGTTGGATCCTCGACATTGACGATTATCTTTACAAATGAGAAGCTCAAAGGTGGAGGAATCAATCAAGGGATTCTCATTTTGGCATGGATTGATCACACAGCGAGGAACGTCCTGACACGGTTGATTTGAACATTCAATCGGTGATGGAACGCAAATCGAAGCATACGGACATGTGATTTCCTTAGATGATATTGAATGCAAATAACTGTATCAAAGAAATACCTCACAAGGGTTGAAACATTCACAGGTGTTGCAACCATTGGAATCTTTCCTCAAGCCAAACTTGCAGTCATTCTTAATCGTACACAACGGTGTAGCACACTTCCTTCGTTCTGTTATATTTACAGTTTTGCTGAGTTTTTTTTTATTTTCAGAAGCCTACCATCACACTGAGGCTCAACATCATCGGATGTTCGAGTTCCTTCGAGCTCATACCCATAGGTGTCAACACACCAACAGAACTTTGATGAGCATTGAACGTTTTCGAAAGCGCCATCTATTTGTTTAAGATAAAGAAAATTTTCAGAACTCAAAGCTACTTGGTCGGCATTTCACACGATCCATTTGACCAATCTGCTGGAGAGCCCCTTTAAGCTCGAGACACATTGTCGTTTTTTCTGCATAAACACAAAGTTTACGACATCCATCTGTACAACATTTCTGTACTCCTGGACAGTTCATGTCAGAAGAGCATTCATCCTTGAATCTACAAATAGAGCTATGAATTTGAATAACTACGATATTATAAACTTTTCTTGATCTTTATCACAAGTCTTGAAGTCGTAGAACGGACAGATTCCAATTTTATCGAAGTCTGTCGTTATACCGAATTCGCTTGAGTTTTCTTCTGACTCTTCAGATATGTTTTCGTTCGAAAAATCTGAAACGAAACATGTGGAATTATATACTCAGAGAGTAGAATACCAAGACATAAAGTTCCACAACCATCAAAGCAGCATTTGTTTCTTTGAGAGCAGTCATCGTCTGAACGGCATTCTAGTCTGAAGTTCGAAAAATTAGCATAATTACGTGACAATACTTGTATGCATAAAGATTAATATTAATATACGAAGAAAGGACGCTTTGTGAATTTAGAATATGATCATCATCAATCAATGAATATGTTTTACCTGCATTCATGGAAACGATCAAGTAGTGGCTGTACGGAGGGGCAATTTCCTCGGTTAATCGGATGCGTAGGTTTCGGACAGCAGATCCCACCAGATGATAAACCAAACTGAATAATCAAAATATGAAACTTTAAAACAATCCTTGTATTACTGAATGACACCAATAGTTGGCTGGACACTCCTTATCTATCGAACAAACTTCTGCCGTTCCAATAGGTGACACTGCTGCCTCACCTATCGGGCACATAGAAAGAACACCTAAATTGCACGATTTCGTTGTTGAAGTGAAAAAATGATGTACATCGAGGTTGTGGGTGGCAGTTCTCCTTTTGAAAACATTCCACATTGGTCATTATGCACAAACTTCCCTCTGGGCATTTTATCTGTAAGTTAGAGTTGAATAAACAGAATCATTGAAACGTTTCATACATCTAAGCATGGGTTGCTGCAGAGGCACGTCTCGCATCCTTCATTGTCCACTTGATACCCATATGGACATATTGTTTTACAATTATGATTCACACATATTTTCGAATCTTCAACAACTTCAATAGACAAAACTGCCGAAGTATAGAGTACCTGCGCAGTTTGGCATTTTACGGCGATTTCGAGTCCCTGGTATTTCATCTCCGGTCATAACATCAACACAGAAGCAACCATCTGTATCACATTGAACTTGCTCGAAGTTGCCAGCTTTATCGCATTTCTTTACTCGTTTCAACGAGTATATTTCCGAAGTGAGAGATAATTGGTAGCAAGCTGCGAATCAATCTTTGTGGAAGTATGCTTGAAGATAACGTACGAGTGCTTCGGACATAATATGTACAAAGAGTAGAACATCCCGATCGACAGCACCTTTTCATTCCAGGGCAATCCATGTCCGAAACACAAGAAGTGGAACAATTATTACCCACAGGATTCATAACAGGACATTCAGCTACAAGTGAAGTCAAATGTTCTGAACAGAAAAAAAGTTTTTTTCACGTTAGTCTTAAGCGGGATCACCTTTGTTATGGCTTAACACTATTTCAGGTGTTATTTCTAATTTTGGCTTAACTTGAACTTCAACAAGAGGCCGTTCAGTCGTTCTAGGTTGAAACTCCGTTTCAGCACATGTCAACCCACATCCATCAAAACAACATTTACCTGAAGTAATTGATTAACTAATCATTCAGTTTTTATTTTGCGAAACCTGACAAACAGTGATCATCTGTCTTACAGGTGGAAACACAAGTTCCATTTCGTTGCGGGCTTCGTGTTGGACAATCAGCATTTATAGTTTTCTCTGGTTTTTTTCCGGGACAGCAAAATCCCAAACCACTATATCCAATCTGAAACATTGGCATCGTGAGTTCCTCCGTAAACTTGAACAATAGAAAAGAAAAACTATTTTCATCTCAAAATATTGCAATATGAGATAATTGTTCATGTCAATTACCTGTCCCAATAATAGAAAAAGGACTAGAACTAGAATCTTATAAGGAAAAAAAAGAGAACAAAAAAAAGAGGAAAACATACATTATGACACCAATAACTTCCCGCACACTGCTCCGTTCTTACGCATAGAGCCGTGACCCCGGTTGATATGGTCATCGGATGTCCAGTTGGACAAGGATTGATCAAGCCTTCAAATCAAATAATTATTTCACTTCATAGTTCTCAAAAACAAACATCTTGGTACTGGTAGGCATGGAGGAACCAAACAATCAGGTTCTACTAATTGGCATATATCAGCAGAGTTCACGCATCTAAGAGAGGAACCGATTACATTCGTAATTTCTAGAACGCTTACGCTACTCCATGACAAATATCTCTGCAAATACATCCATCTACGGGACATCCGAATTGATCCATAATGAAACCATGTGGGCAAGTTCCGTCGCATTTCACCGCACACAACCGGAGATCTTAAATATTGAATGTTAAAAGCCGATTTCATAGAACCACATAGTGTCCCACGTGGCACGTAGTTCACGTTACACGTGGTTCACATTCATGAGCCACTGTCTGAAATCTCATTTCTATTTTTAAACCCCATCTCGGAACGGTTGTGTTTTTCCACAAATGATTCCTTTCAAAGAACAATTTTGTGGTTTAATGTTTACATAAGGTTTGTCTATAAATGTCTATCTCTATTAGCTACCTAATGAAAAGAAGCACAAGTAAAGAGAGACAGTATGGTAATGGAAGAGTCTTTGAGAAATGGATATTCTTATTTTGCTGTGCTCAACCTATATCCCTTCATCATTCGGCTTCATTACTTCAAATGACAGTTCGAGAGTCAATCAAACATACTTGACCAAAAAAGAAAACCCCATGTAAATGAACCAAATAAATTATAAACTGTTTTTACTTACTTATACACATGTCTGCCCTTTTCATACTTCCATCAATACGTGATCCGGAAATTTCACTTCCATAATTAACATCCACACACCAGCATTCCGACTCATCGCATTGAACAGGCGAAAACTGCAATATTATAATTTTCTGACAATTTTCTTAAGATTTTTTCAACTTTTCCATTAATTTCACATTTGGGCAAGTAGCCATTAGTTACACTCCCACTGGGTAGGCGCTTAATTGCCATAACTAAATGAATGCAAGCTGCAAAAAAGTTTTTTTTAAATGAAAAAACTGTAAGGATAATCTAACCTGTTGCTTTCACAGGATCTCTACAGATTTTCCCACAATTCGTTGAACAACACTTCTGGTATTCAACACAGTCGTCATCTTTTTCGCATTTCATCGTTTGCACTGAATCTTCTGTGTTATAATTCTCTTTGTCGCCTTTAACCTACCTTTACATTTATCTACTTCACCACTTGGACATTGTCCAGCTTTTTCCATACTAACAGGAATCTGCTCTACACTTTGTTGTTCAACTAGAAAATGAAACATGAACATCCGGAAATCTTACAAACTGATTACATGAAGTGAACTCTGTTTGAGGCTTCAGAAATGAACTTATGGTGTTGGGTATCCGTTCAACTGCTGTGATCAACTTGCTAAAGGGGCCTGAAAACATGCGGACTAGATAATAACAGCTAGGACAAAGTACTCCTACCTTTTACTGGAGAGATGGGTTTAGCTTTTATGGGGAAATCTGTAAGAGGAACTACACATTCCATTCCACATCCATTGGAACAGCAAATAAGCCTTCCTGAAAAACCAAAACAGATTTGAGATATTGATATCCAGACATTGACTACCTTGGCAATCGTGATCATTCTCACATCGTAGAGCACAAATGCCACCTGAAAGCCTCGGGCATTCAGGACGTATTGGAACTGCAAATAAGGGATATAAAAGATCTTACATGTATTTAAATGTTTGTCTATTGAAAATTGCGAAAATGTGAAAAGATCGGTGAACACTAATTATTGGCAGTCATCTGGTTAGCGGAACTGACCTCATTCCTACCAAACCTACTTTCAACAGCTATTTTAAATGTTTTAGAGGAAAAAAGGAAAAAATAAACAAGCTAAAAGAATGAAAATTCAATTCTAATCATCAACTTACTTGAGTTCCGAATACAACTAGCAACGACCCCGGAAGATACACATATGTCTCCTTCAGGACATTTCTTAGTCTGTAACTCATATGATACTGTTTTGAACGGCGGGGGACATACCTGGCATGGATCCAGAGCACAAGCACAGATACACTTTGAATTAGATTTCAAATATCCAAATGGACAGACCAAACTACATTTATTAGGCCGTAGCTCACATATTTCGTCTTTTGAGAATAGATGTTGTTGAAAGGATGAGACGATGAGTAATAAAAATATGAGAAATTTATCGTTCATTATGCCCTCAGGGCATGAAAGTTTCTCGTTCGTTCAGGATAATAGCAGATTAGGATAATTTCAAATGTAAAATGAAATAGTCTGCGTAAGTAGATAGATGGCAAAGAGTAGGCGGAGTTCATTACAGTCAGCTACCATTCATAGAGGCGGAGTTAGAGGAAGTTGTGATGTTTTCCGACAAGTAATGTCCGGCTTTTGTAAACATTTCATATTGATAAATGTAGAGAAAAAAGACAAGACTGAGAGAAATGCGAGATGTCAAGAGCTTTGACAGCTTTGATTAGCATCTGTCTGCCTAAGTTTGAACAACACGCGGAACTATATGTGGTAGGTTGGATCGGCGGGCGAGAGGGGAATGAAGATGGATATGATACGTGTAAGTAACACGTGCACAACCGCACTTTTGAGGGACTAACAAAGAAATGAAATAGTTAATACAAGTAATCGAAGATAACAAATACTACGATTTTATGAAAAGTAATTAAGATTTTAATGTTTTCATTATCAATCCCCTTATAATAATTGTCTTTATGTCTACAATAACTTTGCAATTAATAATTCCATAACTGATTAAACACATTCATTCTTTTCATTTCTTATTCTATAAAACGTTTTTCTTTGGTTAGAGCAAACAATTTGTTCGAAATTATGACTCTTATCACGCTTCTTCAGCACGATTTTTTGACTTTTTTAGATGAGAGCAGCATTGATGAAGGCGAGAAAATGGTTACTGAAAAGTGCCATCGTGCTAGTTCTGATGAGGATATTTCGACACATGTTCATCGGTTAGTGTTTTAAGCTTTTTACCTTTTATATTTGTTTTCCTCACCTATTTAGCCAAGAGGGGGTATTAATGAGATGACGATTAATCTCTCGTCCACCCCTCCTTCTCTCTCTGACTTCCTCATATGAGAAAGAGACGGTTAAATAGGAGAATTAGATGGCTTTATATAACCATAATAAAACAAATATCAACCTTTAAGCTCATCATTCAACTTTCAACAACTCCACCCCATTTATAGTATAAAATATAGTTCTCAAAAGCTATTTCACCTTCTCACTTGTTCCACATACCATGTGTTCGTCCTTCTCTCTGTTTCGTATTTTCCAGTTTTCAATCTGTACTTTTGTTGAAATCAGTTAGCTAGTTCTTGACCTATCGTTCCCTTTCCATCAATTGTTTTAGCCTTTAACATTTAAAATAGAATAATATAAATGGTTTAGCCGACGAGCGTATAGAAGGACAGCCAGTCATGGTGAACGGAAGGCGGGAATATATTAGTATTTCTATACTTTTCGTAGTTAATCTGCTTAATTATGTGGATAGATATACTGTTGCTGGTAAACTAACATTTAATTATATAATTCATATAAAAATGTATTTGAAGGAGTTTTGACCGATGTTCAAAAGTATTATAATATCGATGATAGTTCTGCGGGCTTGATACAATCGGTCTTCTTAGCGTTTTTCATTGTTGGCTCTCCTATTTGTGGATATTTAGGAGATCGGTAAACACTAAGTTCCTTCCCTTTTTTATACAGTTCATATCAGTTTCAATCGAAAATTGATCATTCTTGTCGGTGTTGTCATTTGGTTGGGTGCTGTACTAGGATCAACTTTTGTCTCCAGTGATGTACGTATAGAATGTAAAATGGAAACCAAGATTAAACTTTTAGAACTTCTGGCTTTTCCTTCTTTTCCGTGGATTGGTTGGTATTGGAGAAGCCTCATATTCGAATGTGTCGCCTTCACTCATTTCTGACATGTTTACAGGACCAACCAGAAGCCGCATGTACATGCTTTTCTACTTTGCTGTTCCTGTTGGAAGGTACAATACTGATTCATCATCTCTCTTCCTCACATACTAAGTGTTCAGTGGTTTGGGATTTGTTGTTGGTTCAAATGTTGCATCAGCTACAGGACACTGGCAATGGGGAGTAAGAGTTACAGCCCTAGTCGGTATTGAATATTCATTGATTTCATCTGGAAATATTTGATTTCTAGGAATTTTCGTCACGATTCTTTTACTCTTGTTTGTTCATGAGCCTGTAAGAGGTGGTGCTGATGCCAGCACTGGAGCGAAGGAAACGAATGAAGTTGCAGGCTCATATTGGGACGACATCAAAGCATTAATTTGCATGTCAGTACTTCACTTCCTTGTTGCTTAGGATGTTTTTTTCCTTATTTGCAGTCCAACTTTCGTTTGCTGCACTTGGGGATACACGGCTTTAGTCTTCGTGACCGGAACTTTAACATGGTGGGAACCAACAATCATTGAATATTTGATGGCCTACAAAAACCAAGTCACTGATGTTGGAGAAGAAGACCATGACCACTTTGACAAAGATAAAGACTCGTAAGTCATTAAATAATATATAAAACCATTTAATTAATATAGAATCGGATTAATTTTTGGTGGCATTACAACTGTCGCTGGTTTGATAGGAGTGTCAATGGGAACTCTTCTAGCTGGAGTTAGATTTTGAAATAGTGGTTTTGAAGATGTTAAGTAATTTTCAGTGGATTAAAGCTGGAACTGGTCCCTTCAGGATAATTCAAACTGTTCGTGCTCAACCAATTGTATCTGGGTTCGGAGCTTTGGTCGCTGCTCCTCTGCTGGCCATCGTTTTCATATTTGGAGAGAAGAGCCTTCTGATGCTATGGGTACAAAAAAAGAGTATATTGCTTGTTAACAAAAAAACATTTAGATTCTACTCTTCGTACTCATCACATTCCTTTCTTTGAATTGGGGATTGAACGTTGACATGTTGATGGTTAGAACTCATCTTTCAAACTAAAATACTTAGTTTTTTAATTATTTTCAGACTGTGATTGTTCCATCAAGAAGAAGTACAGCTTTCTCCTACTTCATGCTCATTTCTCATTTATTTGGAGATGCCACTGGCCCCTATCTAATCGGAATTGTTAGTTTTCGCTTTTGTCCGACCGCCATTTAATGGAGTATTTTTAGATCTCTGATCAATTCTTAAAAGGAAAACCAACCTATGTGAAAGATGGCGAAACTGTTCATTATCCTCATGATCAATATACATCATTGGTGAAAGCAAGTTCGATAACAGTCGCATTGCTTGCCATCTCAGCTATTCTCTATTTCATAACGGCTCTATGTTTGGTTAGAGATCAAAGAAAATACAATGAACAGATGGGTAATAAAAAAAATTGGCTCACTTCAATCTTAATAATCTTCTTATCACCTACAGGTCAGAGCGATTTGGAACTCAAACGAGCTGACTCACCTACCTCACTTCATCAATTGAATCCATCAGCTCCTCCAGATGATATAAGTGAAAAAATAAGATTATAAATACTTGAAACCAAAATTCCCAATCAATACATCTCCAAAACTCTCTCTCTTTCTCTATGTATTAACAGATATTGTTTAGTTTTTCTTTTTTTTTTGATTTCTTCGAAAGAATGTGTATATTGATGAATATAAGTAATTAAAATGAATGTTATTCCTCATCTCCTGGATCAAATCATCTGACCAAATTACAAGGATTTCCTTGCAGATTATAGAAAATATATTTTTTTTGCTCTTTCTCTCATCTATCTGTCTTTCTCTCTCTCTTTATCCATCTCTCTTATTCTCTCAGAGCTTATCAGCCAGTCGTTTTCTTTTAACATGCAACTTTATACATAATTATGAAACATTAAGTTTATCTAGCCAACAAGTTCAGCGATTAGCCAGGAATTTTCGTTTCTCTCTGCAAAACTCCGGGAGATGAGATCCCCTCTTAATTCCTTCTTTTTTTCTTTTCTCTCACACAAAGTTTTTTTTTTCACACAAATCGTCGGAAGCAACGTATTGACAAACACAAATTTATACTCTTTCAAACATAAAATTATGAAAAAAAAGAAAGAAAAAAGATTTTTCTTGAAGAAGTCTGCATACTTCCTATCATACTTCTTTCTCTCTATCAATCTCTTTCTCTCTCTTTATCTCTCTATAATTCTCTCTGTATTTCATTTTCTCATTCTCCCTTTCTTCCTCTTCCTCTCACACACACTTTTAGTGGAAAAATCATTAAATTCTCAATAAGGAAATAAATCTTCAATCACAAGCAGTAAATAAGCACATGCTTAACATTTTTTCTTCCGTGCTTTCTGAATGATTTTTTATTTCTCATCAAAAGCCCTAAAAGAAGCTTACACGGGAAAAAAAGAGAAAAAGCTTATGTTTCAAACTCCGTAATTTGGCGGGATTACGTGAAAAACGTGTGAAGAATATAAAATGGCTTCATTTATGCTTTTGGCAAAGCGTTGAAAACGGTTGATTTCCTTTGCATGTGTCGCCTCTTTTCAAATTTCCTTTTGCTTTTTATGAAAATCTGTTTGATTGCCTATTTTGGGATTAAAAAAGAAACTTGTTTATACCTTTCAAATACAATTAATGCCTATATAACTCATTTATTTATCGTACTTTAATTGTTTTTCTTTTTCATCTTCATTGACATCTTATTCATGTAGCTCATTCAGCTTGTTCATTCATTTGGTGCATACACATTACGATTCTTTATACCTGTGTGTTACATCTATCCCGCCCTCGTAATGCTACATTTTAATATTTTAATTAATATTTAATCCGTTTATTATGAATTTACTTCCCTTTCTTCACATATTCCCCAATTAACTTTTTTTTCTCATAATCCTCCCCCCCCCTTATTCCTCCTGTTCTCCTCTACCTCCTTTCCTGCTGCTCTACCATTCATCACATCCCCTTATACACATTTTTGTGCCGAAATGCATAAAAATGAATGTAGTTTTTTTTTCAAATTTTATTGTATTTCTCAGACAATAATCCTTTTCTGTTCTGTTGAGCAGACATGTAGGTAAACACATCAATAAGTAAAGAGATTCTGCTTTAATTGTGGAAATGTGGAATTATCACTGGAGGATTTTTTGGGGATTTGCCGACTTCCTGCCCTCCCTCTCTACCTCCTTTTCCTCCCTTTTTTGTGTGTGTATGCGTGTGTGCCTCCTCTCCTCAGCTTAATTTAGGAATATTTTCCTTGAATTCATCTTCACTCCTTAAAAAATAATATCGAATAACCAATTGAGATCCACTTATGAAAGATCACATCCTTCAATGGAACAAACATTTTCAGAAGTCGAACAAAAAATTCAAATTTTATTCTTTGAGCTCAAACTTCACCTTCTCATTTTTAAAACAAACTTTACTCACTTCCTCTTAATCTTTCTCTTTCTTTTCTTTTTTCTTGAAGATTCTCTCATTTCTTTGCCTTCTTCTCTTGAGAGAATGAAATCAACAGAGGTCCGTACTATTTGTTTTGGCAATTCTGAATTCTTTACCAAACTTTGTCAAAAAGCACATGTAGCTTGGAGTCAACGAACCTGAAGATCTCCTCGTCAATTTCTTTCCTTTAATTTCAACCTTCAACATAAAAAAATAGTATTTTTTACTTTCATTCACACCCTATAAGCACTCAATGGTCCTAACCTCTTTCGAGTTTAGCTTTTCAGGCACATTGTAGAGCTTTCAGACTTGATTGCAACCTCTCACTTCATTCATCATCTTTTACTTCTCTCCACGAAATAAACACCCTCAATTGTTTACTTTAATTAATTTTTGTTCAAAGTATCGCAGATGAGCAGAGAACAAGTTGTTTTTTCCAATAAAGTTTATTCACAAAAAAAACATTAATTATTCTACGACGTGACGATGTTGCTTCTTCTTCTTCCCTTTCTCTCTCTCTCTCTCTCTCTCTCTCTCTCTCTCTCTCTCTCTCTCTCTCGCTCTCTCTCTTTTTCTCTCTGATGGCACTTCTGAAATTTATTTTTTTGTTGAAAACCGTTTTTAGTTCCAGGATATGCGTTATTTCATTATTTGTTTGTTAATCTCCATATGTGTGGCTAATTTGGTAGAAGATCCTAAGTTTCTTCCTCAAAACAAGCATCATCATGTTCGACGACACTCTCAGCATTTAAAATATCAGAGAGATCTTCGGATGAACTGCGGATTTGGGCAGTAAGTCATCTTGGAAACAAGAAAACACATTTTTTCTGTTCCTTGCAGGTGTCCAGACGATGGTTTTTTCGTGTATTATAAATGTTGTCGGAGTCGATCAGACCAATGTTGTTGGTATCTACGCATGTGGGTTATGTAAGTTTATTTTTATTTTTTTTTATCGAAATTTATTATTTCTGTTGCAGTGTAGTATTCGGGGTAATTTTGCTGAAAGCATTTTTGGCTTGTTTTGTGTCCTTTTTCCGATGTGTTTGTTGCTGAAACAACGATGGAACAACTTAGGCATCATTTGACCTCATTCTCAACTATATATTCGGGTTATAAAAAATTCTTTACAGAAATATTTAAATTGTTCACTTCTTTTTTAAATTTATTGAAATGTTGTAAAATATATATTATTAATTCAATTTAATATAGAAATGTTTATTGATTGCTTTGTGGAAGGACTTGTGTTGCCTAGGTATCACATCAGTTTCATTTAGGAATTTCTTCTAGTTTTGTTCTGCCTCTCCTTTTCTCTCTCATTCTCTTCAATTTCCATTATATTTCTCTACGACTCCCAAAATTGCGTACAACGGTTGCGTTTAGTCATCCCGACCCAAGGAAGATTTTGTGATTTGTGTTCATATGTATGGAGTAGTTGCGAAGAAACAGATCTTTCTTATTATTTCATTTTAAAACAAAAATATTGGGTAATTTCCTGTTTTCAATTACGACGGGATCAAGTGTGAACGCACCTGTCATTGTTTCTTTTTCTTATTCATTGAATAAATTTTCTGTTGTCATATATGGCTAGACATTTCGATTACGAATGTGACATCTGCAGCGATTTCTTTGGTTAGTTTCATATTTTGTTTTTTGCTTCGAGCCCAGTTCAGACGATGATGATAGAAGACCTCTGATCGGTAGTTGTGGTCATACAGTCTGCATGACTTGTGTCGACAATTTGAGGTTTTGTTTTCTTCGTATATGACAAGAGGCGTATGCTTTAAGAAGTCTCAATGGTTCACCGACCACAAAATGCCCCGTTTGCAACACTTCTCATGCTTTCAAAATAAAAGTTGTCAATTTCCAATTAGTTGGTTTGTTTTCTGAACAGAATCGATAACGTTTTTTATACGTTTCGTTAGAATTTATGAAAAGATCGAAGTCAGAAGTTGAAAAAGATAATTCGACAAGCACAACAGAATGTTCTTCTAAAAACGAAAAGAATGATAAAAAATTGGTAATCTGTGTGAAAATGAGAAGAAGTATAAATGCGAAGTTTTAAGGAATGCAGTAGCTGTTCAATGGTAACGCAAGAGTCGCGAATGGCTGTTTGTGAGACTTGTGGAATCGGCTCAAAAGTGTTAGAAGTCGATAAAAATGGCTCGACAATCATTTGTAATCAGTTGAAAGTGATGAAAACAAAAGCTAATTTCTGATTAAACAATTCTTCTTGTTTTAAAGCTGAAAAAGGTGGTTCTATGCGGATGTTGCATTTTTGAAAAACATAAAAACCACGTGACAGTTGGCTTACTGTCCGTTGAAGTGAGTGTTTTATTGATAAAATCAAAAGAATGACGAAGACGTTTTCAGCTTGACACACTAGCTAAGGAATTTCATGACAATTGCACAGCCAGTATCGAAGTTAAGCAGAGCAATAACATGGGATATTGGATGCAGTCTGTAAGAAAACAAATTAATATGAAAAAAAAAATTTCCTTCTCTCGTGCAGGCTGTCGACGAGATTTGCGAGAATTTACGAAAGATGTCGAATAAGGAAGACGCCAAATTAGTAGCGGATTCTATGATTAAAATCATTCAATATACGAAGCCAATTTCGGCAATTATAAAGGCATGCGAAGAAGAGTATGAACGTCGTGTTAAGGTAAAATCCTAAATTCATTCTCTTTATTTTTCATCTCCTTCTTACAACTTTACATACTCATTTCTTCTTTTCTGTGTCAGATGTCAAGTCTATGGCTAGATGTAATGAGCAAATTCTTAACAAATGAAAATTCGTCCACTTATTCCTCTAAATGGACAGAGATGAGGAAGGTTTTAGAAGAAGTGATCGATAATTTAGAAGAAAATTCTGAAGCTGTCGATGGAAAACAATGGGATCACATTCTAAATCTGATACTCCATGAGAAGAATCATCCACTTCCCCGACCTCCTTATAGTGAAGCTTCCTATTCGCAATACTCTCATTATTAACATATTTTATAAATAAACTTGTTTATCTATATAAATATATTTTTTTTTTCTAATCTTCAGTCAGAAGTCTATTGATTTTTCCGTAACTTAAACCTATATTCTCATCAAACTTAGCTGCAATTCTCACATTCTTTAAGATTTGTATTGAATCTTCCTTAAAAATCCTTTGAGTGCACCTGACAAAACGCTTTTAGAGATGTACTTAATCTATTTTTCACATAAATAATTATTGCTTATTCACTTTAGTTTACTCAAACAAAGCCAATCAGTCAGTACTTTATGATTTCCTCAATTATTCTTCTTTCTAATTGTATTCTTCCAATATTATCGGTTAGTTTGGCATTTTCAAGATATTCATAGTCATTATTCTAATTGAAGATTCGTTTATTATGTGGAAATTTTTCACAAACTGCCTCTGTTGAACCATCTTTTCGTCCTACGGATTCGGGTGAATAAACGAAAAAAACAAATATGGCTTCTCATTTTATCAAAATATTCAAAATTGAAAAAAATTATTTTATATCTTCACCTCCTTGTTCAAGCGCTTTATGCTGTATCCAATTTCAAACTGATTTGTTCTGAAGTGATCCGTGTGAGGTCCACGTGAATTTCACATGAACACCAAATAGAACATCAAATGGTTTTTTGAATAGACTGAAAAAACATTCTCAGAAAGTAATTCACTAGTTTTAATTAAAAGATTGTTCAGGTGTGCTCGTGACCTGGGATCTCATATCAGCTGATCCCATTTGCACGGATCCATCTCGAATACCCACTTTCTCAAACCTACGTTTGTCAGATGTTTCAGTCATAACTCGTTGCGATGAATGTCCAAAGTAAGTAAAAGAGAAAGCATTCCTTCAATTAAATTAGCAATATGTTAATATTTTGACTAATTGAAACTTCTCAGATGTACATTGCGCATGCCGATGAAATATGAGATGCCCTTAGGCTATGCTCTGAATACAATCTATGTGATAACCAAGCAAATTCCATTTCATATAATGAAAACGGATATGGATATACGATTCGTTATTGTTGATAAGTTGCCGAAACAGTTAAGAAACTGTCAAATCATTGTCAATGAAGTTGTCAAAACCGATAACCTGTTTACTCTTCAGAATTTCATTCTCTTCCTTATCACATTTATTCTAATTTTCTTTTGTTTATGTTTGATGAGATGTTTATGTTCCAAAATTGCTTGAATAAACACTTACTACATCTAAATGAGTTCATGAAACCGCTTTAATAGTATTCTAATGTATACATTGAGAGATTCATTGGCACCTCGTAGTGATAGTCGACTTTGAACATTTTTTGAACTCATCTCTCATTTTATTTTCAAATATCAAATTCAATAACAACTTTAAAAGAGAAATGATAACAGATTTTGAAAGAAACAATCGAATCACCAGTAGCATAACGTTTCTTCGAACGAAGAAGAGGAAAGTTTGAAAAATGAGAATGAAGAATGGAAAAAATTAACAAATCAACCGTTCTGAGCGTTTGCATGCGAAAGAAAACTTAATTCATTTGATGCTCTTCCAACTTTCTTGGAATTTTTTCAATGTCCATAACCTGATTTGCATTCCATGTAGCACCTGTCCAGACTGCTGGTTTATCATCAGCCAGAAAGGCGAATGGAATATTCATCATTATGGTGAAAACAGCAGTACCGATGAATAAGAGAGACCACTTAAAATAGAAGTAGAATTTCAGCAGAATACTAAACTTTGTACTTGGTCTGCCGTATTATCTGGACAAATGATGGCGACGGCTGCAGGTAGAACTAGGTTTAATAAGCACATAGCAAATGAAATTACACCCAGCACGAAATGAAGGTGCTGCTGAGCAACCTAAAAATATGGAATTATGATGATTTGTTCTGAGAAAAAGCATACCAATTGAGCACATTTAATAGTACCAACTATATTCATTCCAGCTGCCCCGATACAAACGGTATAAGCTATTTGAGCTATTAAGGCAGATTCCGTCTAGACAGAGGAGCTACATAGTATATACTTGTTCTAACTTACAAAAGCTATTATTATGAAACAGGATGCCATGAACCCCTGAGAAACCACAGCAAAAAATAATAGTCTAGACTTCTCCGAAAAGCATGTAGCATTATCAGACAAAGGGCCAGAAACAAATTTCACAACTGCACCAACCACATAGGGGAAAGCTGTAGCGAACCCAGTGGACTTCACATCGAGTCCTATCACCTGTAATTAATATAATGTACGGTTTAACTGATTGCATAACGATATGCACCTTATTCATATAAGTAGGACCGTAGTAGAGGAATACTGTGAAACCCAGAAATCCTCCTATAGATGATAACCAAACCGATATTATAACCTTTGATGTACAAATTGCTCCATACGGAACAGTTTGTTTCTTAATAAACTCTGGTTTATCTTTTGTTATTTTAGACAACTCCTTCGAACTGACATTTCTGAAAAATAATAAAAATATGTGAAACTGTTGTTATTAACAGTTGATACCTGTGTAGTTTCGGATGATCTCGGAAGAAAACGAGGAAGATAATATGAAATAAGATGGTTAATACACCAAAAACATAATACAATACAGGCCATCCATAAGAAGATTCGCACAACATTCCTGCTGTGGACATAGTAAGAATAGAGCTGAACTAGAATAGAGAAAAATTAAAATGGTATAAACTTATAAATTACTTGTATATGAGCTGAAATAATGGAAATGTAAGTTCCAGCCTCAATGAGAGCAGACCATTGAGAAGCAATGGCTCCCACGGAAGAAAATGAAATTCCTATGAATGTACCCTAGAAAAAGGATTATAAAATGAAATTTATAAAGCACATACCTGTAATGCTCGTACTATGAAAACATATTCATATCCGTAGGATACAGCTATTGGAAAGAGGAACGTTGCAATCCCTGAGATGAAGCCGTATATAGTCAAAGTATATCTTAAGATGGTCCACTAAAAAACGATAAATAATATCATTCGAACCTCATCCCCATATACTGTAGACAATGCATGAGCGGTAGCGCACCCAAAATAGACCCAAAAGCAACGGCTGAGAAGAGACCATTCACATAAGAAGGAGATGAAATCCAATCTAAAAACATTCAGAAGAGTTTTATTGAGTACTGTAATACTTACCTGTTGAGTTATCCATACAAATTACAGTGAAGTTGAATGCCAAGCTGTTGGCATAGCTCAGTGTTAGGCATGTTGTGGATAAGATCAGGATGAGAATCCTTGTTCGGTTGTGGAATTCCAACTTCTCCATTCTTGCTGTACCTAGAATCACTTCCTTTTTATACCAGAATTCAAGCGCAATATTGAAATACAAGCAGTTCACATTCATTCTGATCCGATTAAGCACATCGTGTGTTATTACACAACTTTACGCAATTCTCTCCTGAAAATACTGGAGTTAATTATATCAAACTACTATTTGATCGGAAATAGTTGGAAACGGTATGGATACTGAGATATTTACCCTCTTAATTTTCTTAGATCTTCTCGTTGCCGTTTTGCTATACGCTTCGAGGAAAGATGTTTGAACTATGATTTGTGCCTTCGGGTACGATCATACTAAATGATGACAATGTTTCGAATATGGAAAAATAGAATTATTAAACCGTGTGATGTAATCGGTACATTTCCATGTCACTATTGAAACATATGTTGTTGAGTTCACAGGTGAATCCAAGCTTGGAAGATTGCACTTCATTACCACAATATAAGGAATCCATTGAGAGCATCTGGCTGATTACTGTCTCGATTTCGTAATGAGTACAGACAGTTTCGAAAAGACCCTCGTCTAACTTTCTACAATTTCTACACAAAAAATCGAAAGTAGCGTTGTTTTGTTTTTGAAAACTGGAACTCTCATTCTGCGTGGAAAACGTGGTGTACGTGGAATAAAACTTTTCACGTAAAATTTCTGAATAAATTTTAAAATTTACATAATTTGATGCTCATGGTCTTCTAGTTTTAAATAGCTTACATTTCGAGTTTCGATTATGATGACCAATCTTTGTTACCGATTATGTGATCATTACACGCTTTCCAAAATAAATGAGCGGTCGACGTGCCATTTCGAATTTTTTTTTCGAGAGTGACACTTTTTTAAAAATAAAAACGTAACTCATAACTCGAGAATCTCAAAGATCATTTTTATATCGGGATACTATCTTGTCGTCCAAAAATTCAGAAGAATACTTTTAACCGTAGATCGAAATAGTGATTTCCATAACAGAGTGATAACCGTTCAGACACTCGTTTTCCAGTACAAAGATGAAACTGTGTTCTAGCAAGAGTCATACAAGAACTTCAATTATCAATGCCATTACTGTAAAAATGAATAGCGCGGGGCACCTGATCAGGGGATAGTCAGGATACAATCTTTCATAATGAAGTTTTGAAATGACCGTTCTCATTTCTGAATAACAAGCACGCTGTGGAAACCACTAGAGTAGATTATTTTATTTCAAATGAATGGTAGCATACAGAGATCTCGCCATGTTAGATTAATAGTAATCTTGATCTCCCATAGTCGTAAGCATTATTTGATGCGAAACCCCTAAGCCAATTTCCTCCACATCTTCACAATCTCATCAAATACGTATAGAAGAATTTGAAAGGAATACTTTGATAGTTTCAGAACTTCATAAGCTTAAAAATCAGTTTAATCACTGAACTGAATATCAAGCTGTTTGGCGGGTCATACTTATGAACATTGGATTCAGTGATTCTTGCAATATTTTTGCAAAGTATTTTCATTTTCATCTATCTTTTAATAACTTGTTCATTAGACAGAGGATAGAGCAAAATAACTTGAAGAGTGGTAAAAATGTAGTTCAGTATTCAGACCTCTTTCATCAATGTGCACACAATAAGAAACGCGCTCCAACGCTAAAATTCTATTTCTAGGCAGACGCTCAGGCTTTCTGTTTAATGCTTAAATTTTCTTCGAATTTAAACTTGATATGATTGAATTTTTTGAATGGAAAAGAAATCTTTAAGACGGGAGTAATTGGTTTTTGAAAATTCCATAACTTTAGTTTGGATCAGTGAACTCTGTCATTAATTGGAAGCCGTAGAATCAGAGAATCCGTTACTGTTCTTATGATTTCTTGCTGAGTTCGCTGACTTAATTTACTTTATTTCTATTTGCAGGGTGTTAGGTGATGATCAAACAAGAGGATGATATTCCTGGGGTCGCTGAAGCCAAATCAGAAGATCTCAGTACCAATACTCCAGCGGATGGTACATGTAGTGTCCCAGAACAATCTAGCTCGAATGAAAACACATACGAGAGAGCAGTAAAAGAAGAACGGTATTCACCTTTCTCTAAGTCCGCGGGAGGAAACGATGACGACGAGAAAGAATACTGCAGCGGAAATAGTTATTCATCAGAGTCCTCCGATCATTATGTTCGTCTCCGGGGCCTTCCTTTTAATTCAGCCGAAGAAGACATAATAAATTTTTTATCAGGTAAGTTCAGAAAACCACACTGTTAAATTCCTTTTCTGTAGGTGTTAAAGTTCTTGATGTCATAATACTTACGGGAAGAGATGGTAGGCCAAGTGGCGAGGCATATTGTCAATTGGAATCACAAGAAGATATCGATAAAGCTTTAGAATATGACAAAATGAGACTAGAAAGTAGATATATCGAAGGTTAGTCAGTTGTTTGGGATTGTTCTTACTCTTAGTTTAGTATTCACTGTTACGGAAAAAGATAAAGCTACGGCAAAAGCGAGAGGAGCAGCGAAAGATCAAGGGAATGTGGTGCGGTTAAGAGGACTGCCATATACTTCTAATATTCAAGACATAAGAGAGTTTTTAAACGGTGGGTTTGACTATATCTTCACTCCATACTCTTCTGTACGATAATAAGAGGGTTTGGGTGTTAGGGCTTGACTGTGAAGAAGTGGTTATCGGGCGAACGGGAGGGAGACCTAGTGGGGAAGCATTTGTCCGTCTAGCCTCCAAGGAGCAAGCAACGAAAGCATTGGAATATAATAAGAACAGAATGGGAACAAGGTGGGGTTTTTGCGAGATGGAATTTTTGACCCCTTCAGATAATATAACTCTTTCCTGTTATTCAGGTATATTGAAATCTTTCGCACAACCGCTGATGATCTTGCTCGACATCGTCAAGATCAAGAAGCTGGTTATCCTAAGAGACGAGACCGAGGTCCTCCGTCGCTGATGTCGATACCTTACTCAAGACCACCGTTAGTCTCAAAACATCAACCCGAAATTTTATCCATTTTCACGTTTAAGGCGGGCTTTTGAAGGTAATTATGACCCATTTTGGGAAGAGGATCGTCGTGGACCCTTTAGTCGAGGTGGTGGGAGTTTTCGACATGAGCCATATGCAGTAAGGGAAAGTTACCGTGCGAGAGATAGAGCTTTTTTTGGCCCACCGAAGGTTTGAACTCGAAACTTCCAGACTCCTGATGCTTTGTATAGGTTTATATGAGAGGAATTCCATTTGATGCTGACGCCCGGGAAATCGAGGACTTCTTCTACCCCATTCGTTGCAGATCTGTTCTGGTTTATAAAAATCTAATTTTTCTTAAAGTTTTTGGTGCTTCAGCTCGGTTATAATCCTCAGAATCGTGTTTCTGGAGATGCGTGCATTGAGTTCTATTCGTTAGATGAGGCAAATGATGCACTTAGAAGGAATAACAAACATATGGGTAGAAGGTGAGGTTCATATTCAAATCTAAAGAATATAATTCTATATTCCAGATATGTTGAGCTTTTCTCAAGTGTAGATATGCCTACTTCAATGAGATCTGCTACATGGAGATGTGTTAGTGATCACAGAATTCATACGAATATGCCTCCATCATTCTCACCTCCTCCCCCTCCTCCTCCTCCTCCTCCAGGTAATTTCTGCAATTAACAAATTTATTTATCGTTAAGTTAAGCTTTACCTCGTGGACGAAACTATGATCATTCTCCATATGCTCCCGAGATGTTCAATGCTTTTGAAAACCAATACGAGCAATATGATTCGTATACAAACTTCGAAAGCTTCAACAATTACGGTCCCCCTAGAAGAACATTCGGTGGCAACGGACGTCAACCTTATTATTAAAGATAGTTCGGTATATAAATAAATGATATATACATACATATAAATATTTAAATGTTATAAACAAGGTGTGACCTTGGTTGTTCGTGAATTTGTGCCTTTTTCGTGTTCCTTTTGCATAAAATTTATTTTTACTTCAATGTTTCTTTTTTTGCTGTTTAACGGTTGGAATATTCATGAGATCAGTTGTAATCTTCCAATAAACTTTTAGATTGAGATGTCATGTTGGCCAAAGTTATCAGAATTATCTTGGCTCAATGAGTGTAAGGCCAGATTAAAAGCACAGGTTAATTAAGCTTTCTGTTGCTTGAATGAAGTCTTTAGGAAGAAATCAGGGCGAAGATTAATGCATCCTCATGTTTCGATGAAAGTGCCTTGAGGTCGCTAGATTCAGCTCTCAAAAAAACTACAGCTTTTATGAAAAAAATGAAAGTAAGAGTTCCATTATTTTTCTTCTCTAAGTAACTTTTCAGACCTTAAACAGCTTCGCGGTTCCATCTTTAATAAGTGATCTTTCGAAGCTTAACTTATCAAAGTTTGTGGAAGAAATGGCTCAGGTTCGACGCTAGTAGATATTGCTAGCTATACGATTGAGAATTCTAGGCTATTGCTGAAACGAAGTTGAAAACTTCCGAAGTTGTTACTGTCGTTGACCTTTGTGTTGAAATCGCAATTCGATATCGTGAGTATCAAATCCAGTAGTTAGTTATTTCTTTTTCAGAAAACTTCTCCAGCTTATTGTTAGCCGAATTCAAAAAGATGTTGCCCATTAAAAAATCAGATAAAATCGCTAATCCCTCCAAGCTGAGAATAGATTTACGTTTTTTGTGTGAGCTCATTCTTGCAGGAGTATTCAAAAAGGATGGCCTGCAGGCTAGTTACCTAATAGCTTCAATCTCATTGTCGTTTGTTTTCAGTTATTTGGTGCAGTGATAACATGTTTGACGACAAATGACAAAGTGGATCATGTGAACATCGGCTTATTATGTTCTTTGTTCAAACCAATGGGATGGAGCTTTGCTGGAATGATTCCTCTACCTGAAGAAGATGCGGCCACTGTAACTATCCAAGAAAGTATCCATTATCAGATTAGCTTCTTCTACCTTTTGTTGTTTCAAGATGACTTGGATTCGGGGCCCATTATTGGCGATCACAAAAAAATCATACATGATATGGTCGCCGACTATTACAACAGCTTCAGGCAAAAGTTGGAGAAGAAGTGTGTTGAGATGAATGCTATTCAAAAAAAAGTTAAAAGACAAGCTCGGACTAGAGGTTAATTTCAGCTATGATTGTAAAACAATGATGTTTCTTTAGGGGATGCTACAGCGGAAGACAAAGCTACTTTAGACGAAGTTCGAACTAGTTACGATCAGTTCAAAGCTCAGGGTAGTGAGCTTAGCTCTGTGCTCGGAATCAAAATGCCTCAGTTAAAAGAAGAACCAAGTGATGACGAGGAAGACGAGCTGGCTAATATAGAGGTGAGATCTCGCATGTTTTACAAACATTCCATTTTACTTATCCAGATGAGTAAAGCTTTGGCCGAGGGCGAGGTTTCTCTGTGGCCTGACGATGAAACTGAAGCGTTCTACTGCAACTTGTTGAACATAAAGAACATTGTTCCAAAAAACTTATACAAGGTCTTGTTGTATGCTTTTTCAATTTTTTTAAAATTTTACATTTGAAGGAATCAGAAGAGAGAACTTTGTCATTGAACGCAATGAAAACCTGCGTCGATTCAGTTAATGTTGATGGGCTTGATGAAACTCTTGATGAAATGCAGGAAACCTTACCAGAGTGAGTTTTCCCAAATAAACAAACTATCAATTTGTTGTTTTAGGGAAGTTCCTGTGGAGACAGTAGAAGGAACTGAAGTAACAACCGAACCTACAGAGGAAATCAAACAGAACATGGCTGTATGTAGCATCTAAGTGGTGATACTCATACTCATATTCCAGGAGTTTCTTCAAGTTCTTGATCATTTGGTTAATCGTGAAGTCACTGACAATTGTGCGCTCAACTTTGTTCAACATTTGAACACAAAGGTTAGACTTTGAATACGGTTGAAACTTATAATTCTTATGATTGCTTTAGGGAAATAGGAAACGCCTTGTTAAAACACTCTTGAGCACACCTGGGAACCGTTTAGATTTGATACCGTTTATTGCTCGACTTCTAGCTACCTTATTCCCAGTGATGCCGGACGTTGTTACAGAGATTACAAATCATTTGGTTAAAAACTTCAAGTCAGTGAAACTATATTTTCCCAAAAAAACTTTTCTTTCAGGGATTATATGAAAATTCGAGATACAAAGACCAGTGCAGTCCGTGTGGAAGAGAAACTCAAATGTGTAGTGTTCATAGCCGAACTAGTGAGATCTGCCCAGACTTTCCTGGATTAAAGACCTTTTTAGGTAAAATTCGAATTGGTTCCTCGAGCCGAGGCGTTGAACTGCCTGAGACAATTAGTATATGACTTCCATGGTCATTGGGTAGATATGGCGTGTACAATGATAGAAGCCGTGGGATTCTATTTGTACAGGTACGGTTGTACGGCACTGGCCTTCAAGTAACTTTTCATTCACTAATTCTTCAATATTTTCAGGAATTCTGATTCACATTCTCGGATGAAGATCTTATTGAGTGTTATGATGAACAAAAAAGAGAAAATGAAGGACACACGCCAAAGAGTTTGCCTGAATTATGAAAAAGTTACTAACACAGATTTTGCTATAGATGTTAGTAGACAACAGTTACTATGCCGCAGTACCATCTCCAGAAGGATCCACCAAAGTTGTGGAAACAGCTCCTCCAATGCATTTATTTGTCAAACAAACTGTTAGTTATTAATGTTTGTAGTTGTTTAACTATATCAGTTTCTTCCAGATTTTACTTGTGAACGGAGATAACGTGAATTGTGTTTTGAAATTATTGCGAAGGATAGATTGGAATGATCAAGATTTATTACGTAAGCACAATGAAGATTCTTCTCCGCAGACATAGCTTAATTTCTCAGAATTAACACTGAAGTATTTGTCTTCTCCATGGCTGGTTCCTTACAGTAATTTATGCTACCTGGCCAGTGTTGTAGCTGGAATGACTAAACTTCCTGCTCACGACTGGATAACGGTATCAGTAGTTGACTCAATCTGTGAAACTGTTAGGTAATGACAAAACCTTTGACAATTGAAAAGGATTCTTAGGCTATCGCTCGAAGCAGCTGGGCTATTTAATCAACAAGCCATGGCTAGTATCACATTTTTAGGAGAAATTTATAACTATAATGGATGCGAGAGCGGGATAATTTTCAAAGTATATAACCGCATATTCTGGTTAAGCCACAACGTGTTAAAACATTCAGATACTCTACCAATTGATAACATTCCCTGAAGACCATGCTGAGAACTGGATGGATTTCTACAGACTTCGAATGATCTGTGAGATGGTAAATGTAGTTGGAGAGTTTTTCATGAGTTCGAGCAGCAAGAAAAAAATGGATTATTTTCTGATGTATTTCTTTAGGTCAGTTTGATTTAATTCAGACTGCCTTTCAAATACAACCGCTCTTTACGCTCTCGTTTATAAAATGATACGTGCAGTTCGCGTGTTCTCGCCAGACGTTATTATGCTAATTTAAGATACTATTGGATCAAACGCACGAAATGGGAGAAAAATATCGAATCTACAGATTCGGAAAGTGTTAAGTACGTACTTTTTCTCATCCTCTCTTAACGTTTCCAATGGTTTTCATTACAGGTTCCCTCCCGAGGTAGAATCAGAATTCAGAAATTGCATAAAGTATGTGAGAAGAAACGCTGCAGTTCCCGATAGTTTGGAAGAGGCAGAGAGAAATCTGGAAGTTGTCGAACAAAAGTTAAAGGTTGCACTCTTTTTCAAACTTCGTTTTTCTCAGTACAAGTTAATTGAAGCTTGATTTTTCTGAGTTGGAAGTTGAAGAAGACGAAGATACACGAAGAGAGCCTGTTGACAGATCACTACATCAAATTCAAGAAGAAGAGTAAGCTTTTATATATTCGAACAAAAAAGGAAAGTTGTGTAGAATGACTGGGGGGATATATAACTATTGCAGTTTCTAGTGATGCACCCTTACTGATTCAATTGTTGTTCGTTATACATCTAAGTATTTTCGTTGTATTAGTCATAAAACGCCGCCTAGAAGAAGTAATAGCAGAAAAGCGAGAATATAAGGAATAATTTGTTTTTCTTGCTCATTTTATAAGGCTCTCTGCTCGAAAGAACTTTTTGTATGTGGGAGGAAAAGCTATTAGTCAGTTGACAGGTTCAAATTTCAATTTAGAAGAATATTCTGCATCTTTTTGTCAGGGATCCCACTTCTTGTCAATTGAAACTCAATAAGATAGGAGGGTCGTATCCAAATTTGTTTGCTTTTCGAACGAGCTCAGTTATTTGGTTATGGAGAATGCTACACTCATGTCTTCATTCTTTACCAAGTATCCATGGTCTTCTCTTCTAAGTTGACATTTGTAGACATGAGAAAAGTTTATTTAAATTAAATCTATAAAATGACATCACAGAAAGTTATCACAGTTTGAGCAAGCTTGGGTAGATGAATGAGATCCATGAAAGCAGTAACCGTGTTTTCTGAAAATATTTAATGAAATGTGCTTTTTAGGGAAATGGGTGATGATGAGTTCAATGAAGAGATGAGTAGTGCTTCTCATAATGTAGGTTCAGATTCGTTTTTTTTGTTTCTCAAAAAAATATTTTCAAGGCTCCCTTTATAAATCAAGCTGAAGATGAGGAGTTTACTAGAGAGTTGGACAGATTAATTAATGAAACGCATAGGGTTTTAAAAAGAGCTTAATGATGTTTGTTCTGATGTTCATGCCTTTTCAGAATGCTCCTACTCAAGCTCCAGGAGGCATGATCGATATGACAGTCTCTGTTGCTGCTAAACAGAAACTTCAAGGAATTACTTTCGGTCAGCTTAATTCTTATAGTACACTGTTTCAAGTGTGTCTCTGGCAATTATTGATTGGGGGGTCGTAACGAAATCTGTTTTGGGAGGAATCGTTTTGTGGCGAGAATTCTTCTACTTGAAGACAGATTGAATTAAGCGATCGAGGGAAAGAGCGCGCTGCCATATATGTGTATATATATGTATCCATATATGAGTATAAGTTTATATTAGGCTTGATTAACATCAATAGTTTCCATTTCTTTCAGAAAGAAGCAAAGATATGAAAGTTGTATTTTCTTAGTTTCAAAGAAACAAAAAAATGGACAGGGTTGTGCTTGTGGGATTATTCTGATTATCCCTATCAATAATGTTGTCGGGGAGAGAAAAGAGAACCTTAGCGAAAATTGAAGATGGACAAAAGATGTACCACACATGTCTGTCGGACTTGAGACGAGCATTTGATGATTTGTGTCATTTTGCTTCTCAGGTGTAAATGTCTTAGTGCTGATGATGAGAGGATGATGAACAAGCGTATATGATATTACATGACAAATTTTTGAGAAATAACAAAACCGGGAAGTTCTATCAAGAACTGTCTCTTAACCGATTGTCTGATCAGAAAACACAATCAACTTGCTCACATCTCTTATCATTCCTAATTAGGCAATAAAAGCAATCACAGCTTTTTTCGGAGTGATCGTTGAAAAGAGAAGAAGAAGTGTTTCTCCGAGTACAATTTGAAACGTTTCGAGATGTCCTCGCCTTGTCTAGCTTATTGAGTTTTCTCAGCTTCCGTCCAACTTTTACGCTTCCGAATTTGCTTTTGAATTATGAATTGCGAAGCAATTGCAATGTGAAAACTTCGTTTTGCTATTCTTGTGTGTCATCTTTTTTTTTGAATTGGATAAACTGGAGAGTTTAGCTGGGAGTAGACAATCTTTAGAGTTATCCAAACCACTTTTTTCAGCTGATGACAGCGCAAGTTCTAGTAACGTGAACTCAGCAAAACCTGTGAAGGTGGCACTATTAGCCAGAGGTCGCGGAAATAAGGTTTTCTCTCCGCACTCACTAGAATCATATCAAAGTGATCTTTTTCAGGCGCAGCTTAAAGCTGTGGCGATCACCACCGAAAAACTCCATAATCAATGGAAGGTAGAGAAAGAACGACAACTGAAAGAACAGGAGGATATCAAGCGTGTAACTCTGGATCACTCAGCTCGAATAATGGCTGACGAGTTGAAGGAGAGGGAAGCCAATGCTTACCAAAAAAGACATCAAACGACGAAATATTAGGTAAGAGAAAAAGTACAAATCCTCTCAAAAAAGTTAATGTCAAATTCAAATAAATTGAAAACCTTCATATTGACGAATCTGATGTTCTCAATTAGTGACAGAAGATCAAAACTCATTGAATAATAAGCTTGGAGACTCAGAGAGTTATGCTAATCTGATTTTTTTCCAGATAAGAGCAAACAGAGGTCAAGCTGGTTCTGTCATTAAGGATTTTACGATAGCAGTAGAAATATTCTTTGTGAGTTCGTTAGATAACAAGCCGTTTAAGGACTTACCTATAAGAATTTGGAGCCAAATGTAGTGAAAATTATGAAAAGTAAGATGATAAGAGGAGAAGAATTTGTGAAAGATGAGTTACACATGTCTCTGGCACAAACACAAACCCGTTGCATGGCGCGTCTTTCTTGAACATATCCTACAAATAAAACGTTTTACGCTCATAAGGAAGTCACTTTACCTAATTGAACATTACGAGAAACTGTGGGCACATTCTGGCAAGACATGTGATGGAAGTTTGTACGTCGGTCACATCCAGTTCCCAGCCAATATTCACCTCCTCCTGAAGTTTTTGAAAAGTTATCTGTGTATTGTGTGGAAGTGTGAGGTTCTTTTGAAAGAGAATTATTCAAAAGGCGCAAAGCAATAATGTAGAATCTGTGATTTTTCTTTTTTCTCTGAGCGCATCTTTTTTTGTGTGGGGGGAGTGTGGTTTATGGCTTGTAAGGAGAGGAGAGCTCGAAAAATAGTTGAGACTAAGAAAGAAGAGCCGCGAAAGTTGCAACAAATTTTTTTTAGGGCAAACTGAACGGTGGCCGCAAGAAGAAGAAGATCGTTTTTCTACTATACGTGTATTGGCGAGTATGTGTAATCCCTTTGTTTTGTTGTCTTTTGTTGTTTTCACGGTTTTGCTGTTATCAAAATGCAAATAAGAGTATTCGAGTAAGCCTTACATGAGAGCAAGAACATAAAAGAGAACGAACCTATATGCATGGTAATTGTAACACAAACATCTTGATCACGATCACATCTTATCGGTTCCATCAAACAGTAAGCTTTGCTTAGTCTTGTAGTCACGCGAAAGTTATCTAGTTGAGTAGTTCCTGCTGTATGGACACAAGCCATACATGTCAAGGGTGTAGCAAATGGCAGGAAAAGTAATAGTAGAATGATGAGTATCATTCTATTTCCATAATAGGCCGTCAACCATGATATTATATGGACTGATGCAATCTGGTGATGATGGGATGATCCAAAAAATAGAAAATTATGATGCAAGTCCAGCTTCTGCTCTATAGGCGACAGAAAGGTTGACTGCTTTCTTCTATATCGCATGACGCCGCCGCGGCGGGGGCCGTCGACACTCCGGGGAAATGGGCGGAGCCAGGAGAGATCGGCGAAGAATGTGTGGATTGAGGATAAATGAGATCTATCTCATCTTTTTTCCAAGATGGAGAAGAAGAAGGAGAAGACGAAGAAGAAGACGAAGAAGAAGGCAACGACGTCGATGAGTTGGACGATAAAAAAAGGCAATGCAAAGAAAAGCCTCCAAGTTTGAGTTCTTCTACTGTCCAACTTCATCAATGAGTCACATACATTCCGAAAAAGGTAGCAAATTGAGTGGAAAGCTTAACTTTGGGTCCCCATTTACTTTTTCAGAGAACTTTTTCTACGTGAGTCGTACGTGCGGGTGTTTGTGCTGTTCCTCTGAACTCTTATTGTCCAAGAGAGGGAGTAAATGAGAAGGAAAGCAGAGCAAGTAGCAGGAAGAGTGAGTTCCTTCTGTCAACATCGAAATCGCTTATGACGGAATCTGCTGATTAAAAAATATTTCTTGATTGTTCTCGCCTTTAATGAATCTTTGTTTGCATGTTTTTTTTATAAAATTTTCATTTATTTTGATAGAACCAAAAAAAGTTGGAAGGATAAATGGAAGGACAAAAGCAATGCTCGAGATGGTTGAATGCCTTTTGCAACCGTACCTTAAAAGGGCAAAACATTCCCATTCCCATCTTGAAGTTAATAAATGATGTTTTGAATAATTTAGCTTGAGAGCAAGAAATAAGATCTTCTGTGCCTATGATATTTGCCACCTGAGAGAAGTAAGCTCAACACGTCAATTGGATATTTAATAGAGAGCTTTGTTCTTTCTTAACTTCAATCTCTCGATATGATTTTTCAATATTGTATAAATTGTCATTTTAGTCCATTTTTATAGATGCTCGATCAAATTGTTCGAATTCTTTGAATGGATCACTCAAATGGTTCATTT